CAACTCACATTTGTCTTGCAAGAAGACAAGGCCAGAAGCTTCGCCCCGTTATGGAAGCGATTTGTCATGCTGTTGGGCCTAAAAGGGAGCCGTTTGCCATGCTGAACAACTAGACCCATACACCCCTGCCTAGGCTGGGGATCTGGCCGGAATGCCTTCCTGCAATACAAAGCTGATTTGTGTTCTCAAATACAGCACCACAAATTTCGTTTTCGATATGGGGAGGGGGGAGTTTTCCTTTCGATAGCACGGTGACCGACTTCAGCGGCATGTTCCAGAACTGCGTGAGCCTGACCCAGGTCCCCGGAATCGAGACCTGGGACTTTTCCAGCGCGAAGGACCTGGGGCGGATGTTTCAGCAGAACGCGCAGCTGCGCCTCACCTCGGAAACCGCGAACTGGAACACCGGGCAAACGCGGGACCTGAGTGGTATGTTCGACGGCGCGGCGGTGGCCAACCCGGACTGCAGCAACTGGGACGTGTCCAAGGTGACCAGCCTCGCGACCTTCCTCCGCAACGCGGAGGAGGCGGTCCCCGACCTTTCCCGGTGGGATGTAACCCGGGTGGAAGACTACACGAGCATGTTCGAAAACGCGGTTATCAAATGCAAATATGTCTGGGTCTGGAAGAAAAATGCAACTTGTGATGCTGGACTTGGATTCCAAAAAAATCTGTATTGCATGAGCAGCAAACGGCATGTAATTTTTGCTACGCGGAGAGGGCATTTGTCTTGCGGAACAGGCATCAGGAGGCCCTCAAAAAATCTGTGATGCTAGGGCATGCATCACACACAGACATCATGGCTCATGCAAAACGTGCATGACAGGTCTCAGAATCTTCCAGACCCAGACGCTTTTGCATTTGATAGCGGTGAAGGCAAACCCGTTTGTGGGAAACTGGACCACGGGGCGCGCGACCTCCATGGAGCGGATGTGGAAGGACGCGCTGACGGCGAAGCCTGCGGTGAGCAAGTGGCAAACCGAGTTCGTGACCAGCATGCGCAGCATGTTCGAAAACGCCACGGCGGCGGAGCCCAACGTGACCTACTGGGGCACCGACTCGCTGCTCACGATGGAGCGCATGTTCTTCAACGCGAAAATCGCGCGCCCCTGCGTTTCGTTCTGGAACGTGGAGCGGCTGCAGGCTATGCAGGCGGCGTTCGCGCAGGCCAGCTGTGCGTCTCCCAACGTGGCCTTCTGGACGCTGCGGTCGTTGCTTGGCCCGGACGGGGCAGACCAGGCCTTCCACAAGACGGCGTCGTTTCTGCGCCGGTCTGCGGTGGCCGGCACCGACGATGAGTGCACGCTGTCGGACGCCGAGCTATTTGCAGATGCCAGTAACGGGTACGTGGACACGAGCTGCCCCGAGGACGATGCGTTTCGGGTGCAGATTCTGATTCCCAGCAGCAGCACGAAGGTCATGGTCCCGCTGCGGACCTGGAATGAACACACGTCCCTCGCGGACTTGGAGGCGGGGGTGCACAACCAGGTCGTCTGGGACGAGCACGGCACCAACGCTAACGCGTTCACCATCTACTGGGGGGACAGCGAGTACGGCAGCAAGACGCTGGAAGAGTCCGACATGCTTTTCGCCCACTTCGGCAGCAGTCGCGCTACCAAAACCCGGGCCACCACGCACACCTACGCCGCGGCCGGCACCTACGAAGTTTTGATTCGCGGTCGCGTGGCGGGATGGCACGACATCGTGCCCGGGAGTCCCGACAAGGCGCTGAAGAAGCAGTGGAAGCAGAGCTGGCGCACCCTCCGGTCGCTGGGGTCCAGCGGGCCGCGCCTGTTCCCCTTCCTCCTGCAGGAGGCCACCAACTACCCCATCCGCAGTCCGGGAAACCAGTTGGACCCGGTGCTGGAGCGACACTGGCCCTTGGTGACGTCGCTCAGGTCCATGTTCGAGAAAGCGGTGGCGGTTACGCACCTCGACACAACGAAGTGGTACGTAACCGGGAACATCGACAACCTGGTGAACCTGTTTGCGGGCGCACGATATCTGGAGTCGGTGAAGGGGCTGGACCTGTGGCACGACGTGGGGCAGGTGACCAGTCTGCGCCGGCTGTTTGCCGACACCCCCAACCTGGTGCCGGTGCATTCCAGCGGCGACAGCAGCCTGGCGAACGACGTACTGGAGGAGTGGGACGTCAGCCTGGTGACCGACTTCTCGCAACTGTTTCTCAACTCGGGGCGCGTGAATTTCCCCCTGAAAAACTGGAACACCGGCAACGCCAAGTCCTTCCAAGGGATGTTCGATTCCGCGCTCGCGATCAACCCGGACGTGGCTGCCTGGCAGACGGGGCGGGTGACGGATTTCAGCGACATGTTTCGCCGCACGCTGGAGGCGCAGCCGAGCACGGGATTGTGGGACACGAAGCGGGCGCGCAACTTCAACGCCATGTTCCGGCAGGCCGCGAAGGCCGACCCCGAAACGGCCAACTGGGACACCGCACAGGCGGTGGACCTTGGCTCCATGTTCCGCAAGACCCCGAGCGCCCGCAAGGTGAACGTGACGTACTGGGACGTGAGCAAGGTCACCAGCATCGCCGGCATGTTCCGGGAGGCGAAGCTCGTCGTGCCGTGCCTCGGGCGTTGGCACACGCCCTCGCTGGAGAAGGTGAAGGGCTTCCTCGCAGACGCCCACTGCGCCACCCCCAACGTTGCACGGCTGGACTTCTCGAAGGTGACGGACATTGTGGAAAACAGCACGCAGCGGCGGTCCGTCCTGTTTCGGGCGGGGCTTTTCGCCGGGGCGGACACGTACAATTGCGCCGACGCGAGCCACTTCCGCGACGTGGCCGACTTGGCAAGCCCAACCGCCGACGAGCTGGCCTCCACCGCCGACGGAGCGGACACCTCGTGCCCGGAGGACGAGGATCCGTTCCGTGTCAAGCTCAAGATCGACACGGTTCCGTACATATGCATTGCAAAAGTGTTTGGGCCGTCTGGAAGAACGTAGGACTTGTCATGCTTGTCTGGCATGACTCTTAGTATAATCTGTGATGCGGAAGCAGGAACGGGGCCTCTTGCCTGTCATGCAAAGACGCAGTTTGCCATGCGGAAAACGAAACACATGGCAGTGCAAAAACTTGTCATGCTTGGCTGCATTATATTGTAGTGCGCCCACCAACACCATTTTTCAGATTCAGAGATTTGCATCACAAGTTTCCACCAGACCCAGACATATAATTTGCAAAATTTGATAGTACACGGTGACGATCCCTATCTCGTGGGAGGACGCCAGTTCCGACCAGGTCACCGTGTACTGGGACGATCCCGATGGGGACACCGAACTGCATCCCGATTTCAAGCCGGACAACGAAACCGCGGTGGCTATCCTGAGTAAAAACGTACCCACACCAGAGTTGCAATGCAGATTTGCAAAGACTGGAAGACTTGTAATGCGCATCCCCATGAGAGCCATTTCCAATCGTGTTTTTGAATTTGTGATGCTGTGAACAGGATGAGCAGATGAATCTGTGATGCGGCTGCACTTGCTAACCTGCACTAGTCTACACTGCGGAGTGCAATTTGTCATGCGTGACTCCCAAAACTCCTAGGTTTGTGTTGCAAAATCCCCATCCTGACTCTGGTGTGGGGACGTTTTTACTCAGGATAGTGGCGGAAGGGGGGACGTCCGTGCACCGGTTTCTCACTACCTACAACCACACCTACAACCGGCCGGGGGAGTACGTGATCACCGTGCGCTTCAAGGAGATAAGCTCGGGGTGGCAACCCGCCAACGATGTTGAAAACGAGCCCGCGGTGGTGGACTACAAGCAGGCCTGGAAGCAGTTGCTCAACGTCGGCTACCAGCACGCCGGCACGGGCAATCTGCTAAAGAACCTGTTTGATGGCGCTACCAAAGTGGAGAGCAGCTCCCTGTCGGTGCGGCCGTCGCTGCTGAACCGGTACTGGAGTGGCGCGGCGATGACCAGTATCAGTGCCATGTTTCGCAATTGCGTTTCCCTGTCCGCGATCGACGCGGCGTCCTGGAGCCTGGCGGAGGTCCAGGAGTTCGAGTCCACCTTTCAAAATTGCACGCAGCTGCAGACAATAAGTGGGTTGGCCTCCTGGAATGTTCAAGCGGCGCAGACGATGCGGGCCCTGTTCGCGGACTCGGTCGCGTTGACAAGCGTGGTGCCTTCGGCCACGGAGAACTGGGCGGTGCACAACGTGACGACGTTCGAGGCGACGTTCTCGAACGTGCACAAGGCCAACCCGGATGTGTCCAAGTGGCAGACGCGGAAAGCACGCCACGTGGGGCAGATGTTCGAGAACTTGGAGATTGCAGACCCCGACGTGAGCCAATGGGATGTGTCCGGCGTCACGGATTTCAACGCTTTGTTCCGTGGTGCTGTGGTCGCCGATCCGGACGTGAGCCTCTGGGATGTGGGAAGCGCGGAAAACCTGGCGGATGTGTTTCAGGGTGCGGCCAGCGCCAACCCGACCGTGACGAAGTGGGACGTTCGCAAAGTGACCAGCATGCATGCTCTGTTCGAATCTGCCTCCGTGGCGAAACCAAACGTCACGGCCTGGCAAACGGACTCCGTGAAGACTACGGAGCGAATGTTTGCGCACGCGGTGAAGGCCAATCCGTGCGTGTCCAGCTGGAACGTGCAAAAGGTGGCCACCGTGCGGCGCATGTTTTACAACGCCACCTGCGCAACGCCAAACCTGGCAGAAGGCTTCTGGTCGGACTTCTTGGTGGACGGTTTGACCCCGTCCCTCGAGGTGGGGAGTGAGGACGTCGCAACGGGCGCGGGGCAGCTGCACCTCTGCGGTGCGGCGGAGATGACGGAAAACTTCAACGACGACAAGCAGAACGCTGCCTTCGGTCGGGGTGCGGACCTCAAGTGCAACGATGACGACCCGTTTCGTGTTCGGATTGAGGTAGAGTCCGCCCCACTCACGGTGAAACTACCGCTGAACCTCGACGACGCGCACGCCTTCACGATATTCTGGGGAGACGCGCAGAACCTCAAATTGCAGGACTTCGTCCATCCGGATAGACGGCAGCTCACGCTAGCAAACATGTCGAGCCCGGATCTCGCCGTTTTGGAGTACACTGCATTCGAACTGTACCACGTGAACGCGTACTGCAACGTAGAGAGTCAGGATTTGATTGCCCTGGACGACGCCACGAACACGCAGCTGCCTTCGAACAAATTACAGTCGGAGCAGGGGTGCGCCGCGGTCTGTAAGCCGGACCCACAGTGCAATTTTTTCTGGTTCGTGGCGAACGCCTCCCGCGGGGTCTGTGCTCGGTACCGGCAGTGCGACCTGGCCCAAGTTTCAAGCCCCGACGTGACGCTGACGGGCGGGCTCGGGAGCAAGCTCTTCCGCCGGACTTTCGGTGTCAGCACGCATACCTACACTGATCCGGGCCGCTACGAGGTGACCGTCCGCGGCACTCTCGCGCGGTGGAAGTCTGCCCAGGTCACCACGACACTCGGAGACGCGAAGCTCCAGGGCCTCCGCGACGACGAGGATCCCAGGTTGCCGCACGCGAGCGGGCACGACCAGGAAGTAGTCAATTTAAAATGGACGTACCGGCGGGTCAGAAACCTCGGGAAGGAGGGCCACCGCCTGTTTGCGTATCTGTACGAAGACAGCACGGAGATCGCCGAACTCACGAGTCTCGACAGCGACCGGTTTGCTCGGTATTGGGCTGGCGCGCGCAGTCTTCGCGGCATGCTGCGGAACACCGCGAAGCTGCAGACGGTGAACGACCTGGAGAACTGGGACGTCTCAAAGGTCACCGACGTGGCCTACGCGTTTGCCAATTCCGCAACGGTGCCACTGCTTTCGGGCCTGGAGCACTGGAACGTGGCGCAGGTGACGGATTTCCGCGCAGCCTTTCAGGGCGCCGCCAAGCTGCAGATCCCGGGCACTGGCGCGTCCTCCGTGACCACTTGGAATGTCGCGACGGGGAAGCATTTCCAGCACCTGTTCGCGCAGGCCCCAACGGTGACCCCGGATCTCGCCCTGTGGGACCTGGGCGGGGCGGAGGAGGTGCAGGGCATGTTCCGCGATGCCACCGCCGCCAATCCGGACGTGAGGAACTGGAATGTCACCAAGGTCTCCAACTTCGCCGACATGTTCCGTGGCGCCACCGCCGCGGATCTCGACGTCTCCGCCTGGGACACCGGGAGTGGCCGAGTCTTTGCGAATTTGTTCCGCGGCTACACGGCCCAGTCCCTGAACGTGACCAACTGGGACTTACGGAACGCCGAGGTGACGCGGGGCATGTTCCGCGCGATCGTGAAGGCGGATCCCGACGTGCGGTTGTGGCAGGTTCAGAAGGTGACCGACATGTCGGGCACTTTCCGGGCCGCAGCGCGGGCCAACCCGTGCGTGACGTACTGGCCGGTTGTCTCCCACGCCCAGCAGCATCTGCTGCTGGACACGATGTTCAAGGACGCTCCCTGCGCCAGCCCCAACATTGCCCGCTGGAAGTTGCAGAATGTAACGAAGAACGAAGCGTGGCTGGACGGGACCGCGTTGAAAAGTTCCTGTGCAGCACGGTGGCAGGACAATGCGGACGACCTGTGGCGCATGACCACGGACGGGGGCGACTCCAACTGCCCAGGGGACTCGCCGTTCCGCATAGACATCGAGTTGACGGACCCGGCTCAGCTGAACGTGCGGCTGCCCCTGTACGACGACGAGACGGGCAACCGGTTCACGGTGCACTGGGGGGACGGCGAGCGCGCAGAGGAAGGCGACTTTGCCTCCTATGTGCGCTGCGCGGACTGCTTCTCTGTCGCCGGGGCGGCCGACGGAAGCTCCGACATCCAGGGGGGCGCGCACAACCACACCTACGCGAGCGTGGGCACGTACTCGGTGGTGGTCCGCGGCGCAATCGCCCAGTGGAAGGACCTGATGGAGGAGACGCTCGACTACAGTACGGGCGCAAGAGAGGCCATCCACTTTCGCATCGCGCCGGCGGCCTACCGCGCAGAGGTGGAGCTCGGTAACGGCACGCGGTTCGAGGAGATTCGGGCGTGGAAAAAGAGCTTCCGCACGCTGCGTGCTATCGGCACGAGCGGCGCAGTTTTGTATCCGTTCCTCTTTCAATATGAAAGTGCACAACTGCTCGCCCTCCCCCTCATTTGTCATGCAAAATTGCAAGTCCACCCTTTGCCTGTTAGCACTGTTTGCATGACAGACTCCGGAATTTTTATTTTATCCAAAACAGCAGTACGTACAATCCTCTAGCAATTTGTCAAGCAAAAGCTGCATCTTTGCCAGCGCTTGTGTTGCTCTACTTCATGCCAACATACAAATGAGGGGGGGGGGAGTTCTTGTGCCTTCTCATATTCAAGGTGCGGAGTCGCTCCTGGTCCCGCACCCGCAAACCGCACAGCTGCTGTCGCGCTACTGGCCGACTGTCACGAGCACGGAAGCCATGTTTGAGAACGTACAAGACTTGGCGTCGCTGGACGTGTCCTCGTATGAGGTCGGCAGTGTGACCACGATATCACACAGAAAAAAGCTGGCAGGGCATATTTGTAAAATGCAAAAATAAATACACAGAAAAATCTGTATTGCGTATCCGAAACAGCATGCTATGGGGCCACCCACGACAAATTTTTCTGCATATTTATTTTTGCATTACAAATATGCCCTGCCAGCTTTTTTCTGTGGGATACACGATGCGCCGGATGTTCCAGAGCGCCAAGTCGCTGACCAACCTCGCGGGGTTGGGCAACTGGGCCACAAAGGTGACGCAAGTGACGGACCTCGCCTATGCCTTCGCAGGACTCAGTGCCCTCGATACCGCGGATTTGAACACGGTTTCGGCTACCTACGCAGCGACTTCGCTTGCATCCTGGCAAATCACGAAAGTGAAGACGCTAAAGGCGACCTTCAAGGACAGCGTTCTGGCGAACTTCGAGGTGCCGTTGTGGGATGTTTCGCAGGTGACTGATTTCGGCGACGCGTTCGCCAACGCCACGACATTCGACCCGGATGTGCGGGAGTGGGATGTGTCCAGTGGCCGCGACTTCACGCGGATGTTCCAGAACGCGCGAGCCGCACAAGCCCAGACGGGCAAGTGGGCCGTGAGTAAAGCGACCACGTTCGAGGGCATGTTCCAGGATGCGATCGTCGCGGAGCCCAACGTGACCCTTTGGGACGTGGGTGCGGTGGGCGTGATCTCGGACATGTTCGACAACGCGCGCCGGGCCAAGCCCTGCGTCTCGCACTGGGTCTTCGGCGCGGCCAAGCTGGTGCGGATGCGGAACGTGTTTCGGGATGCGGTCTGTGCCTCCCCGAACGTGGTGGACTGGGACCTCTCCGGCCTCGTGGACTCGCAAGACTGGGCGCTGAACACGGCACACACCGCGCTCGAGTGTTTGACAACCGCGGACGGCAGTGCGTACGAGCTCAGTTTTGAGAACCAGGGACACCGCGCGGACAACAGCTGTCCCACGGACGATCCGTTCCGCGTCGAAATCGAAGTGACCAATGATCGCGTGAACACCACCCTGCAGCTCCCACTCCACGGCAGTCCCACGCTAACCAAGACGAACGCGGGCGGGGTGTCCGAAACGCTCAACACGTACAAATTCACCGTGTACTGGGGTGAGGCCGGCCACTCCCCCACACTGCAAGAGGTGGTCACCAGTCACCGCGGAGACTTCGCGTTCACGCACGCGTATCGGCAGGCGGGCCGCTACCTGGTAACCGTGCGGGGAGTGCTGGACCCAGGTTGGGCCGACGTGCAGGATGACGCTGCGGTCGTGGACCAGGTGGTCGCCTTCAAGAAGTCGTTGCGCGACGTGAAGCAACTCGGACAGTCCATGCACCACCTGATACCCAGGCTGTTTCAAGAGAGCTCGGAACTGACAGAGATGAAAACCGACCACCGCGCTTTTCTGTACGCGTGGCCGCGAGTCACCTCGCTGGTGAAGATGTTCGACAACGCGCGGGAGCTGCGGACGCTGGATGTGGGCACGTGGGATGTCGCGCAGGTCACCTCCCTTTACCGCACCTTCCACCAAGCTCTCAAGCTGGAGAACGTGACCGGGTTCGACACCTGGGATACCTCCTCCGTGCGCACCACGGAGGAGACCTTTCTCTACGCGCAAAGTCTCCGCACCTCGGGCTACCACGAGGCGGTTCCCGACGTCAACGCGAACGGCCCCAGCGCGGGGCTGCAGGTCACCGTCGACCAGAAGCAGGGGGTGGCGGCCTGGGCTCTGGGTCAGGTCACCACCATGCGCCGCATGTTCGCTTACTCGAACGTCGGCCAGTGGGACACGACCCTGTGGAACGTCGCCAAGGTGACGGACTTCTCGGAGATGTACTTCTACGCGCCGGAAGCCGAGCCGCGGACCACGGAGTGGGACACGACGGCCGGGCGCACGTTTCTGTCCACCTTCGAGGGCGCCACCAAAGCCAACCCGGATGTCGCGAAGTGGTTCCCAAGTACGCACAAGGCCACCACCGTGGAGCGCATGTTCAAGAACACGGCGAATGCGGAGCCGGACGTGCGGCTCTGGAAGGTGGAGAACATCGAGACCATGCGCGAGCTGTTCCACAACGCGCGGGGCGCGAAGCCGTGCATCACCAACTGGCAGTTCTCGAAGACCACGGACCTGTCCCTCTTCATCAAGGACGCGGTGTGCGCCAGTCCGAACCTGGAGCCGTGGCTCGATTTTGTCGCCAACAACAACGTGAACGTGACCCAGTGGGCGCTGAACGCCGGGGTGATGGAAAATTGCCAGAAGCTCGGGTGGAACTCGGACGGCTTCGACGTCACCTGTCCGGACGACGACCCCTTCCGCGTGAACGTGCGGATCGAACAGGTGCCCTGGACCCTCCGCTTGCCCATCGATGTGCAGGACAACACCAAGGACTACCGGTTCACGCTGTACTGGGGCGACCCGGACGAGCCCGCAGACAGCCTCGAGGACCGCGTTTGGAGCGGCGCGAAGATGTCGGCGTCGGACGGGTCCTCGACGAAGTTCGCATTCAAGCACACGTACTACAAGACGGGCCGGTTCTCCGTGGTGGTCCGCGGGATTCTTACGCCCTGGACCCACACTCCGGCGAATGTCGACTACGGAGACACTATGAATTGCAAAAGTACTTATCTTGCTCGTAGATGAAATTGCGAACGTGCATGACAAGAAATACCTTTCCCATTATACCAAATCCAAAAACAAACTCCACTTTTGTAGTGTTCGGAAAAATTTGTATTTATGCAATTTCATATACTAGGACGATACTTTATTTGCAGTGCATAGACACGGACTTGCAAAACGACACGCACCGGTACATCACCAACTACAAGGAGCGGATCGTCACCCTGTACGCGCTCGGGCGGAGCGGCACGGTGTTGATGGACGATTTGCTGCTGGGCTGCCGCGCCATGGAGGAGCTGCCGACCGCACGGATTTTGGGCGACGTGATTAAGGAACCCACGGTGAAGTCGCTGAGCGGGATGTTTGTGGGCAGCGACAACCTGCGGCTCGTGAACGCGAGCGGGTGGCAGACCAACGGCATCACGGACATGAGTCGCATGTTCATGAAGTGCTCGAGCCTGCAGATGGTGTACGGCCTGGGCAGCTGGGACACGTCGAACGTGATCAACCTGGAGCTGATGTTCGAGGGCACCTACGTGGGTCTGAACACCACGCAGCAGACCCTGGCCAACTGGAACACGGGGAAGGTCCGGTCGCTCGAGGCCATGTTCCGGAACGCCCCCTGGGTAAACCCCACCATCTCCGACTGGGACGTGTCGGCGGTGACGTCCTTCCGGGAGATGTTTTTCGCCGCGGCTAACGCCAACCCGGACGTGGCTAAGTGGCAGACGGGGAACGTGAAATACTTCGACCAGATGTTATTGCAAGGAAAAATGCCCCCACCCCCAAATTTGCAATAATTTGTGATGCGAAGTTTCCAAATGAAAACTTTTTGTCATGCATGGAAGGAGTATGAATCTTTCTGATGCAGAGTCTAGGCGTGTATCTGTATCGCATCACTTGCATGACAAGCGCCGCTCTTGCTAGGATCTTTTGCAATGCAAACTTTTGCTATTCGTATTCACAATTGGAAATCTGTGATGCTGATAGATGCAAAAGGACGGGCGTTTCACTTGGAAAGGTTTGCAATGCAAACGCTCCCAAGAAGTTCGGGGGTGGGGGCATACATTTTTCATCGTAATAGATGTTCGCTTTCGCGTCCAAGGCCAATCCGGACACCTCTATTTGGAAGACGTCCAAGACGCGATCTTTGAAAAACATGTTCCAGGATGCGTACGCGGCGAACCCCAAGGTGCACGATTGGGACCTGCGCCAGGTCACCGACATCTCCGGGATGTTCCTGAATGCGTACAACGCCCGGCCCTGCACCTACCGGTGGCAGGTGAGCAGCCTGCAGCAGATGCAGAACCTCTTCCAGAACGCCTACTGCGCGACCCCGAACCTCGCGCCGTGGTTCGCGCCCGCCGCCTATCAAATGTAAAAATGTCTGGGTCTGGAAGAGTCATGCTGTTTCTGCATGAAACAGAAAGTCTGACATGGACGCTCTAGCATCACAGGTTTCGAGAAGCTTCCGCAGTGCCGAATCCGCATGACAAATGCCCCATTTTGGTGACAAAAAGTGAGCAGCTCTTGCTGCCTGTGCATCAGAGATTTTTGTGTGTTCTAAAATGCGCATCACAAATTACATCCTTCCCGACCCAGACATTTTTACACTTGATACCGCCGTCTCCGTGGCGGGCTTGTCGGATTCCACCGACTGGTCGAAGAACATGGGGCTGTTCCTGGCCGGCAGCTCCAAGGACGGCACCACGCAGTCCGCGCTGGGCAACTTCGCCACGCAAGCGGGCGCGAACCCGCAGGTGTCGGTGTGCCAAGCGCCGCACTTCGGCCCGGACAGCGGCCGGATGCCTCCCACGTACAACATCCACAACCTGGACTACGTGTTCGGGCAGGCCGACCCCGACAACTCGCAGATGCTGCCGCAGTACGCACCCGACCCCGATTGCCCGAGCGACGACGCGTTCCGGGTCACGCTGGAGATCACCGCCGCGCCCACCACCGTGAAGCTCCCGATCGACACGTCCGCGACGGCACAGCATGTATCGCAAGAAAAAACTGTTTCACATTCACTGTAAACTTGTAATGCCGAAGATGTATCTGAGAAGTATTTGTCTTGCTACACATGCAAGACAATGGCTTTTTAGCTGTCTTTTCCCTTAGGAATCTCGCACGTTGGCGGATTTTCTCTGTGATGCAGGACAAACTTGTGATGCAAAACTTGCAAAATCCTTTACAGTGAAGCACTTTATTTTTCACACGATAGCATGCCTACACAATCTACTGGGACGACGAGATGGCGCCCGCGTTCTCCCTGCCGGACAGCGTGTGGACCGCCGCCTCCGCACCGCACCCGACGGCGCTCTCCGAGCACACCTACACCCAGGTCGGGTGGTACCACCTGGTGGTGCGGGGGAAGATCGACCGGTGGACGCTGTATGACAGCGCGCACGCGGACTACGAGAAGGTGCGCAACTTCAAGAAGGCCTGGCGCCATCTGTGGTCGTTGGGCATCTACGGACACCTGTTGTTTGCGTTTTTGTTCTATCAAAATGAAAAATCCCCCCACCCCATACTCAAGCTAGAAATTTGTGATGCAGATTCGTGGTTACAAATCAGCTTTGTCATGCTAGAAGGGAAGAGATGCGGACTGTAGTGCTGGTTGGCGTGCTGGGAAAGCCTTGCATCTTCAGAATGAAAGGGGGCAGCTGGAAGTGGGAAACAGCATGACAAATTGCCTGCAAACGAGGCCAAAGCTGCGTCTCTTGGCCTTCTAGCATTACAGGTCGATTTGTGTACTCGAATACTGTATTCGAGTACACAAATCGACCTGTAATGCTGTATTATACAGCATCACAAATTTCGTTTTCGATATGGGGAGGGGGGATTTTTCCTTTTGATATGTTCCAGTACTGCGACGGGCTCTTGTCCATTCCGGCGCTGGCAACGTTCCGGGCCTACCTGCCCAACGTGGACGACCTGCAGTTTATGTTCCACGCGGCCGAGTTGAAGACTGTGCCGGCGCTGGAAACCCAGGGGCACCGGTACGGGGCGCTGCTGGACTTCGCGGAGGACCCCGCGGAAGACTTTTTCTACACCTGGGACGTCTCGCAGATTACGAACATGGAAAGCATGTTCGACTCCGTGACCGGCGTGATCCGCAGCCCCGAGGTCTCGCGGTGGGACACCGCGAAGGTGCGGAACATGAAGCGCATGTTCGCGAACACCAAGCTCGCACCCTGGAGCGTGGTGTTTTGGGACGTTCGGGAGGTGACCACGTTCGTGGAGATGTTTGCCCAGACCGACCACGCGAACCCCTGCATCAACCGCTGGCTTTTCCGCCCCGACGCGGACGTGACGGACATGTTCAAAAATGCGGTGTGCGCCACGCCGGAAACCATGAAACCCACGGCGCCGGCCATCCGAACCGCCATCCACAACGCCGCCGCGCACTACCAGCCGAAGCTCTGCCAGGGGAGCGTGCCCGGGCGTGGGTGGGTTATCCCCTTCGGCTGCGACGAGCCCACGCGGTTCGATCTGCAAATCGGTGCGGCGAACACGCGGGTGCGGATCCCCCTGATTCGGGACACCCACTACGATGCGATGGTGTACTGGGGGGACGACACCGGGGGGTCCATGCTGATTACCACCGGCACGGCATTGGCAGACGTGGCTTTCACCTACAACGCGGCGGGCTCGTACCCTGTGGTCATCGTAGGTGCATCCTTCGTATCCTGTGCAAAAGTATCGTACTCGTATTGCGACCATGCATTACAAATCTTGTTCTTAAGCTAAATTCGCATTACAAATTTTTTTTCTCATGCTGACGCTGAGGAAATTTGTAATGCATTTATACGAGTGCGATACTTTTGCAGTTCATACTTCGCGCAGTGGCAAACCTTGACGCCGGACCCTTTGGACGCAGTTCCTCTTGCCGACCGAGCCACCACTACAGTTCCGGCAGTCACGAACGCGCGCGCGTATGACCCGCTCAGATCCCGCAAAAACCACAGCTGCTCCAATAAAATCAAGCTGAACAACAGTCTTGTTCGTCATCTTGCATGAACGACGAACTAGTAAAAGAACGAAGGGTGTGTCGTCCGCGCTTTGTTCCGACAACTCCAGCACTTGTCATGCGCATCTTACTTTATGTAATGCAAGTTTATGTAGTGCCCTTGGTGTTGGTACTCGTACTATGCTGTTGCCGATGCAAATCTAGATCGCGCAACTTCTACTTCAGGACCACGATCCATCTCCGTTTCCATTGCGACACCAGCTCGTTGAGATTGTAACACTTGAGCAGGTTATAGTGCGCGCCGCGAGATTCGCCGGCTCGAGCAGGTCGAGTATCCCTATGAGAGACGCAAGTTGTTGCGGGACAGCCGACGGACTCGACTGCTTGGAACCTCCGGAAAGGAGTCCACTACAGCCGCAGCTAGCAGCAGGACCACGAGTGAAGATGTGGGAATGCTCGTTGACAATGCTCGCGCGCGCCGAGTGCAAGAAGAGGACACAGAAGCTGCTACCCCGCCGGACCCGGCGTACTTGGCGTTCAAGCAAGCCCTGACGAAAATAATCGCCATCGGGGAGATCGGCTGGGTCTCTTTCGAGGGGGCTTTTGCGGAGCTGGACAACCTGCAGAGCCTGGACTTTACCGACATCACGGTATCGCCGTTGCACACGCACGGGGTGGAGTACTACTGCTTTCTTTTCAAGAGACTCTGCATCGAGCGCACGGTAACTTTTGACGAGTCCGTGCTTTACGAGAACGGTGTGCGCACATTTACAACAACCCTCCCGCCGGGAATGCCGCGCCGTCGAAATTTGCTTGACGGCTCAACATCTAGTAGTCCGGCAGGTGATATTGGTCAACAAGCCGATGTCCCCAGCAGTAGTACAGCAGCTGCTACCACCAGGGATAGTGCGGCGAGCTACACAACTTCATCAACTACGATGTCTTCCGCGCCACCAAGCACCCTAGCTAGTACAACGTCAACATCTCCACGACCCGAGTCACCCGTGATGTTGAGAGCGCTACAAGAACGCAAGCACTTACGAGAGGAGTTTGCGGATGCTTGGCGGGAGCGACCAAGAAATTGGCATCCACAAGATCCAGTCATAAAGCTGCCGTGGTTGAGCGGTAGGCACGAGAGCAGCGAGGGGAGGGGCACATTCCTCGAGGCGGCAGGAGGAGAAGAAAGCACGAGGACTAGCACGCTGACCGAAAACCTGTACTCGGCCTTTTTCGGACAGGAGGACGAAGAAGATCCCGCAATTGCGCAACCAACTCGGACGACAACAATCGGGACAACAACTACTCCGACGTCTTCCACGCGCGCTTCTTTCGCTTCCAAGCCGGGACAAGGGCGGCAGAAGAGACGGCTGTTTACCCGGCGGGAGCTGCAGAGCACCAGTTCGGGCGCCGCCTTGGTGGCGGTCTTTCCCTCCGTGACTTCCATGAGTGGGTCGTTCGAAGGCTCTTTATCCTGAGTAAAAACGTACCCACACCATAGTCAAGTTGGGGAATCGGCTAGACAAATCCACAAGTTTTGGCTGTTTTGCATGACAAATTTGGATTCGTAGTGTAGTGCTGTTTGAGCTAGCTCAGCAGCATCACAGATCTAGCATACCATGCTGATTGGAGCATGACAAATTGCAAAACACGATTGGAAAATGCTTCTCATGGGGCTCCGCATGAGAAACATTTTCAGCATGCAGATTTGCATGACAACTCTGGTGTGGGTACGTTTTTACTCAGGATACTCTTCCACCGTGGTTTTGGCCGATCTGAACAGCTGGAATCTGGGCGAGGTGACCAGCCTTGCCAACGTGTTTGCCGATGCCCTGCAAGTGACCCTGGACACGGCGGACTGGAATGTGGGCAAGGTGGCGGACTTCTCCGGCGCGTTCATGAACATGGTAGTTGCGAACCCAAACACCACTGCCTGGAACACCGGCAGCGGGGGAGCCTTCGCGAACATGTTCCGCGGGACGGTTGCGGCCACGCCGGATGTATGCACTGCAAATACAACGTCTGAGTTGCCTGGAACGCTGCGGCTTGTCATGCTAAGTCTGGATCGTGCATCAAAGATCTGTGACGCATGGTTCCCAAAAGCTTTCCACTTTATTTGACCAAGTTGAAGTTGAGAGGGAGTGTCTCATGTAGGATAGGCGTGATAGAAGTGATACAGATCGCACAGATGAATCTGTTGTGCCAGGCCCTGCATGGCAGACCCCGTGGGTCATGAAAAATCTGCAGGACGAGTCTTGCAATCTTCCAGACAGACCCAGACATATTCTCACTGGATAGGATGTCTTGAATTGGAATACCGGGGCCGCCACGGACATGTCGGGAATGTTCCAGGGCACGGTGGCAGCGACCCCGAACGTGACCCTGTGGAACATGCAAAGCATCCAGACCATCGCGTCTATGTTCGAAGCCTCGCAAAACGCAGAGCCCAACATCCTGCTCTGGACCACACCCAATCTGCAATCCATGCGGCGGTTCATTCAGGACGCCGGCAAAGCGGTGCTGTTGATTGGGCCCAACTTCCGAGCGGTAGGTCTGACCAACATGGACCTCATGTTTGCCAACCGCGACATCGCGCCGCGGACCGACCATTGGGACGTGTCCACGGTAACCAGCATGGATCGCATGTTCTACAACAATTCGCTGGCGAAGCCCGACGTGGGTCCGTGGGACACACGGAGGGTGAAAAACATGCACAAAATGTTCATGCGCGCGCCTCTGGCCGAGCCGGCCACCTCCGGGTGGAACGTGACCCAGGTCACCGACATGGTCCGCATGTTCGCGTTATACATTGCAAAAATGTCTGGGTCTGGAAGAAGACAAACTTGTGATGCGCATTTCAAAACACAGAAAAATCTCTCATGCACAGGTAGCAGAAGCTGCCCACTTTCTGTCACCACAATGGGGGATCTGTCATGCGGATTAGGCATTGCGGGAGCTTCGCGAAACCTGTGATGCTAGAGCTTCCATGCCAGACCTTGCGTGTCATGCAAAAACAGCATGACTCTTCCAGACCCCGACATTTTTACATTTGATACGCGTACGCCACCAACGCGAACCCGGACGTTGCAGCGTGGAATACCTTACGCTCTGCAAAAGTATCGTACTCGTACTAATTGCAATCATGCATGACAAATATTTTTCCTAGGGCGAAACAGCATTACAAATTCCACTTTCCTGCTTGCAGAAATTTGTCATGCGATTTATACTAGTACGATATTTTTGCAGTTCATATACCTCGAAGCTGCAGAGCATGCACGGCATGTTCATGCACACCGACCGTGCGGCCCCCGACTGCACCCTCTGGAACACCACGGGGGTGACAGACTTCTCGCAAATGTTTGACACCGCGAAGGTGGCCAATCCGGACACGGAGAAGTGGAACACGCGCAAAGTGTTCAACTTCACGCGGATGTTCGCGGCCACGGGACTTGCGGACCCGAATATGGGAAGGTGGCGCATGGAGGAGGCCGTGTACCTGAACCAGATGTTTAAGGGTGCCCAGGCCGCGACCGCTCACTCCACCTGGGGGTGGCAGTGGCTTTACGAGGACATACCCCTCTCAGGAGCAGCACTTGCTCGTGCACGGACGAGGCAATTGCAACAGGATGTCGTTGAGACACCTTTTACACCACCGCCATCACCAATGGAGGAATTCGAGCGAGAGCGGGCAGCCTGGCTTATAAACATAACGGACGAAAGACGCCACGAGCACCGGATCCAATTTCTGAACAATTTTCCCGTCAGAGGTACACTTTTACCCGGCCCGAGCGGTCCTCAAGCCTCTTTTACTGTGTCCCATGACCACCGGCGGGCGACCTCCGCGACGAGAGGTTTATTAGGCAGGACGCTGCAGCAGGACGGCGCCGGCAACGCCACGGATGCAGCTTCTTCTAGTGATGCAGGAGGAGATCTGTATAGTGTAGAGCAAAAAGTAAACGCTCGCGGGATTTTCATTCCCCTGGACTACGCGCCGACCAAGTTCTATGGAAATGTCAGAATCGAAATTGACAAAGTAGAAAAGTTTGCGATGCACAAAATCGATGTCAGTTGGAGCCTCAGTTTCCAAGTGGCGCATGACCAATTTCGAGAGCACCCAAATACAGCCTGTCATGCTGTTTGAGCAAAGGAGACTGCTCCTGTCGTGCTACTCTGGCAGCACATTGCATACCCATAAACAGGCTCACAATCGGGCTCATTTGCCTGCTCCCCAATACAAGCTTTCGGCGCCCTACATTTTATACATCACAAGTTTTTCGATTTCGTCGATTTCGATCCTGACACATCCATAAGTTCGGCTCCGTCCGTATGGTGTTCTCAACTGTTACATTCTCAACTGTTACATGATTTGTCATGCAAAATAGCCTTCAGAATCGACACCATCAAGCTGCTCCGCATGACAAATTCTCAGAGGGCCAAACAGGCTGATAATCGGCGCCAAATCTGTCATGCAAGACGCGCAAGATCTCCCCTATCACTTTTGCCATTCTTGCATCACAAATTCATGTAACAGTTGAGAATGTAACAATTGAGAACGCCATAGTCCGCATGTGGAGCTACGCGGACGAACCGGCTCCGCTGGGTATCGTAAGGAAAAATCCCCCCTCCCCATATCGAAAACGTATCCGTCTGAAAATTTGTGATGCGCATTTGTGACCTCAAATCCTGGCTGTCTTGCAAGAAGGCAAGTCCAGAAAGCGTTCCGCATTTTGCAGGCGGTTTGTGATGCTGTTGGGCTAAGAGCATGCGCGTTTGTCATGCTAGGCGCCTACGTCAAAACCTCTCGACTGAGGCTTGGCATATGCCTGCAGTCCTCTACTGCAAGACAAATCTGATTTGTGTATGGAAATCCAGCATCAGAAACGTCGTTTCGATATGGGGAGGGGGGATTTTTCCTTTTGATACTGGGGTGTGTGAACTCTTTTGGGTGCCGCCTTTACATGTACGGAGATTACCAACCGGAGCCCTTCCCAACCAACATGCGCCACGTGTACATGTATCCCACGAAAAAACTGTTTCACTGTAAGGTAGGATCATTTTGCAGGTTTTGCATGACAAGTTCGCTCTACATGACAGAGAAAATTTGCCATGCAAGCTTCCTAAGGGAAAACACAGCTAAAAATCCACTTTCTTGCATGTGTAGCAAGACCACAAATACTTCTGCGTTCCATTTTATGCATCACAAGTTTACAGTGAAACAGTTTTTTCTTGCGATAACATGGATGAGATGTTCAAAGACACCATCCGGGCCGACCCGAGCACGAAAAATTGGTACATGAAGTACGTGGTTTCAGCCCGGGCGATATGCATTGCAAATATGTCTGGCTCTGGAAGATTGCGAGATTTCTCATGCTCGTTTGGCATGACTCCAAACTCTGTATTGCGTAGGGCCATCGGAAGACCTCCTCTTGTCTGTCATGCAAAAACGATGTTTCTCATGCGGAAACGGAATACGCAACACAGAGCCACGAGAAAATCTGTCATGCTTGGCGGTGCATTACAGTGCGCTGTCTATTCACTGACATGCGTCACAAGTTTTCAGACCCAGAGGACATATTTGCACTTGATAGGCGATGTTCGAAAACAGTCTGCACGCGAACCCGGATACGTCCAAGTGGGGCCTCGACCGGATGACGGACATGTCCTTCATGTTCAACAAGGCGCGGCGGGCGAACCCCTGCACGCTGAAGTGGTCGTACATGCCGCATTTGCGCGACCTCCGGGGGTTTCTGAAGGACGCAGCCTGTGCGGCTCCGCTGTACGAGCGGTGGGACGTGCTCCGCGTCGACTGGGAGGCCGACGGAAAGATCGACTTCTTGTACGGAAACCAGATCGACGAGATGCTTGGGGGCGACGTGGAAAATGGTACCCTGTGCTTCGAGTCCCCGGACTACATATCAAATGTAAAAATGTCTGGGTCTGGAAGCTTGCCAGGTTTGTCATGCATATTTTGGAAGACTCGTGATGTCTGTGATGCATGCTGTAGCATGACAGATTTTTAGAGGCCTTTGTGATGCCTCTACCGCATGAGAAATGCCCTCTCCGGGTAGCACAAACTGGAGTTATGTTGCCGGTCATTCAATGCAAATTTTTTTAGAATCTAGAGACAGCATCACAAGTTTAGAAACTTCCAGACCCAGACATTTTTGCATTTGATGCTACAGCAACGAATACCAAAATTTTCCGCCCCCCGCCCACAAGGGTTGCCCGGAGTACGAGAAAATTCCCTACCCCTACCTCACGTTCCTCCCCGCCTTCCCCGCCATTTTGTGGGTGCAGATCTACTTCATCATCCTGTGTCTGTGCACCTGGCGCCGTACCAACATCGACCGCATTTCCACGAAGCCCTCGGAGACCACCAAATATATCATCACCGAGGTGTGGACCCCCCAGCACTGGCAGGACACCTACTGCAACCGGCGGAAGCGGAGCCTTCGCCCGCACGAAAACGACGACCCGGAGGATGAATCGGAGGGCGCGTTGGCCGGCGCGCCCAAGGGCGCCGGGAGGGTAGACGTCAAGGCGGAGGGCGAGGCAGAGGGCGACGCGGCAGCCGCGGTGGATGACCGTGAGAGCACGGGGGAGTCTTCCTCCAGCACATCGCGCTCCTCGCATATCGAAGGAAAAAAGTGATACAGTTACACACGACATCGAAAATAGCGTATTTTTTCAAGGGCAGGCTAGAACTTTTTTCGAGCCGCGGCTACCTGTCACGCCTATTGCGTTTTCATTTTCGTGTCAGTGTAAGTCTCGAACACATCAAAACAGGAGCGGAATCGGTAGCAATGATTTTCGTCCGTTGAGTATCCGAGTGGGGGCACTCATTTACACTGTCAGGATGGAAAGACTCACGATGGGCATAAGCATAGGCGTAGGCTGGCTAGGCTTAGGCTGTGCGATTCTACTAGGCTAGGCATGCTGTACGAAGCTACTGGCTACGTCCGTGATTGAATTTCAGGGATCCTGCGGGCGCAGGCTCTTCCGTGGGTGTCTGAGAAAATATCTCGCCTACAAGTCAAGCGGCGCATGCTTGATAGCGCAACACTCGTGCTACAGGGCTACCAAAACCCTGCCAATGTTCACCCGGAGGCGGTTTGCCACTCTTGTGACCGAGTCCCCTTCCATCTGTATTCTCTGCTTCATGTTGTCACGGGATGGGGCCAGGAAACAAAAGGCCAGCGAACCGCATTCCGGGCCAGCCATTGGGAGAGGAGCGCCAAAATAGGCGCGCCCTCAGCTAGCTAGTGTAGGACGTAACTGATGGGGCCGATGGCTGGCTGCATTCGTCATGTCTGCGTCATTCATCAGAAACGAAGTTTTCGCCGACCTGCGTTCCAAAAAAATTCTTACTGAACGTATGAAAATATTCGGTTTTATTTTTCTTGCAATGTGTAACAGTAACACTTTTTTTCCTCCAGTACATCGCGCTCCTCGCAGTCGAAGAGCGGCGATTCGGGCGGCGGCGCGGCCGCGGGCCCGCCAAAGGTTCTTCGACCCCCGAAGTCGCCAAAGCGCCGCAGCGTTGGCAGCGATGACGCAATGAAGGACAAAGTAGACTCAACATCAGCTGCAAAGTCCTCCTCGTCAAAGCAAAAGCGCCGCAGCGTGGGCAGCGATGATGCGATGGCTGGCGACGTCCATGCCGGGCCAGGACCACCCGGCGGCGGCGCACAGGACCAAGTCGGGGGCTCGTCCTCGTCTTCGCAACAGCCGCACCGCCGCAGCGTCGGGAGCGACGACGCGATGCAGGGCGACGTGCGCCACGACGGAGGAGCGGGTGGCGAAGATCAACCACACCACGACGACGACATCGCAGACCCGCCCGAAGTTCCACACGCCAAGCCTGCTGCGGTCTCCCGGACCTTTACGCGGCGGTTCACGCGCGACATCGGGGAGGAGAGCTCCATGATGAGTCTTCCTACGGGGCAGTCCAGTGCGCTGGCGCTGCGGAGCGCGCGGGACGGGGAAGAAGGCGAGCCGGGGTCCTCGACGGGAGCAGGAGGAGGTGTAGCTCCCGCGGAAGGGGAGCTGCCCGTTGGTTCTTCACCAGGAGGAGACGTTGTTGTAGACGGGAAAAAGACCGTGCAGTTCGATGAACCGCTCCGGGAGGCCGGCGACATCTCCGACAGCGAGATTCCGATGGAGGACCGCATCATGTCGGTGCACAGCGACTCCTTTAAGGAGATGTCGCAAAAAGCCAAATCGCCGACGGATTTGCTGCGGGAAAAAAAGGAGGCCCGGCGGAAGAAAAAAGTGGAAGAGCTCGACAAGCAGGCGCTGCACGCGGGCAAGGGGCCCATTGACTTCAACCAGCTGATGTTGGAGAAGCGGCGCGCCCGCGCCCCCAAGGAGGGCACACCCGAATTCGAGGCGCTAGTCAACGCGGACAAGTCCGCCGGGCGCAGCGAGCGCGGGCGGCGGTACGCGGAGCAGCGGGTCCGGGACGGCAAAGGAGGGGCGGCGGACCCGGCGAAGATGATTGACGACCAGCTTCGCCTGCTGAAGGGCAAGGGCAAGAAGTCTGGGCGCGGCCTCATTCAGCTGCCGGGAGAGCGCGGCCACCGACGGCTCTCGACGCTGACGGCGGATGACCTGTACAAGGCGCGCTTGGGGCACAAGATCCCGTTGAAGAAAGACGGCGAGGTGGACGGGGAGCCGCGGTCTCGGAGCGCGGAGCGGGCGGAGAGTTCGAGTCCGGACGACGAGGCCGGGCGGGGGCGGACCGCCGAGGCCGGGGACGGTGCCCGGGAGCGGGCCAGCAGCATGCCCGCGGACGGCGCACGCGCCTCGCGGGGCGGCTCGCTGGGTAGCATCCCGGAAAGCGAGGAAGCCGAAATGTTGCCGGACGCCAACCTCGCCCTCGTTCCCATTGGTGGAGACCGCGGCTCCGTGGCCAGCATCGTATCAAAAGGAAAAATCCCCCCACCCCATATCAAATGGGAACTCTGTGATGCAGGATTTGTGTACACAAATGCGCGCTGTCTTGCAATACGGCATCGCAGCCAGATCCGCAGCCTAGGGAGAGACGTTTTGGTCTAGTAGTTGCTTAGCATTACAAACGGCTGTCCTCTAGGCCCAACAGCATGCCAAACCGCTCCCATAATGGCAGGGAAGCCTCTGCATTTGTCTTCTTGCAGGACAGACGTGATTCGTGGTCTCAAATCAGCAGGACAAATTTTCGGAAGCATGCCTTTTCGATATGGGGAGGGGGGATTTTTCCTCTCAATGCATCGCGTCGGACGACTTTGCCGGGCCGGACCAGGTGGAGCTGATCGACACCACGGCCACCGGTCCGGCGTCCAAGTTCGCCCCCGGACGTGAGTCCTTCCTGGAGCAGCAGCAGGACGAGGAAGAGTTGCCGCAGATCGACCAGGACACCGACTCGAGCAGCGGCGTCGAAACCGACGACGAGGAGCGGTGCGTCCGAGGGACTAGCAAATACCTCCGCATTCCGGAGTTCAAGCCCGAGAAGTACTTGGGCCCGCGGTTCGCGGCGCTGTCCAAGAAGGCGCTGCCTCGGAAGTGGAAGGACTTGACGGTGCGGGACTTGGCGATTTCCAACATCACAGAGGTCTACTTCGTGCACCAGTTCAACATGATGCGCACCCTGTTGTGGTGGTGGGCGGTGACCCGGCTCATGTACTTTCTGAACCATCAGCTGGAGGAGCAGTTTTTGAGTGTGTACTACGAGCCCATCTACGTGAAGAACGCCTGGTCCTTCACGTGGGACGTCAACAAGCACGACGAGTATTTCGGGCGGTCCCGGTTCAACTTCATGCTCGCGAGCATGATGATGACCTGGTCGAGCCTGATCTTCCCCCTCCTCGCGGGGTACAACCTGATCTCCGACTTTTTGATGGTAATCTGCATCGCCGGCGACGCGGGACGAACGAACGTCATATCAGAGTGCACATGATCTCCCCCTCTTCGATCATTTGTATTTGACAGTATTGCATGAACAGCAACGCAAGCAACAGCAAAAAAGGGGCTTTCGCATGACAAATCTGCATGCGGATTTATTTGGGGTTCCAAAATTTGTCATGCTAACAGTGCTTACAAGCGAGGTGTGAATTTGGTATTTTGCATTTACAAATGAGGGCGGGGAGAGTTGTGCACTCTCATACGTCACTTTGTCGGGCTACAAGCGAAAGTACGCAAGCATCACCGACGCGAAGCGGAACGAGGCCTCCTCGGAGGGGTCGAAAACCCGGATGCAAGTGATCCAGGAGACGATCGAGAAAAAGATCCAGAAGTACGCGAACCTGGGGGGTGCCTCGCAAAAGTTGGCGCTGGCCACAGTGGTATGCCTTGCAAAAGTATCGCACTCGTTCGTAGTACTAATCGCCTTCATGCATATACAAATTGATATTGAATTTTTTTTTGCAAGTTCAATCAGCATTACATCGTGCGGAGGAAATTTGTCATTCGATTTGTAGTTGTAGTGCGATACTTTTGCAGTGCATAAGCGGTCCATCCAGAAGAAAAGATCGCGCGGATCACGCTCTACCTCAAAGACTACCGGGTGTTTCGCTACCTGTCACGCACCTCGACCTACTTGTATTGTGAGGAAAAATCCCCCCTCCCCATACCAAAAAAGGGAACTACTGAAAATTTGTGATGCTGATTTGCGACCACAAATCGTCGCTGTATTGCAAGAGGACAAAGCCAGAGAACCGCCCGCGTTGCGCAGGCGCTTTGTAATGCTGTATCGCCTACAGAGGATATGCCTGCCTTGCTAGGTGCCTACAGCAAAGCGCCCCTATTCAGGCGCTGCATCTGCCTGCAGTCCTCTACTGCTAGACAGATTGGATTTGTGTACACAAATCCCGCTCACGCCTCACGCCTCACAAATCCCGCATCACAGATTTCGGTTTTGATATGGGGAGGGGGGATTTTTCACTTTGATAACTTGAGCGTGTTTTTCATCCTGGCGGTGACCTACTTCACCTGCATATCCTGAGTAAAAACGTACCCACACTAGAGTTGTAGTGCAGATTTGCAAAGACAGGAAGACTTGTAATGCGCATCCCCATGAGAGCCATTTCCAATCGTGTTTTGGAATTTGTAATGCTGTGAACAGGATGAGCAGATGAATCTGTGACGCGGCTGCACTTGCTAACCTGCACTACACTGCAGAGCGCAACTTGTCATGCGTGACTCACAAAGGCCCTAGGTTTGTGTTGCAAAATCCCCATCGTTACTCTGGTGTGGGTACGTTTTTACTCAGGATACTGCATGCCCTTAGGGGGGACTCCGGCCCGCATGGAGCGATTCGTTTTCGCTTGCTGCGCTGCACTGTTCTTTATCAAGGGTCTGCGGGAGCGAGCCGACTGGGGCGCGCAGTTCAAGGCAGCCAGTAGCGCCGAGGCGAAGCTCCCCGGCGACTTCGACATTCTCGTCGGGTATTTCCGCGAGCGCGGGACGCTGCTGTACCAGATCGACCTCCGGGGATTTTTCGTCGCCATCCTGATTCTCGCCTCCAAGTCCTTCTTTAGCCTCTGGCGCCGTCCCTATAAGCTGATGCCCTGGAACGGGTACCTCTTGTTCTGCACCTTGGAATTCCTCCTCGACATTCCCCTTTTTTGCGCCTTCTACTTCCAGTACATGGAGTTCTATACCTGCTTCCACAAGGGCGCGCGGCGGCACGCACGCCTGGTGGATCGAGAACGCGAGAAGGTGGCGCGGGAGCGACTACGCGACGCGCAGCGGACGTCCGGCCAGCGCACCACGCTGCACCATGGCACCGGCATCTACCGTAGCGAGCACCGCTCCGGGGCGATACGGCTCACCATGTACCAGCTCATATCCTGAGGAAAAACGGGGCGCACTGTGGTCATGGACGACGCCCCATAGTCAATGACTGGGACGATGATCATCATGATCTCTGCAACTAAGTACACAAATCCGGAAGTTTTATTGGGAGTCACGCATGCAATGTCCCTCAGTTTGTTGTAGTGCAAGTTAGCTGCAGCATGAGCATCAAGGGCACCCGAATCTTCACAAAGGAAGAAAGCCATCTCCGTGCTATTCTGTAGTTTGCAGCCTTACAAATAATAATGTCCAAACACGACTGAGATCATAAGCGCCTCCCTTGGGCGGGAGGCGCATCGATTCCAAGTCGTGTTTCCATAAATAATATATTCATTGCAAATCTGCATGGCAAGAACTACTCTGGGGTCGTCTCTGCGGGCGGGAGGGCCACGTTTTTCCACAGGACAGCTGACGGGTCTGAAGCCCAAGTTCGCGGAGGACTACCTTCTGCAGGAGGCGGACAAAATATTCTACCCGCTCATCTACGAGGATCGGGCACACCACACGACCACCACGGGCATTCTGCACGTGAACATGAACACGGCAGTGAACGCCGTCCGGGCTGTCAACGCCATGTCACGAGCGGTGGGCGCGATCTCCGCACTCAGCCACGTCGCCAAGCAGGGGGCTGCAGGATCTACTCCTGGGTCGCGATATCAAAATGAAACATCCCCCCTCCCCATATCGAAAACGAAATTTGTGATGCTGTATTTGAGTACACAAATCAGATTTGTATTGCAGAGCGGCACTGCGGCCAGATCCCCAGGCTAGGTAGGGGCGTATGGGTCTAGTTGCTCAGCATGGCAAACGGCTCCCCTATAAGCACACCAGCATGGCAAATCGCTTCCCTAATGGGGCGAAAGCATCTGCCCTTGTCGTCTTGCAAGACAGATGTGATTTGTGACCTCAAATCCGCAACACAAATTTTTGGAAACATACCTTTTCAATATGGGGAGGGGGGATTTTTCCTCTCAGTACGCGAAATACCGTAGCGACAGCACAGGACCGCTTGGGGACCGACCACTTGCTTATCAACTGTAAAAATGACTGGGTCTGGAAGATTCAGACACTTGTCATGCACGTTTTGCATGAGCCCTGATGTCTGTGATGCATGCCCTAGCATCACAGATTTTTTGAGAGCTTCTTGATGCCTATTCCGCATGACAAATGCCCTCTCCGCGTAGCAAGAATTACACTCCCTTTGGTACTCATGCAATACAGATTTTTTTGGAATCCAAAAGAAATGGAAAAAATCCAAATGTCACAGAGAGAGCAGCTTCAGAACCGCCACGCCGCCCCGAGCGCCCCAAGCACGGGGGGAGGTGGCACGCAGGAAAAAACCGACCACGGAGTAGAGCGCGCACAAAACCGAGAGACGAAAAGCGGCAAGCGGGCGACGGACACCGCGACAACGCCGGGAAACCCAGCGAAGAGACAGAAGCAAGTGGTCGCTGAATGGTCTTCGGAAGAGGAAATGTCGCCGCTTTTCACGCCGCGGGCGGGGGGGTCAAATCGGAACTAAAGAGGGCAAGGGACGAAGGATGATAGTGGATGACAGTCCAGGAAGTCTTGAATTACATACACTACTACTGCGCGAGATTAAAACTGTTTTAAGTAAAGTCAGGAAGAAGGATTCCCGTTGACCCATTTGGAAACAGACAACAAAAAGCCAAGAGAAAAGGCAGTTTTGAGTGTTCGGCCAGCTCCTATGAAATTTTGATCCACCGAGACTGCCCGTTTAAGATGCATGAGAAAAGTAGAAGGAGGCGCAGCAGACGCCGTTCGATCTGCTCCCCTCGTATGTATGGCCGCTCAAGGTAGAGCGAATAGATAGGGCTAAGTAGATGCTTGTATTAAACTAGTAGGCACGGCCGAGCAGATAGCGCACACACAGTAGTAGTAGATGTAACGCACGGCATGCGGCGGGAAACAGCGACCGGGAGACAGCGTCGAGGCGGTAGGAAGCCCGGCGACGGACAGTAACGGAGCACAGCGCCAGTGCCGGCCGTAGCGTGCGGAAAGACAGCGACTTCCCCCCGCCGGAAAAGCACGGAAACGCATTGAGCGAGCGGGCGTGAGGCAGGGAGTGCAGTCAGTGAGAGAGCCGGGCGAGCTAGAAGAGAGCTCCGAAACAACACCGACAAACCAGAATTCCCGGAAAACGATGGAGGCGCGCAGGCAGCTGGCCCGGCTACGCAAGGGCTTTGAAATGGACAACCCGGGGCGACCGGACATCGCATTCCCGGGCGAGCCACTGAAAAAGCAGACAGTCCCACGGGAGTTCACGCCAGCGAGGAGCCAGCCGGTGGAAGGAGCCAAACCGGGCACGAAAGAGTATGCGAAAATCGTGCGCGACCGCTGCAAGGAGAACCTGCAGAAGCGCTTGGACGCGATGACGCCAAACACGCGACAGGGCGAAGTCGACAAGAGAAAAAAGCGAAAGCGGGACGCACACCAGAAATCCCGAAAAAAGTTTTTGAAGATGACAAAGGAAGAGCGGGCCGAAAATTTCGAGAAGAAATTGCAGAAAGGCGACGCCCGGGTACTGACGGCGGACCGCCGAAAGGACAAGAAGAAGGAAAAATCCGAGAAAGAGGTCAAGCGCCAGCAAACACGAGCACGCGAGAGGAGGGAGCAAGCTGCCGACTCGTGAGGGCGGGGGGACTCCGGGTGCAGAAGTTGAAGGGGCAGAGGGTTTGTTAGATCAGACGCACGCGCTTCAAGTCAGGTTGGCAGGTGGGCAGTGGTGGCTTAACCCAGAATAAGTAGAAACTCTTAGCATGCGCAGAGAGAACTCGCATCCCAAAAACAGAAAAAGCAAGGCAAGGTAGGCAGAGTAGTCGCGAATATGAGATAGAACAACTTCGCGCAGTTGCTCCACGTGTTCAAAAGAAGACTGAGAGGCACAGACGTCAGTCGAACTAAAGCAGCGGCAGTGGAAGCGGCGTTTCACAAGTTAAAAGAAGGCATATTTCGCGCCATAAAGTGCAATCTAGTGCGAGTAGATAGTAGATAGCGGGTCTTTGTATGCTATGCAAGGTCAGATGATCGGCGTGAGGTTGGGCTTTTCGTAGGCGACAAACGAAGTAGGCATCTAGGCATCTTTGCTTTGCGAGTAGGGATGTCGAGTAGAGAAGGCAGTAAGTAGCGGACTAGTAATGCATATGGCAGAAAGAAACTCAAAGAAAAAAGCAACGCCATGCATGCTGTAGACAGCCACCACTCGCCTGCCACCTGAAGCAACCGGCTGCCCGGCACTGAGGATGCTGGGTTTCAAGCCGGACGACCCGGAAGATGGGGACGAGCCAGATTTCATCAGTCACGTGTACTGGAACGTGAACGGGTCGGGAGAAGCCAACACGGAAGCGCTCGTCAAGTTAGTCACGGACCTGCAGGCAACAGAGGCGGCAGCGGTTGAGATCAAAAAGAGCGAGCTGGACCTCGATCGTGCGCAATTCACAGGAGTGAGAGGGCGAAAGAGGTTGCACGTAGTAGCGGCGACCGACCTCGTGGGCATCTCGACCAGCCTGAAGTGCGGTGGTGGTCTGGTCGCGGATTGCAATAGCGTGAGAGAGCGGCCAAAGATCTTGATCAACAGACTGATACTTGCGCGCGACCCACGCGGCAGCTTCTTCACGGAGGAGATAACGAACAAAGAAGACGCCATACTCTGGGCCGTTGGCGCAGTGCGAGACCGGAGACTGACGCTGACTCTCTACCGCAGGGAGACCCGGCTACCGGTAGACTCACCGCAGCGCGAGTTCATTGCGGAGCAGATGCGCAGCCTGATCCAGGAGATCGAAGCAGCTATGGACGCCGCTGATTTGTGGATAATATCAGGTGACCTGAATGCGTATCACGAAGTTGACAACGATGAGAGAGCGGCTTTGGCGGCAAACCAGCCAGCCTGCGCACTGGTCCGATCGGAGGCACTAGAGCCGCTTTTCAGCCTGCTGAACAGCCGCGCGCGATTCCAGGACACGGAGGGACCAACGTGCTACCGATCCAAAACCTCGCCAACCACGATAGATTTTACGGCCGTAGGCCCGAGGAGTGGCGTGGTTTTCGCGGCGGAGATCCAGCGGGTGCAGGTCGTTCGGGGGCATAAGAAGGAGTGCAAACCGATCCCGGGCAACCGAAGTCCGGCACTGCCTGAAGGAGACCACATTGCCCTCCACACCGCCGTTAGCTGGTACAGACCAAAAAACGAGCCGGCAACGGCCGCCACAGGCGCGACCCAAGCGAGCCAGGCGAGTCAGACCAGTACAGCCTCGGGCGCAAGTGAACTAGACTTCAACGCGAAGTACTCGGAACTGGTGCCACAGGACGAAGGCGGTGAAAGGGTAAAGATTTTGAAGGGGCCGGACGAATTCGGCGAGCGGATTCCCTTCGAAGGCGTACTGACGTGGCCACGCAACTCGAAGACCACAGCATCCCTCGAGCCGATTTTCGCGGACGAACAAATGCCGAGTATCGAAGAGGTAGGCCTTGAAGGAGTACAAAAATGGGCACAGGAAGTCTTGCTAAAAGCGGGCGTCTGTAATCTGGCAGCAGCGAGACCGACGGAAGAAATGCGGGACCTCTTTGAGCGAAAATCCCCACCGCGCAAGGGGGGAAGGAAGAAAGGAGCGAGCGGCAAAGGCAAGGGCAAAAATCGAGGGAGCGGACGCAAAGAAGAGGAGCGTGAGTGGCGATCCGTTTTCCGCGGGCCGGTGGATGGGACGTCACTAAATAACGTCTACCAATTCGCAAGACAAGCGAGAGAGCAGGTTCTTGGCTCCGGAAGGGGGGCCCCCGCGGAGGAGGTTAGGGAGATTAACGCCGGCACCGCCGCAAACCCAGAGGTGGTTACAGGGGTAGAGGAGTGCACGAAGAAAATTTCCCTGGCTCACGTGCTCAAAAGCGAGAAAATCCGAGTTGCGGAAGGCAAGCGCCACACTTTCGGGGTCGAGGAGATGCGCCGCGCGGTCACACAGCTGACAGAGGCGGCAAAGGAGCTCCCACCGCTCCGAGTACCAGCAGAAGAATTACGGAGACACATCATGAAAATGAACCAAGAAGCCTCCGGCGCCGACGGAGTACGACCCCGGGTATATGCTGCAATGACCGACGCACAAATCCAGCAGCTCGCAGCGGGATACGAGGCCTTCCTCCGGCGCGTGGCACGATCGGAGTGGACCCCAGGGACGGAGGACGCAATCCTACCGCCGGCCTTGACGGTTTTACAGGTGGAGATCTTGCGCAAAGCGTCACAGCTGGGAGACGACATCTCTAAGCTGCGGACAGTTATACGGGGCACGCCGGTCTACCGAATCCTACTGAGCTTCCTCACGCATCGGATGGCGCGAATTGCAGACCTCGGAGACGCGTTTACGCCTTCAGGCGCAGCAGGGAGGAAAGCCTGCCGCCTCGTGCATGGCCACGGTTCTGCAGATTTTGAAGGTGGCGCATGGGGACCAGCTGCAAAACGGCTGCGAGAACAACGAGCGAGCGGCGGAGCCGAGTGAGCAGGAAAAAGAAAACCTCGCAACGTGGTTGACAATCCTGATCGGAATTGATGCCAGTAATTTCTTCAATTGTATCAGCGTTCCGAGCATGTTGAGAAGTTTTAGATGGGCCAGATTGGTTGCGTCCGACCTACATCAAGCTGACGATGCTGGCGAACTGGCGGAAAACGCTTTTCCTTCGCGATGGAAGTTGTTTCGCGGAGATAAAGTCCCACCGGGACCTCATCCAGGGTTCGGTGGAAACGATGCTCTGCGGTGTCCTCCTCTACATGCGGGGCGTTCACGCGGTCGCGCAGTTCGTCGAAGAATCTTTCGACGATGCGGGGCGGATTTGCGATAAGCGAATGCAGGGCGCAGCCTGCAAACTGCGCCGAACGCTTCGGGCCGACTTCGCAGGAGGGGACGACATCGATGTCACCTTTCCGGACTACAACCCGACCGAGGAGGTCCACGAGCTATTTCACGACGAAAAGGGAGACGGCGGCGCGGAGACAGGCAACAGAACAAGGAGGGAGCGGAAGCCCCGATCGACCGAGTACGAGTGGAAGCGAGTGAGCCAGACTTTGCCAGTGAGCGAGCAGGTAACAGAAAAACCAAGCAGATCCGCCGTGGTCCAATTCGTCGACGACGGAACAATTTCCGTAAAGTTTCACAGGCTGGACGCGGAAAAACTTCGCCGCCTTTTGCGGATAGTCGCCGAATCGTACGAAACGATGTATCGGTCCGAAGGGCAGCCAGTACCTCGCCCCAAAAAAGGCGGAGATGCTGCTATCGGCTTCGGCAATGAATGGATGAGCAGGCTGCGTACCTCGCGGCGTTCCAACCTTTTGGAGTCACTTTCAACTTGAAGGAGCAGACGCGAATCCTCGGCATCACGATCAAGCTAGGGGAAATCGCGGACCAGATCGACGCCATCCGCAAGCAGGTTAATTCCCAAGTATCTTTCGCGCAGCATTTGTGCTATCGAGTTATGCGTAGCAAGGGCAATTACGTGATGAACGGCGCGGACCTTCGATGGATTATCATCTGCTTCTACATGTCGCCAATCATATACATCCTGCCGGTTCTACATTTGGTTTTTGCGCAGAGCGACTGGTCGGAGCTTCTCATCGAGATGGCGACTTCAATCGCGAAGGTCATAGGCTTCGAGCGGGAGGTATGGGAGAGACTTACGACGCGGATCGGCCTCACGCCCGAACTCTTCTACCGTCTCATCTTCAGCGAGAACATTTTGGGAATCGTAGACCCGTACATTCTCGGAATCAAGCTCCTGAGGGGAGTGGCGCAGAGCAACATTCTGACGGATGTCGACGGTTTCCTCACCTGGGCAACCTTCCCGATTCGCTTTCATGGCACGGGCCTTGCGGGAATAGGCGCGGCAGACCGAACGGCAGTGCGGGTAAAGACTGCGGCGGGCCTAGCCTTGGTGGAGGCACTGAGTGAGGGAGCGGAAATCAGACTGCCAGCAAAGTCCGACCTCCGCCTCTGTGGGTTCATCCCAGACCGTAGCAAAAAGCCACCGCCGGCCTCACGCCTGCCGCGCGCGTGCCAGAGGGAGACGGCGTACGTAGTAGCGGCGGCGGACGGACAAGGGGCGCGGGTGCTGCAGGTAGACGGCATCGGAAGGGTCGCTGTGCTGAAGCAGGTACAGACAAAGCGAGCGCATCTGATGATGGAGGAACGCGCGGAGGAGAGACACTTTGCCGCGTATCTCAGCGGCTTTCTGCATCTCAGCCGCGAAACGAACAGCGAAGAGCCAGGGGTCCACTACAAGTACAAGCTGTGCGACTACGAGAGGTTACGAGCAAAGACGCGCGGGCCGTTGCGCCGAGGCGAGGGCATTGCGGTGCATTTCGTCGAGCAGGTGGAAAGGCTGCAGTTGCAGGGCCACAAAGTCCACTGGGCAGCCACCCAGACAATGGGGAAGATCGCAGAAGAAAATAGAACGATGGCGCCGGGAATCGCAACGCGGGCCATCGGGTTGGCGGTGGTGAACGCGACGGGACACGACCACGAGTACACGGACTGGCCGGTCTATGATTTCGGGCAAAAAGCCTTCGCCTTCCCTCCTCTGCGAGATTGGACCAAGCGGCGCTGCCTTGCAAAGCGGCGGCAGTACATCAAGGACATGCTGCGGCTCACTGACCTGCAGAGCGGAGAAAACACGGAGGACGAGCACCCGGAGCCAGAGGGTGTGGACGAGAGACGGCCGGCGCCAAAGGCGAAAGGAAAGGCAGCCCCGCGAGCAAAAGCGAGAGAGCAGCCGCCAAAACAAAAAGCAGCAAAGTCCAAAGCGAGGGCAAAGCAGCCAGGCCCGGCAGGGAGAGAGCGGCAGCCGAAGCGGGCGCCAGCAAGCGGAGCGAAGGCCCAGCAGCAGCAGACTACGGACAGAAGGGCGCAGCCGAAGCAGCAGCCAGCAGCAGCCAGGAAAGCGGTTCCACAGCGAAGGCGGTAAAAAGACCCGCGCGGGCGGTCTGCCAAGTCACAGCGACAAGAGAGCTTTTTCCAAAAACGCAGGAGCAAAGACTCTGCTTTTCAAAAAAGTAGGGGCAGAGACTCCTTTTTTCGTAAAACGTAGCGCAGGTTTTTCCCTAAAAAACACAACACAGGAAAACGGCAAACGAGCAAACAGCGCCAGCGAGACGCGCGCAGCTAAGAGCTGGCCCCAAGAGGTCAGGGACCGCGCAAAAAAGACCACGCCGGCGGCGCGTTCCCAAGCAACAGGACGACACAGAGAGATGAGAGGAGAAAAAACCAAAAATGGCTCGCGTAAATGCAGTGCGCAGCCACATGCCCATCTAGTTTTTGCCCGCCATGCACAGGGCGCGTGTCCTGTCGCTTGGGTATTGTCTCGCGCGCCGACGCCCACCAGTGAGGCGCTTCCACCCAAGGGGACCCACGGGCCCGAAAGGAACGGCAGCAAAAAGCACAAGCAGATGCTGGCCATGCCACTCTTCCCCGGCATAAGAAGGGCCACGCAAGAGCCTAGTAGTAACAGTTTCCCGGTAGTAATAGCGGCAGTAGTCCTAGTAGTAGCGTAGTCGTAATATTAGATAGAAAAAGGGTCTTAGCGCAAGAGGGGCAGTCCAAAGAGGCTTTTTGCATGGGGTCCACCCGTCGTCGTTTAGCGCAAGCAATTCGATGGTCAACTGACCCCGCCCCATTTAGATAGCCGCTATGCGGGAGTTTTGTAAAAACTGGACTTCGTCCGTCTCCGGGTGGCGTGCCCGGGGTTCAGTATAAATAAATTTGCCCGGGAAAATAACACGCAGCGGGGCAGTCGGGCTTACCGGTAAGCCAGTCGGGGTCTACCCTTTTTCCACGTCGTCACATGTGGTTACTGTGTCTAGTTGGCATGTGTCAGGGGGTTCCTGTCTTTGGCATTTCCCGGCTCTTCCCATGGGTTCACTTCGACGACTGCCGCCGGGGACGTTCATATGCAGTCAGCCGGATGACTGTGACCTGGCTCGTACTGTGAACGCAGCTGGATGACTGTGACCTGGCTCGTCTTCGATAGGCAGGTGGATGACCGTGACCTGTCTCGCCTATCAAGATCCCTAATCCGTAGCTCCTAGACGTTGCCTGGCCCGCGAATGACTCCAGGGCAGCCGGATGACTGTGACCTGGTTATAAAGGGCTTCGTCGATCGATTGTGCCACTAGGGCCTTGTGTTCCGGCTACTCCGGATCGCAATCGATGGAGGGCGGGACCTGCACCGGCGACAGGCGCTACCCAACCAACCAACCAATAAGGTGGATTCTTCCAGACCCAGACATTTTTACATTTGATATTGCTGATGGCAGCACGCCACGCAACCGCCGGATCTGCGCATCATTCCGCCGGCGGGGAGGAGGGCGGGCCCGCACCCAGTAGCCCAGGTGGAGGAGAGACTCTCCTGCCCGCAGGAGACGGACAGGAGGAGGGGACCGCCGCGGGCCGGCAAAGTACCAGCGCCGACGGAGACGCACAACCGGCTCGCCCGAGCGAAGCGGAGCAACAAGTTTAGAAGTGTAAAGGGCGGACTAGAAGAGGTAGAGTAGTTGATAAAGAAGTTTTTTAAACTCGCTGCACCAGGCGGCACCAGGGAGAGCTGCTAGTATGTAACGAAGGTCAAGTAGGACACCGCCCGAGATACAGGCAACTGCACGTAGAATCTAGGTTTACAGGACAAGGTCAAGAAGAAAATCATATAGAGAACTGAAAAGTCAATGAATCAAAAGTGAATGAAAAAAACTGGGTCAGATGTAGTACGGAGTAACGCGTTGTTGAGTTATGTTAGCCGAACGTCACAGCCACAGCTGTGGCGCACGAACGGATTTCCTCTCGCCAGGCGACGGAAGCGGAAATGCTTGCTGGGCTCGCTGTATCGATCATTATGTATCTATGATCGGAGCTCTTTTTTTGAAGGTGGCCCAACAGCCTTCCCGAAAAGCCTACGCAGACCGCAGATACGTAATATACTCTTTTTCTAAGGCGACTACAGGCACGGCGAGGGCCTATCATGAATGCAACAGATAAAAACAAGCAGGCGAAGTGTTAAGATATTTGCACGTAGATGAAATGGCAGGACACAATTATTTTTTTGAATGTCAGGGTAGGCCTTGCTTGCGATCCTGCATCGGTATCCAATGGATGTGACGAACCGATGTAGGTGCCCCCAAGCTTTTACCGAGTCCCTTTTCCGTCAAGTAGATGACAAGCAGTATGGTCAACAAAAGCAGTCGCTTGTAGTCAGCTAGTTTTATTCATTCTCGGCTATGGCTACTAACGCATCCACAACAGCAAACTCGTGCTGCTTTGTCATCCGCGGCGAGTTTTTGATGTGTTAAGTACTTACTTTTCATTTCCAGCGTTTTTTTGTGCAGCCTTACTTGCAGTTCCAGTCTCAGGACAGCCACAGCGTTTCGATATCGATTTTTGAAACTCTCCTTTCACGCTGTTGTGGCGGGTTGGTATAAGCCTCGCTCTGATACCGTGGAAACTTCAATACAATCAAGGAGTTGGTTTCTCCGATCGATCCTGAGTGTCAGGCATTCGACACACCGTAGTTTCTTGGGAATATCATTTATTTGTATGTACTCCAGTTGGATGTAATATGTGTATCTTTGTCGTTGATGTAAGTATTCTCGAATTCATTTGTGCATAAGCCTAACAAGTGGGCGGTCGCACGCCTCTACTTACTGGTTTGAAAGCGGAAGCAGTTCTTGGAGGGCACAAATGGGAAGATGCGCCACGTGTGCGTGTCGTCATCATAAATTTGACTACTTTGTACAAATTCGCTACTTTGATCTCCCGAGCAAGCTAATTTGCGTAGGTGAGTATGATAACTATGACTTTGACTATGTTGAATATGCAAATCCATGATTCTGCAGTGTGTTTTTACGAGCAAGAACGGATAAAGTGTAAGCGTTCCGCCACACAATATTCCAGTTCCAGATGAAACTTTTTTTCAATGTAGCCGATGCGCTTTGTATTTGCTCCTCGCGTTTGAAACTGAAAAAGGAAAACGGAAAAAAAAAGCTGACAAGAAGTTGATGACTTAGATAATTCTTTGACCTCGTAGAGAAGAGATGCTGAATTCTCTCAACACGAAACCAGTTTGACTGCCTCGCAGCCTATTGAAACAGCCAGAAACTTTGGGATTGAAGAAAAAGACAGGAATCAATACGCCAGCATTCTGCGTCGACACAAGCTCTTGTGGCCTTATTTGATCAACATAGTCCAACTTCTGACTTTGACCGAAGTAGAGGCGGAGAAGCAACGTGCCTGGTCAAACAACGCGCTACTTGGTCAAGCAAACGTCGGCAAGCTGGGCGAAGGCATCCCGATACTCTTCTTGTTCGGCATCCCGATAGAACCAATCGAGCGATCACATCCGGGTCCCGGTAACCCGAGGGAACATTTTGTTTATAATTATGAACCGCCCGCCCCCGCCCGATGAAATCATTTTCTTTTTCATCGCATCGGTTTTTCATCTTTCCCTGTAGCCTTGCGGCCATATGAAGAGTGCTCCTGTCCCGAAACTTCTTCTATTACGTAGCGTTTAGGGCAACTAGAACTACTGTGCATGAACAGCTTCTCAGTAAACATGGGAAGTGCTTGTATTGAACGGAAAGATCATGATCATGAAGCTAAACTGTCTGATTCTACTAAATGAAGACTCAGCAAGTCAGCGACATGTTCGGGGTTCACAGGAACTGGAAGACGCGGTTGTTGTATCATCATCTTCAATATGGATTGCAAAAATGTCTGGGTCTGGAAGATTCTAAACCTGTGACGCTGTCTCTGGATTCTAAAAAAATTTGTATTGCATGACCAGCAAGGGGACTCCAGTTTGTGCTACGCGGAAAGGGCATTTCTCATGCGGTAGAGGCATCGCAAAGTCCTCTAAAAATATGTGATGCTAGGGCATGCATCACAGACATCATGGATCATTCAAAATATGCATTACAATCCTGGCAGTCTTCCAGACCCAGACATTTTTGCATTTGATATTCAATTGGGCTGTCGAAAGCCGACCATAGATTGCAACCACCCTTCGTGGAGGTCTCGGGGAGCAAGGACTACTTCAATAGCACGACGTCAAGCTGTTTACTTGCTAGATACAACTACGACCACGCCTGGCGGAATAGCGAGCTTCGGTAAGGAGCGCGTCCGGATAGTACATTTCCTGAATGCACGACGTCGGACAAACAGCATTCACACGGCGAAGACCAGCAGTGCGCAAGCATCGGTGCCCAGCTCTGGAAGAACAAGTGCGTCGAGTTGTCAGCTGCTACCTCGAAAAATAAGACAGAGGACCACAGGACGGAAGGCAAGGAGCCTTGACGTAGTCAATATACAACCAACGCACGGATCGAGAAGGTTGCATGGTGTAGTTCAAGTTCTCCAAGATGTCGGGGTATTGCGCCGACATCAAAAAAGACCGAGTTCTCTGTCGAAATACAGTACTGACAAGGGTGGACACAGCGAACAAGACAACAAGAACGCAAGAACGAGCACAGCGTTACTTGCAGCTACGAGGGCGATTGGGACGACCCCTCCACGGAGCCGTGTTTCCTTTGAAACTGAGGCAGCAGCAGCTGATGTCGCACGCAAAGAACGTTGCGGCGACGTCGAACCTTGCCAAGGGCTCCGCAGGTTGAGCCTCTTGCTCCGATCGCGGCCAACAAGCGCCAGCAGCTCGGAGGGCTCATCCAGCTCGACCCGCCCGTCGAGAACATCAAGCCAGCGCCGCGATGTGACGCGGAATTACAGCTCCGAACGTAGTTCCTCGTCCTCCTCAACCTCGATCCACCACAAGAAGCCGGGCGGAAGTGAGGAGGAGCCTGGGAAAATGAAGAAAACAAACAGCAACGGGTCGGACGCAATGGAGCGCATCACCTTTCTCGGAGCCGGCTGCAATTTGGGTTTGGCCTGCCTGAAGGGCGTATCAAATGTAAAAGTGTCTGGGTCTGGAGGAAGATTGCGGGAGTTTGTCATGCATCTTCTGGATCGCGCAACTGGTCTCTGATGCACGCAAAAGCATTACAGATTTTGCGCAGGCCTCCTGATGTCTATCCCGCATGACAAGTTTCGTATTTGCGTAGCAAGAAATGGGAAGCTTTTGGTCTTTATGCAATGCAAATTTTTGCGTATTCCAGAATTCGCATGACAAGTTCCAATTCTTCCAGACCCAGACATTTTTACATTTGATACGCCCTTCTGGGGGCGATGACACACTCTTCGTCCCTAATGGCCGATACTACAGTGAAAAATGCCCCCACCCCCAATGTTGCAATAATTTGTGATGCGAAGTTTCCAAATGAAAGGCTTTTGTCATGCATGAAGGAAATATGAATCTTTGTGATGCAGAGTCTCGGCGTATATAGCATTGCTTGCATGACAAGCGCCGCTCTTGCTGGGATCTTTTGCAATACAAATTTTTGCTATTCACGATCGGAAATCTGTGATGCTGATAGATGCAAGAGGGCGAGTGCTTCATTTGGAAAGGTTTGCAATACAAATGCTCCCAAGTTCGAGGGTGGGGGCATTTTTCACATTGATAGCCGATGCCGCGCATTCCCTTTCCGACCTGGTCACGGATGGCGCGACGCTACTGACGATTCGCTTGGTGCAGCGCCCGGCTGATGCGGCGCACCCGTACGGCTACATGCGATACGAGCACATCGGTACTCTGGGCGTGTCCGCGGGCATTTGCGCAGCGGGCATTGGCATCGGGTGGGAGGCACTCCGTGACTTGCTCGCGCATCAGCAACAAATGTCCTCGCTTGGAACAACTACAAAGACCGTATTGATGGGCAGTAGTACAACTGGTACAACGACGGAAATCAATGCAGTGGCCGAGACGGCAGCCGAGCATCTGCAAACGGACCTACCGTGTTCGCTCGCCCCGGAGAACGCACCGCTTGCCATGGTCGCGATTTTGTTGTCCTTTCTCGCGAAAGAGATGCTGTATCGGCGAACCCTTCGCATCGGCGAGCAATTTTCGTCGCCCGTGTTGATTGCGAACGCTTGGCACCATCGCAGCGACGCCTTGAGCTCGGTGGTGGCCGGGTTCGGCATCGCCGGGGCCTGGTTCGACTACCCGTTGTGCGACCCGTTGGGCGGGGTGCTGGTCGCTGGTATGGTTTTGCGCCAGGGCGCAGAGTTGCTCGAGGAGGCCGTGTACGCCCTTGCCGACCGAAACGCCCTGTCGGACGAGCTGCGCGCAAAACTGACAGCGCTGGCGAAGGTATTGTGAGGAAAAATGTCGCCACCCCATAGTCAAGATGGGAAATCTGCAACACAAACCCGGAAATTTTGGGAGTCACGCATGACAAGTTACCCTCTGTATTGTAGTGCAGTTTTGCAAGGACAGCCGCATCACAAAGCCAGCTCCACATCCTATTTGCAGCATCACAAAATCCAAAACACGATTGGAAATGGCCTTCGTGGGGATTCGCATTACAAGTCTTCCTGTCTTTGCAAATCTGCATTACAAGAACTCTGGGGCGGCAAAGTGTGCTGCAATTCCTTTTAGCATTACAAATCTGGGGTGGGGACGTTTTCACTCAGGATAGAAGGCCGCCTCGAAAGACGTCCTCGGTGTCGGCGACGACCTGAAGGTCCGCAAAGCGGGCAGCAAGTTGTATCCTGAGTAAAAACGTACCCACACCAGAGTCAGGATGGGGATTTTCCAATACAAACCTAGGAGCTTTGTGAGTCACGCATCACAAGTTGCAGTCCGTAGTGTAATGCAGGTTCGCAAGGCCAGCTGCATCAGAAATCCATCTGCTCATCCTGTTTACAGCATTACAAATTCCAAAACACGATTGAAAATGGTTCTCATGCGGATGCGCATTACAAGTCTTCCTGTCTTTGCAAATCTGCATTACAACTCTGGTGTGGGTACGTTTTTCCTCAGGATAAGTTGTTTGTGGACGTCACCCTTACGGTGAGCGATCGTCTCACGTTGAGCGGCTTCCAGCAGGTAGCGCACCTGGTGCGCACACGTGTGCAGCAGGAAATTCCCGAGGTGGTCGACGTGGATTGTGACTACCAGCTCTTTCAACACCACGCCGGGGGGGACGGCAGGACGAGGAGCAAGATGGGAGAGGGGTCCGCGAGTCCGCGCACGACCTCCATGGAGCTCCTTGATCACCAAGGATACAAGAGCCAGGCGTTCGACAATTGCGAGGAGGTGGGACGAGGACCAGCATCGTCCTCCTCTCCACTAGTTGAAGGAGGTAGCAACTACTTGGTTGGCGAACAAGCGATGCCGCAGGAGCGGGGACACGACGATCGGCCGCCCGATGCGGGAAGTCGGAGAACTACTGTTGGTGCAGCGGTACCATCTTCGTTATCAGCTGCTGGTACAGAAACACCGACAGCAACTGCAACTTCGCCTCCTCCTGCAGCTTCTGTGGCCGAGCTCGAGGATCGATTGCGATCATTACTTGGGCACGCGCACCCAGGAATAGAGATCGGACAGATATCGGTGCATTTTGTGCCGCCCATCGGATCGAATCGTGTGGCCTATCAAAAGCAAGAAGTACATGTGGTCTGGGCTGGAACGATGCAAGCTGGTGATGAGCATTTTTTTAGATAGGTGCCACAAGAAAATGCGAAAGCCTTGTTCATGCATAAGAACACAGCAATCAAAAGACGCCTCGATGCAGCCCCTTTTCTGTCACCAAAAGGAGGAATCTGTCATATCCGGGATAGGCATAGAGAAACCTTCTCCAAACCTGTGACGCAGCTAGACGGCTGCATCTCAGGAGACCTTGTTGCGGACATGCAAAAGCTGCATAGAGAAGAATAGTGTTGTAGAAGTGTTCGTCGAGACCGATACATTTATTTGCACTGGATAAGGGCGTGGAATTGACCATCCTTCCGGATCCGGAGGCCCACAACAGGCTGGGTGACCTGAAACTGCTGGCGGCGGAAATGCGCGACCTGGTCACCACGGAAACTCAGCGGTGCTCCGACTGCCTTTGCTCAGAAGTTACGAAGGTTGAAGTACGCCTTGACTTGGCCGATGGGTGTCAGCTGATCGCCAACCACCTGCAGTCCGTCGATCCGCTCAAAAGTCTCAATAGTACGCGGATGAACATTTTGCAGAAGCGCGCTGGCCGAGCCATCGCCGGACGCTTTTTAAAGACTGAGATGAAACCCAAATTGTCGAGCACAATGGAAAAAAAAATCGTTGGGAAAAAATCTGTTCTCATCTTTACCTTTTTTTCAAAGTGCAATGTTGAGCCTTTGTCGCATGATTTTGCGATTTTGTTCACTTCATCGACTGCACCAGGAGGCACGATTTTTTTTTGCATGGTCAAGCACGAGATCCACGTCCACTCTAGTATGAGTTGTGGCACATAAAACTGAAAAAGACTGCACATATGGGAGTCGGACTCCCAGGTTGCAAGTAGATGAGTAGAAAACTGACTTCGAGCGGTGCGTAATAAACATCTCGAGACAAGACCACATGACTTACCTCGACTGCGTGATGATTCGAGCTTTCAGGACGAGCGATCATGCACCACGACGACAAGAGACAAATACGACTGAGTGATGGGTGTCGGTTTGCACCGTAAGAAGGCTGAAGCACGTGATGATAAAGAGCAAAACAAGGCAAAAGTCGATGACGAGCTCGTTCTCGAGCGATACTATGCAATAAGTATTGTCTTCACACACACACACACACACTGATAAGCATCCACTTCCAGCAATACACACCGTCCCCTATAATTATGCCGATGTCACCAATGACGATAACCATGTCTTCGTATTCTGAATACTCTAAGTTTTTCTTTTCAGTGAATGTCTATATCCTAATGCTTTCGTGACAACTACGTCTGCGTCTCTAAGAGTAAGACTCCGTGGCAGGGGCGGGGTACAGCACATGTAGTCACGACAGTGTGCAAGTGTCATTGTTGCCAAGAAAAACAAGTTCCCGAAAGTAAGGAAGTAGTCACCAGCACTCTGAAACGCAAATTATCTTTCTTACTTGTGAGCGTAACAAGAGCATACAGATCCAGAATTCACATTGGTTCATCTCAATCAAAAGCATGGGCAGTTGAGCATGAAAGGAACTGGGGCGGGCTTAGAAAGGCCACTGTTGGGCCACGATTTGCCTGACAGCTCTGCTACCGTAAAAGCGAGCCTGGTGCAGCAGCCCGCGGATGGCGGATCTGTTCCTTCGGATCTTATCAAGGCGAGCTCGTCCTCCAGCATCGTCAAATCAAAATCCTCCGCTGCGCCTCCTCCCTCGCCGTCCTGTGCCTCCTGGATTCGGCTGTTGGTTGCTTGGGTTTGTAGCGTTCTTTGTGGCGGTCTGATTCCTGGGCAGGCACTGTTCACGCAAAAATTTGCCGAGGCTGGTGTGTATCGTAGCGTGTGCAACTTCCCGATTACCCACACGGAGCTGACTCTACACGATGGAAAGATTGTATGTAGTGAGGTCACCGAACGGTTCTAACCGGGGAGTTTTTTTGCCATCTCCCCTGAAAAACGACCGGCAGTTTTCAAGCGGACGGAAGAGTTTTTTAAAAAAAAAGATTTTCAATTATCAAGCGGCCGGAGCTTTGAAAACAAACAAGCCCGAACGAAAACTATCGATTCACACTTGATAAAACGACGCAGGGGAGCCGGCAAAAGGGGCGCCCTTCTGAGGCGCCCGCCGCCTTGGTTTCTGGCGATTTGGGGCGCCCAAAAAGGGGCGCGCAAAAAACGCGCCCAAAATCAGAACAGCGAAACAGCATGGCACGGCCGCGATTTCGGAGCATTTTGGGCGGTCGCGAAAGCGGCCGCCTTTTCGCCGGTTTTAGAGCCTGGGAAGCTTTGCAAAAAGCGCCGGCGTGAAAAATAAAAACGCGAAAAATAAAAAGCGCCCCAGACGCGCAAAGCCAATCCGCATGCTATGGGCCCGGTTTTTCTTCGCTTTTTGGGCGCCCCCCGTGGCACCCGGATCGGCCCCATAGCATCGGGGCTGGCTTTCGGAAAGGAATTTTGGAAATGTGCCAAAATTTGCGACGTTTCCCAAGTGGGCGCCATACCGTGCGGCATAACGTTACGCGCGGTGGTATGGCGAGCCCATAAAAAGCAAAGCCGCGGCCAAGGCGGCGGTCGGCAAAAAAACGCCTACGACCTCACTACCCCCGCCCCGGCGGCTATATTTGGTAGCGGAAGAAGTCAGGGTCGAGAGGGGTGAGGACGAACTCCATCCGACCCTAAGACCTCTCGCTATTCCCCTGTCCCCGCAGGTGGTCTTGCCGGGCGAGGACAACTCACCTTCCTCAGGGTCGGACGATGAAAGAACCTGTGACGGGCAGTTTCTGGCTCTAGCGACTACCTTCAGCGTGCTCCAGTGCGTCGCCGTGACTGCGCTGCTGCCAGCGGGTATCTGCTTCGACACGATCGGCGGGCGGGCAACCGCGGTGTTGGGCGCGTTGCTGCTGGTCTGTGGGCTGCTCGTACTGTCCCTCGTCATGTTCTTTCGCGACGACACCGCGGAGGGTGCGTGGATGGATTTTATCCTGTTTCCCATGGGACTATTACTCACCGACTTTGGATCGTGGATCAACAACTACGGCCTGTTCGGCTTCCTCTTCCACGTGCCGGGCTACAACGGTTTACTCCTGTCCCTGAGCAACAGTTGCAGCTATATCGCGGCGTTTCTCCCGGTGTTTTTGCAGGATTCGGTGATGACAACGTACGGCATCAGTTTCCCCCACGCACTCCTGGGGTACAGCCTCCCAGTGGGCGTGTCCGCGCTGCTGCTGGGCCTGGTGGTGCCCAGCCAGAGAGAGTACTACGCGGAAGCGGAGCGTGCGCTGGGCATGCCGATTGCCCGGCCCCGGGTGTCGTTCCTGAAACTGTGGACCTCCACGAAGCAAGCCTGGGAACTGCTCACCCGCCCACAGTACTGGCCGCGCCACCGGCAACTGCTGTTTGCGACCTTGCTGGGGAACATTGGGAGTTTCGTGTACATCAGCATGCCGCAACCCTACGCGGCGGCCCTGTTCAACTTTCCGGCGCAGCACCAGGACCCGCACCTCGGCTCCTTCATCGTGACGAACCTGGCGGTCATCGGGTTGGTTGCTAGTCCGGTGGTTGGCGTCGTGCTAGATTTCAAACACGGACTGGAGTCCATGATTTACCTCACGGTCGTGAGCCTGCTGTTGATCGCGGGTCTCTGCTCCGTCGCGCATTGGGACGCGCAGCGGGTCGTGGTGCGGGCGGTGAACCTGCTGCAGATCAGTCTGACCACGATCTTGATGCGGTACATTTTGTACTACACCCCCGCAAACCGCGTTGGGGTCGTGTCCGGCTCCTTCCTGACGCTGCTGGGCGCGGCCGCAGTGCCGTGCATAGTTGCCATGAACTTCCTGTGCACCACCATCATGCCAAAAGTGTTGAAATACGTGGTGTTTGCCGACTACGGAAGTCCGCTTGACAAGTACGACTTCAACGTGTGGCAGTTCGCGCTACCCACCACGCTCGCCAGCGCCATCTCGGCCGTCGCCTTCCTTGCGTTCCTGCGCGACTTGCAGCTGCCGGACCAGCCACCCCTATTGCCCGAAGACGAGCTAGAAATCAGCCGTCGCTTCGCGGTGGGCACGGTAGACGACGCGGCGTTCGTGCTGGACCTGGACCGGAACGAGTTTTTGCGCTTGTGCGTGTCTCAGGACGTGCTGCACATGAAAGAACTAGTGGACCGCATTGTGCGCAGCAGCGACAGGTTGCTCCAGCTAGCGCGCAAGCGCGCCGCAGACGCGGGAACGATCAACCTTGTTCCAGCTGCACCAAATAAACTACTGGAACTGCCGTATGCAAACGTCGGATGTTCTTTTGCCACTACTAGTTCCTACGAGGATGTTGATGTTGAGAGACCGTCCTCGGATGTGCCACCAGGACCAGCTGCAGAGAGTGTGAACTTAGATCATAGCGGTACTACGATGAAGATGAGTTCTACTTCGGGGCCGATGTCACCACGGCTACTACTCGGAGGCTCTACTACTGGAACCACAACCAGTGAGAGTGCTGCACTGCTGTATCAAACGACCCACATGTTGAATAGCGGTGGAGAGCGTACATCAAACCAAGCTGTGTCGACGTCCCGCTCGGTTCGACCGATCCAGATGAAGATTCGAGACAGGTCCATCTCACCTGAAACCGCTACGCAGCTCGTGTTGGATGCCTTCTGGCCCATAGAGGGCGCAGATTATGAAGGCTCCCCACTCCTGGATTGGCTTGCCTGGGAGCGAAACTGCGATAGCTGTGCAGGAGCTGCACAACAAGTCACCCGCAGTCGTGATACTAGCGCGACTACAACATCTGCGGAGCGGTTAACAGTACGAAAAGACGAACTACCGTCGCGTCACAACAATCTGAATGACTACAGCGACCAGCCTGCGGCCTCGTCGAAATCGTACCACGTACCGCCCTATGCATTGCAATGATATGTCTGGCTCTGGAAATAAGCTGCAGATTTGTGATGCTGTCTGCCAGTCGCACATCAAAACTCTGTCATGCATATAGGTACGCAAAAGGATCGCAAAAGGAAAAGCTGTCCATTTGTGGCCACACTGAGAGCGGATTTCTCATGCAGAGTACGTAGGCAACATCGTGAAGCTCTTGCAGAACCTGTGAAGATGCCAGCCCTTGCATGCCAGACATTCTGGGCCATGCCCCCACACCTGCAAGACAACAAGAACCTTCCAGACCCAGACATTATTGCATTTGATACGCCCGGCGTGGTAAAAGTCAACATGGAGGACCACGAACCAGAGAGGGACGAGGTCGAGCAACAGGCGACAGCAGTCGTACACGCGTCGGTCGATGGCCACGGGAAAGGAAATAAAAGGGAAACGCCACAGAGTCCCCAGGAACGCCGACGCCGCAGATCGTCCGTTTTTTCCTCCATTGCGTCGTCCTCGCCCGGTGGCCGCGTCAGCCGTCGTTCTTCCGTGGTTACGACGCCACTCGTCGAGAAGGTGCAACAACTGTTCTACTACCAACAAAAGATCGGCTATCATGTCGCTGCCGCGTACGGCCGCTTGTTGGAGCTGCATTTTTTCAACAGTTCGACTACGACCACGGCAAGTGGAAGTTGTAGTAGTAGAGGAGCAGATCTTCATGTTGATGCCGGTCGTGAGTGGCCCCAGGGTGGTGTTGAACATCAACGCGGTGGAACATCAAAGATCTTCCACGACACGCCGCCCAGGAGCATTTCTGCGCCGACCGAACGGCTTGCAGCCGTGCTGTACTGCTTGCCTCCTAAGACGTACACGAAGATCGGGAGCCCGGAATATTACTACGGTATGGCGGCGGCGGGGCTACCGTTTCCGCGGCTGACCCCGGAGCTGATGAGGCGCGACATGCTGCTCGGCCAGATCCTCGCAGACCACGATCGCTCCCAGCTGAAGCCGCACTGGTACATACAAACCCTCGCGACGGCTGGTTGGGCGCGGGGGCAGGGCGCGGCGCGGCAACTGTTGAGCGTCGTCTTTGGTTTTGCGGACCGTGACAACGTGGGATGCTACCTGGAAACGGACTCCACCACGGCGCCGTACTTCGAGAAGTTTGGCTTTTCCATTGTGTGTAGCAAATGCATATGCAACCGATCCGGGTCTGCTTGAAAGGCAGTCCTTGGGGAATATGCATGACAAGTTATGTTTATCACCGACTTCTGCGTCGTATGTAGTTGTAGGTGTAGGCATGATTTTTAGTACACACTGCATCCATGTAATAAAAGCTTCGCTCATCTTTGCAGTCATGCAATAGAGATGATTTTACAGGAGCAACGAGTGATGCAAGCTGAGCAGGTGAGGCAGATGTTCGAGTTCCGCTTCCGCTTGCGGCTTTCCAGATCATCCAGACCTGGACATCTTTGCAATGCATAGTGTGGCGTGAGTCTCTCCGTACCGAAGACGACGAGCCGGAGCTGGTTTTGTGTGGAATGTGGCGAAATTGATCTTTTATCTCAAGCAGTTAGAGAAGATAAAGACCACTTCGCAAAGACCGGAACAAAACTAAAAGCGCGGATGTCAGGAGCTCAGATGTGCAGCTCGAGATCGCAAGAAATCGAACCATGGGCCGCACCTTAAAAATACTCTACATGATGTTACTGAAGAGCTTTACGGCGACGTCGACAGCAACACATGAAATAAAATGTGCGTGTGAAGTGTTGTAGCACATTTTCAAATGTTTAATTATGTCGAGGCACAGAAAACTGTATCCCTTCATCATGTTTGAAAATATCAAATGTGCCCTTGTTTATGTTTTTTTTTCTATATAATGAACTATGAAAGCAATAGGGTGTAAACAATGCAGCTGCTGGCACGCGCGTTCATTCGGCGGGACAGTGTCTATCTGGTTCTGGAGTGCCAGTGCTTATCCTGTCGCCCTTTCGCTTTCCCCTTCATGCCATCATTACACGTTTCTTTTGCATACTTACACGGACGCTTTTACTATTCTGGTGTTTCTAGATTCAATTCTGGCTAAAGCTGCATATTCCCCGTGTTTCCGGTGCTTCGCTATCGAGGATGAGTGTTTTCGTCTCCCTCGTCACGATCACAGATGTGTTGACCAAGAACGTTGGTCCATGAACTCTAACCAGGTACAAGTAAATCTACCCTACAACTAGTGTAAGCACTCGTGGTAGAGAAAACCGCTTACCAATGTTGTATGTAGTTTCGCCTACTTTTCGGTCTAGCGCCTACGCCTAGCGCGCAGACAAAAAGAAAATTTGAGGTCCTCAAATGCATGACAAATTTCCTCAGGAAAAGACTCTTGTCTCCTTTGACTGACTCATCCGCACGTGCGCCTGCATGCATTCGACGACAGGTTTTTTTTTGCGCACCCGAACTTACCCTGCTTCCACGTCTTTATTCGAGAAGTTGCACACTGTTGTACCAGCGGTGAGAGACGCACACTTCCTCCTCACGGTCAGTAGTTCAAGGAAGTTGCCAGGGGCACTATTAAGCGATGTTCTTGACGACCAAGGAACGGGAAGGAAACGCCGAACAAGGAGCTTTAGGACATGACGAAAAGGATCGATTAGATCACGCGACGCACAAACTACACCTCCGAGAGAGGAGAACCCAGAGGACTTTTTTTCGTACCCGCCGAGAGAATATTTACACGTATTCAGTTTACCATAGATACAGATACAAGAACCGAAGTAGAAACACGATAGTAACTACCACTACACAGCGTGAATTAAACAGATCAAGATGTCGGAGCCCGTCGAACTCTACATGCGCCGGCAGGGGTATACGCCGTTGCGGAAGATAGGGAAGGGCTCCTTTGGTGCGGTCTTTTTGTGCAATCGAGACCTGCAGGAAGTGGTGTGCAAAATGATTGACGTCAGTCACATGAGCACCAAAGAAAGACAGAAGACACTGGAAGAAGGTAGTTGAAATTTATTGCTGATGCGGGAAAAGAATATGAAAATCAAAATGCATGAAGGTGGAGAACTTCACAGCGACGAGATCATACAACAACGTGATCAATCCTCTCCCCCGTAAGTCCGCCTGAAAGTAAGGTTCTAGTTGTAGTGCACACACTTATTTAATACCAGCAAGCTGGTCCAGGCGATCACGTTCGCGACGCAGTATTGATCTTCAAAAATGTTTTCTTCAACAACGAAAATAAAGGGCGGCTGTTGGCCTCTTTGTCGCACCCGTATGTTTGCAAGTACCACGGCAGCCATCTCTCGCACGGTTGGTTTTTACTCGCCATGGACTACTGCCCCCGCGGTGATCTCGGAAGGCATATCCGGCGGCAGGCGGAGCGCCGGCGGCGGTTCTCCGAAAAACAAGTCGTCTCGTGGCTCACACAGATCCTTCTCGCCCTGCACTACCTGCACGCAAAAAAACATATTCTGCACCGGGATGTGAAGAGTTCGAACTTCTTCCTCACCGACGACCACTCACTCCGCATGGGGGATTTCGGAAGTAAGTATAGTAAGTATAGTATCTAAACAACGTGTACAACTACAACTTTATTTGTACTTGTTGTCTTTTGCACCTGTCATCTACCTTCGGACAGGAAAAAGAAATCAAAATGATGACATCTTTACTGCGTGCTCAATGTCACTGGCTAAAACTCTCGGTCGTCCCCACGTACGTCTTCACCAAAAAAGTGGGACGAGCGTCGAAGTTCTAGTTGAGCAATGAGTTTCTTCTACAGGAAGTACTAGTACGGTACATTTTACAACTACAGGGACGGTACTACAGTCGTGATCATGTTGAAGTAGATGTTGCTCATAGATAAGAAAGAAAACTTCCAAATTATCACCAGTTTCGAAGTGCTTGGGATCAACGGTAGACCACGCACGAACACAGATCGGAACGCCGTACTACATCTCCCCGGAGATCTATGGATGCGTCAGGTTTGAAATCAACAAAGTTGAAATTATTTGTCATGCATAAAATGGATGCCAGTTGGGACCCAGTTTCTAAGTGGCGCATGACAAATTTTGGCGGTGTCTGAATCCAGTTTGTAATGCTGTTTGGGTAAGAGTGACGCCTTTTGTCATGCTACTTCAGCAGCTCTATTTCTACCCCTCGCCAGGCTTACAATCTGCCTCCCTTGCCCACTCTGCAAGACAGGCGCTTTGTGGGTTGCATTTCATGCATCGCAAACTATTTCAACTTTGACCATTTCAATCCTGACACTACCATAAGATCTGCGAAAATAAAGAGTACTCGTTCAGCGCCGACATCTGGTCGCTCGGTTGTCTCGCCTACGAGTTGATGGTTCTCAAGGTGCCCTATGACGCCCCGGTATGTGAGGGAAACAGAAACGTACTTGCAAGCGGTTTGTGCAGCACTTACACTTTCTAGTTCTAATGTCATACGAATTTCGTCTCGCATGTGTTCAACGGTGACAGAATTGCAGGAGCAGTACTACGTTTAGCTGCAATGAACTTTGTTGTGGTGCTTGCGTCCGCTTTGTAGATCGTTAGCTTTTCCACCATACGCTGACGTGCATGCATTGTGCCGAAAAATCCGAGAATACCCTGCCCCTACGCTACCAGCCACTTTCTCGTCCGACTTGCGGTGCGCCATCAACCTGATGTTTTGCAAGGACCCGCGGCGGCGCCCACGAGATATGCTGGATGAGGCTACTTACGCTAATCTATTGGCATTCGCTTGCCAGCCCTGACCAACAGACTCTGCCTTCTACTCTGCTAGTTCATCGTTGTACTATTTTTGTCACGTGGGCATGTGGGTTTCCCTCACTGTTCGGCTCCGTGGTTGTTGAAGAATAAACGCAATGCGATACGAAGCGTCCGAAGAACAACAGGCAGGCTGAGCAGGTTGTATATGTATGTCAAAAGAAGTGTGATTTTTTTCTCCAGGATAACAGCCGAAGAATTGGTACGAGCTAGCGTAACAACGATTTCAGCATCGAGCTCTAATTTGATTCAAAAGATTATTAAGATGTGGAATTTAAGTATAAGAAAAAGTTCCTGGAGGACGAGGTATTTAGCCGACAATAAAAATGGGGATGCAAATCCAAATGCTAAATATCGTACGAAATTTGAAATTTCGGGTGCCCACGAGCCCCCGTAGCTACAACAACTCGTAGTTCTTGACCCAACGTCCTCTGCCCGTAGCGTCTTGTTGCGTTGAGAACAACGCGAAGGGCCAAACTTTTTGCAGATTAAAAGTCAACGCCAAGAAGTAAGAGTCATCAAGAGCAGTCCCAACTCTAGTACTGCCAAAAACAGCTCTCCAGACCAGTTTTCGCCTTGGAGCTGCAGTGGATGACAGAGCAGAACCTGCCGACAGGCCTGGATCCCGAGTTGGAGGACCGGATTCTGAAGAAGGACCGGAATGCGGCAGCGGATGATCAGATGGATCGCAGAAGTGGCGGCAACCGCAATGGAGCCTCCAAGTCAGACTCGGCTACCGGTTGTACCTCCTCCTCGACGACGGCTTCTTCGTCCTCATCTAGTAGCTCCAAGAACAAACTGGTGCACGCAGTACTAGAGCAGGGGGCAGGAGATCCACCAGCTTCCTCCGCGGCGGGATCGGGGGGAGGTTTAATATTTCCCACGCCGAGAAATAAGAGGTGGCACCAGGCGGCCGTGCATTCCGTCCAGGACAACAAGGAAAATCAGCGCCCGGCTGCGCAGCTGCCGAGCGCCGGTGGAGCTGCAGCTCCTGGAGGCGCGTCTTCCACACCACGCGGGCCGGTTAGTACACCAGGCAGGGGTGGTCGTCCCCGTGGGTCCGCTGCAGCACCTCCTGCCGGTGGAGTGCCGCCGATAAAGATGAACGTGGTAGGTAGAGAAGGTGGTGGCAGTGCCGTTCTTTCGTCGGCGAGCTGTGAGGATTCTGCTGGTGGAGCCTCGCCTCCGCCAAGTGTGGTCGCGTACCACCAACATCAAGTCGGGGACCTGTTGGAATACTGGTCAGACACGCACAGGCAGTGGGTTCGCACCAGAGTCACTGACGTTGACCCGGTCACGAACGACATCCAAATCGACGCGAAGCCCGGTATATGCACTGCAAAAGTATCGCACGAGTATAAACCGCATGACAAATTTTTTCCTCAGCTTGAGAAATGAAATTTGTAACTCGGACTTGAGAATAAAGTAAGCACTAAGCAATTTAAACTTGTAATTGTATTGCAAGGAAGATGCGATTAGTACATGCCCGATACTTTTGCAGAGCATACGGTTCTTGGCTGGAAGCCGAGGTGCGGCGAACCAAGATCCGATCCCCACAAAAATCCTCGTCGCCCACTCAGCAGTCAGCGAGATGCCCTGTTTTGGTTGGAGGAGCAGGGCCAGGGGCAGCCCCCATAGGAGCAATAAAACCAGCGAACCAGCAGGCATCGAACATGAAAAGTCAGTACAGTGCGCATCGCTCAGTAGTGGTGGCCGGGTAACTACTACATTCTGCTGTCTTTTGACTCTAGGAAAATCAAGGCTAGGATGTTTTTAGTAGGCGTTCAAAAAAAGTTGATTTGATAGTATGTGCTGCTTGCAGCAAAAAGAAATTTTGCTTGCTGCGAGTTTCTCTCTCTTCATGGACGAAATTATTGGCGAATACAAATGCACGCTAGCGATCCCCGAGGGGCTCGTGTTCATGGACACTTACCGGCACGAAGGGCGTTGGGACAACGAGGTGGTTCGTATGTATCCCTTCGAATCAAGAACCCTGAGCAGCTAGCACATTTGTGCCGGCGAGCCTACGTTATCGCCACGGAACAGTTATTATTTACAGTCATACATTCGTTGCGGTGTAGTCCTGTTAAAGAGCATTGTTGATTCGTAGGTTCTAGTAAAAAGACGCCAGCATGCTACTTTGCTCAGGGGCGAGTATGTTTTCATTCGATACAGGGCGGTAGCGTCGGGGGCTGGCTCGGTAGCAGCTGCAGCCGTCGGGCCGCCCGTTCCTCCATGGGCACGGAGGCCTACGCGTCTGAGTCAACACAATGATCGGGCAGCCGGTATACGTGTGACGCCACGGATTTTTACGCCTCGGTAGTCCGGCGGTGCGATGAAAGTCAAATGCCTGGCGTCAATCCTCGTTTCCTGCTGATAGAGTTGAAAAGCATTTTTACAGTTGAAAAGAACTTTCATTAATGAAGACACAGTTGTTGATAGCAATAGGGTTCATTAAATGTTGGGCCATTCATACACAAGCGAAATATGCCCCCGCCCCCGGAAATCAGCAATTCTGGGGTGCTTAGGAGGCACCCCATCTGGTGCTTAGGAAGCACCCCATCTGCCCCTTTGATACCGCGGGAGCCCGAACTTCGAGCCCTAGGGGCAAGAAGGTAGGCTCCTGGTCCCGGCCAGGCGGGCAAATAGCCTTGCTTGACTAGCGGAAACAAAATCTCCTGGCCCGTTCCATTTGTTACCTCTCGACCAAGGGCAAAAATATAACGCACGGCGCTGCGATGCACAAAAACGCAGTAAGCTGCGCGGCCTCAAGCTCATGGGATGATGGCCATCTGCTCAGGGAGCAAAGACGATCCATGCCGGCGATGAGCCAACCTCACACCCTGAGCGCCGTGGTATCGTAGGCATGCGAGCGCTCCACTTGTGACATTTTGCAGCACGCATGTGGGGTTTTTGCATGCAGGCGCCAAAAGGTGAGCGCTGCACTCGCCAGATGCGGCAAGTCCGCCGATCCGGGTGTCACATAAACGCCCGGTCTGCCGGGATCTGGCGCTGCAAAAGCTCGCGGCTTTTCTAAAAGGAATCCGCATGCTACAGGCCCGATTCGACAGCCGCAAAGTCGGCTCCTTTTGCGCCGCCGGATTCCGGCAGATCGGGTGGCTATGTAACACCCGGATCGCCCGCATTCGCCGATCCATAATTGGACTCGCCCGTCGAGCTTTTCCCAGATTTCGTTTCTGTGCATGACCGCGCCAAAAGCTAAAAGCTTGCTCGAGAGCCAGCTTCGAACTAGGATTTAATTACTTGCCGAAGACAGGCATAATAAGTATAAAGAAGAGCAGTAGAAGTGCTAGACTCGGAATCGCAACGCTCTAGCTAAGTAATAAAATACAGGCCCCATAGTCACCATGGTCCGATCGAGGTGGTTTGGGTGTGTGTCTATGGCGATGGAACCTTCGGCCTGGGGCAGTAGAGATGCCCCGCTCCTCTTTTTCATTGAGCGCAGGCTGACTCTTCAGCCACGCGTGAGATGTTGACTCTAATAAAGCGCGCGGCTCTAGTGCGACGCGCTTAAGCACCAGATGGGGTGCTTCCTAAGCACCAGATGGGGTGCCTCCTAAGCACCCCAGAATTGCTGATTTCCGGGGGCGGGGGCATATTTCGCTTGTGTAATTCAGGGTGAAGCTGAAGGTCCAGACAATAATTTTGATGGTGGTTCTCCATAATCGATCCTTTCCAGGCTCTAGCAGATGCAGATTAATATCGATTGAGACAGGAAAAAAAAAGTGTAGTAAGTGAAAAGGTATAAATTTCAATGCACGACGAGTATGAGGACTTAGACGGAAAAGTGATGTCATGAAACCTCTAAATCCACAAACCAGTCCCAGTCAAACCAATGATGTATGATGGACGAAATGAAAAACATCACAACAAACACTTTCGGCTATTCTCACAGTGTGTAAAATGCTGGCACGACAAGCAGACTGAAACTGCTGCCTCCTGTGCGCCTATACCGAATAGAAATTCCTAGTTACCAGAGTATCGAGGCGACTAGAAAAAAAAACAAAGTTGTCAATCATGTGAGCTTCTGTATGCGAACTACTGAAGGAGGTTAAAAACGGGTAACAGGGGAACTCGTGTGCGATTTCCATCGAATGTTCACAGATAGCAGAACCGCATATATGCTCTTGATTCTCACTCTACTTGTGCAGTTGCAGTGTGTGGAAGAGTATCTGAATCTTCTGTACGTTGAAGTTCAAGTACATGCTTCAAATCCGGTGCAGTATTGTAGCAGTGGTGATGTCTTCACATCCACGTCATTTCAGTTCTGCGAAGATGACGCAGATGCCACCCTGTTTGTCGCCGTCCGTCGGTTTGTTTGTTTAGACCACATCAAGTTCTTCGGTATAAGTTGAAATCAAAAATGAAAAAAGCGCAAATTATTTGTCGAGCTGCGTAGAAGTTGCAAGTGCAACAGACTGATAATTGCTGAAGCTGGAACTGCAGCATTCATCTGGCTGCTACAAAGACTAAAATGAACAATACAGGTGGCCGCGTTTACTGACTGCTATGTATGTACGGACGCGCACTGTAATGCAAAAGTAGCTGCACCAGCACCAGCATCGAAAAGCATCAAATTTAGAAGTCGCAAGCGCAGAGGTGACGGTCACAACAAGATAGCCCGTTTGCAAGGGTGATACGCCTCACATAGCATCGACGAAATTTCAGGTCTCCGTGACATGATATTTTTATCTGCAGCAGAACTACTAGCTGCTTGTGCTTTCGCTGTCGCACTACTTCTTGGCCCTTTTAGAAAAGTCCTGGGAAAGAATAAGATATAAAAACTTCTACATCCCTGATTCTCATATTATTTGGAAGGAACACAGCAGATGAAATCTATAGAACACAATGGTGAAGAACCCGTGCGACTGCAGGCGAGCTGCAAATGCTACGCGAACACTTTAACGGTGCAAGTGGCCAGCCCGGACGATGTGCTGATGCTCGCTTGCCACTGCGCACAGTGCCGCAAGCACTCGGCCGCGGCTTGGGGTGTCTACCTCTACAAGGGGATATGAAAGCCTCAGGTTGGAAATCCTCAAAGTGGAAATGATTTGTAATGCAAAAAAACGACTCCAGTTGAAGCGCCATTTCTAGTCGGCGCATGACAAATTTTCCGGGCACTCAAAGCATGCCTGTCATGCTAGGTAGGCAAAGGGGTGCCCTTCTCTCGTGCTAATCAGTAGCCCAATTCTGAACCCCTAGCAGGACAATAGTCGGTCTCCATTGTGTCCTCTGCAATACAGTCTTTTTTGCCTTGCATTTCATGCATCACACTTTGAGGATTTCCATTCTGAGGCTTTCATAGGGGATGCGAGACATTGCCTTATCCGCAGATGAGCTCTCGCACGAGACTATGCCTTGGACGGTCGTTAGCGTACAGAAGGGTGAATTTGCAGTGAATTTGTATTGCATTTATTGCTTTAAAAGAGAAGTACGCAGCGCAAAGGGCTGGACACGAGCCCAAGCAGCCCACGCAGCGTGAAGGGCTGCTCGTTTGCGGCCCACACAGCCACAGCAGCCTTTTCGACGTGACCCCCAGGTTAGGAATTCTCTTGGTGAATTTTGGGGCTTTTTGTTTTGGCGACACTTTTTTGAAGCCCCAAAACCCGGAGTTTCTCGTGCGTTAGCGAATTTTGAATAGGCACCTTGGGCCAAAATTCACCCACGGCTTTTTCAAAATTCACCTCAAAATTCACCGGGCCCCCAGTTTCGACCGTAATAAGCAAACTTTAGCGCAGAAAAGTGCTCAAAAAAGTGCACAGGTAGGGCCTGGGAAGTGGGACCGAGGGGAAAAGACAAGCGCCCTCTGCTGCCCTCGGCCCGTCTATATTCTGCCGAAAAGGCCGGGAGAGTTCACGCGCCTGCCGGATAGAAGCGCCAAAGCTCTCGGCCTCGTCCTTTCGCCCTTGCCTTCGCGCGGCCTTCGTCTTGCGTAATTGTATGTGCTCCGGAGCCCTTATTTTTGGCGTCTTTGCCGCGGCTGTTGCAGTGCTCTTATGCGAGCACAGGGAGACGAAATTGTATGGCTATGGCCAAAGAACGGCACCAAGGCCATGTCTAGAAGAAGCTGCCCGCCGCATAAGCCTGGACAACTTCTGCGGTGTGCAGAACCCACTTCCCAGAAGGGCAAGAGGAACAATGTACCGGCGGACCCACCTGCAATTTGTCATGCAAAATTCACTACAAATTCGCAACTTCTCATGCTAACGGGTGTTACAGCTCTAACCTCTACAAGGGGATGCGAGACATTGCCTTCTCCGCAGATGAGCTCGCGCGCCGCGGTATCCTGACGAGTAAAAACGTACCCACACCAGAGTCAGGATGGGGATTTTGCAACACAAACCTAGGAGTTTTGTGAGTCACGCATGACAAGTTGCGCTATGCAGTGTAGTGCAGGTTAGCAAGTGCAGCCGCATCACAGATTCTCTTCTCATCCTGTTCACAGCATCACGAATTCAAAAACGCGATTGGAAATGGCTGTCAGGGGGATGCGCATTACAAGTCTTCCTGTCTTTGCAAATCTGCATTACAACTCTGGTGTGGGTACCTTTTTACTCAGGATACGCGGCCCCACGGGGTTCGAGATGGAGAAGGACGTGCATCTGCCGAATATGGACAAGAAGATATCCTGATTGAATAAAACGTCCTCACTCCATGAAGATAAAAGTCAAGATTGAAGATGCTGTTTATACTTATATATAGGGATTGTGTTCATCTGCAAGACGAATCCAGAACTTGTGGGACCCACGCAGAACAAGTTTCGCTATAATGCAGTATAGTCGTGCCTACGGACTACTCCAGATGCATCGCAACTTCACGTTATTATCCTAATTCACGCATGGCAGATCATTCCTAAACCAACGCTACGAGAAAATGCCTCTTCTAGAGAGCCGCGGGTGGGAAACATCCTGAGCATGTGCATGTGCTTTTGCGCCAAAACAAGTCTCGCCCACCTCACCTGCGTGTTTTTCATGCCATCTGCAGCATAGGGTAAGGGGGGAAGAAAAGTGTGTTGCGCCTCGTTTTTGACCATGAAGACAAAATCTGGGGTAAGGAGGCTTTTACTCAGTGTAAAGAAACCTGGTGCGCAAGATTTCCGTGCGGTGCGACGGGCTGGTGGAAAGCGGAACAGCGGAGATATTTCACAGAAACGTGCAGTCGTACCACGACATAAATTTGTTTTGCTATAAATATAAATGCCAATTGGCCCTGCTGAGCGCTGAAAACCGAAACGCTGCAATGCGGAAACCAGAAAAGAGGCAGTTTTCTGTTATGCACAGTGCCGCTTGGACAAATCAAATGGATAATGCGGTTTGGCTTTGGCGATTACAGGGGCCGCGGTTGTGGCGAAAAAGTTTGTCATCCCGAACTACAGCCAAAATAAGAAAGTCCTTGTGGCACCACGAAAAAATTCGCAACACATCTCAATTTTTTTCTCTCGGTACGGGTGTACTTTTTTTCTCTAGTACAAGAGAAGTGGTTGTGTCGCAACTGCCACTCCACCCTTGGGCTGCTAGTTCCCGAGCGCGGGTTTTTCGTGTCGGGTGGGCTAATCGATGATGGCGATTACTCCGACGCGCGCAAGGGCCGCATTCCGGCGCCGGATCTGTGGCCACAGTTGATCAAATTGGGCTCGCTCGACAACCCGATTGTGGATTTGCAATACGAGCGCCGCGCGCCTTGGTACGGGCAAACGGCCGAAGCCCTGCGGGCGGCGAGTGAAAAAAGGAAGAGCGATGCTGTTCTTCTGGGGCGACGTGCCAGCGGCGGAAGAAGTACAGCAAATGAGACCTCTATGGCGAATGTGATGGAAAGAGCCTCAAGCAGCACAGGGACCGATCGAACTTTGTCGAAGTCAGAAAACAGATCCGCGTCGAAAGATTCTTCGGGTGAGGGAGCGGAGGTGGTCACCGGCGGGTGTTATTGTGGGGCATGTAGGTACCACATATACGGCACTTTTCCTCGGGAGTTGCAGCATTGCTACTGCTCATGGTGCAGGAAATTAAGTGGCGGACTCTTCCAAACATGGGCGCCCGTACTGACTGCAAATCCGAGCGCGGCTCTTGCCGCAGGCAACAGCAAAACTGTAGCGGGTACGACTGGTGCTGGTGCAGCTGTTGTAGAGGGACTTGTTTGGAATGTCACAGACGGCTTCGGAGATGTAGTAAACGAGCAGGAGTCCCCATTGCTGCTAGACAGAACTTCGCAATGGGGCTCTCGGCATGTCTGTCGCAAGTGTGGCACGGTGCTCTCGATCGTGTACGACTCGCAGCCCGGGGTGGTTTGGATCGCAGCCGGGAGCTATGACGATAGCAGTATCCCGGGTGATTCCCGTCTCGAAAAGTATGAGTTTGTAACCTCCAAGCTCGCGCGAGCCATCCACATCTGCTGTCTTAGTAAGCAGCCATGGTATGAGCTACCAGAGGACGGCTTGCCACGCATTCGATATGCGGGCTAGCAGGGTCCTGAATGTTGAGTGCGGGACCACGAGCGCTAGTTCCGTGAAGACGCATGTTGCACCTCAAGAACTATTGGCTGACGCTGTTGAATTTGAAATATGCTGTACGTGTGTGTGCCTGCCTAATTGCTAATGCTATCGTTTCGTCGTTCCACTCGCAACAACTGTTTATTTCTTGTATGATGCATGTAAGTATGTAGCTGTACTACTACAACATACTCTTCTACTTCTGCGTACTGAAGAAACAAGAGAATAACGTCAGAAGCCGTCTACAGTCAGCCGTCGTGTGGCTGCACAGGAAGAATCCAGAGCACGTGTTCCTTATCTTGCGCAATATAATTACAATTACTTCAGGATAGTCCGAGTGAAGATCAAGATCAAGATCTTTCCCCGCAAAGCTCGCCTCTTCGAAACAACAGGAGTTCATCGGTTTTCGCTTGAAGCCCTGTTTGTGTTTTCTCCAAACTGGACCTTCAGATTGATCATGCATAGCGTGTGGATGCGAGAACTTCTCAGAAGTGAAGATTGTTCTTCCGCCGAAATAAAGATCTTTTAGGGTGGTAAGATCAAGGTGCTGATATTGCCATGTCGGTACCTTCCAGACGAGATAGAACTTGAACTTACCTCGCTCATCAGGATCTGATGAGATGCGTGAGTTACGTATCATTTGGATCTGTTTCCACATCCGTTTTAGGGATGGAAAATGTAGAAAAGTTTCATACCTATAAAGTACTAGCTAGCACGGTCGGGCACTGGTTACGAGCACGATGGCGATCATTCTTTGCATTTTTTGGCGTCCCCACTAGCACGGTCGGACCGTGTTAGTGGGGGCGCCAAAAAAAGCAACCCAGCTGGTTGCCGCGCGCTTTTAGAACCTCTGCGGGCGAAAAAGTGAATATATATCCAAAAAATGAGCCGCATAATTCGAAATTGGCCCGCATAGGTTCCAAAAGCATGAGGCAACCAGCTGGGCTGCTTTTTTTGGCGTCCCCACTAGCACGGTCGGATCGTGCTAGTGGGGACGCCAAAAAAAGCAACCCAGATGTTTGCCGCGTGCTAGAAGTGCCTATGTGGACCAATTTCGAAAATATGCGGCCCATTTTGAAAATATGCGGCCCATTTTTGGGGTATATAGGTATGAAACATTTTGCAGTTTTCCATCCTTAATCCGTTTACATTTTGATTGCGCGCCAGTAGATGAAGATGGTGCAGCAACAGACTACAGAGAAGATGTTTGTAGAACTTGTTCGGACTCTACTTGAGTCTTGTTTCTTACAGCAGACTACAGGCATGACTTGAAATCGTTTCGATGAAAGGTTGGTTGATGTCAACGAACATACGATACATTTTTTGATCCTATTGAAGTTTTCGAAAGTTTCCGCCGAGTGTCTTATTTTCTCTTTTTAACTACTAATTCAAACTCTGACATTACATGGGACCTCCGCGAAATCGAAAAGGCCGAGCACGTCCGGCAAAAAAGGCTGGCGATGAGGGCAGAGATGCAAAAGATCCAGGCGATGAGGGCGCCAGCAGCACCTCTGAGCCCGACGGTTCTGCGGACGAGGTGGAATTGACACAGGAAAGCAGTAGCAAAACCGCGAAGAAAAGCAGCGCGAGGAAGGCGAGGCAGGCGGAGAAAACGTCCGCCCTTAGTAAGGAGGAGCAAAAGTATGCTGCTCGTGTGCGAGAAGAAAAGCTCGAAAGACGAAAAAAACTTGTGGAAGAAAGGATAAAGTCGGCTAAGCCCGGAGGTAGTCGCTTTGTAGTCGCTTTATTTTTACACAAGGACATGTAGATGTACGTAGTTTGAACTTGAAGATAGCCTCGTCCTACCTGTAATTTTTCACGTTTTTTCTTTACGTCCAGTACTACGGAGAACACGAATCAAGTACACCATGACACAGAGACAAGTGACCAAGAGGTAAAAACAAGAAGTAACTAATAGTACAGCTTCCGCTTCGAGCAGTGTCAGTGTCTCTGTGTGTAATATACTCACTAAAAAAGGAGACGAGGACGACTCGAATTTTCTGCTTCTGCGTACTAGGACCATCAAGTGAATAATCAGAAAAAAACTGACAGATGAATACGCACAGTGGTTGGCGGATGAGAAACGGAAAATTTTGGCTGCTAAGCTGCAGGCCCGAAAGACGCGGAGTTTGTACGACGGCCCGGAGTATGCATTGCAAAAGTATCGTATTCGTATAAATGCATTACAAATTTCCTCAGCATGAGAAGTAAAATTTGTAATGCGAATTTACCTTTAAAAAAAGATTTGTAATGCATGATTGCCATACGAGTACGATAATTTTGCACAGGATACGGAGCTCGGCGATCTGCTTGACTCCGATGAGGAGGAAGAAGCTCTTATCCTGAGTAAAACCGTCCCCATACCAGAGTCAAGATGGAAAATCTGCTAGACAAATCAGCCAACTTTGGTCGTTTCGCATGACAGGTTTTTCCTCGTAGTGTAATCCTGTTTAGCTAGTTCAGCAGCATCACAGATCTAGCATATCATGCTTTTTATAGCATCACAAATCCCAAAACACGACGAGAACAAGCTTTTCATGTGGCTTCGCATGAGAAACTTTTTTGGCATGCAGATTTGCATGGCAACTCTGGGGTGGGGATGTTTTTACTCAGAATAGCTCTGGGGGGAAAGCCTCAGGAGCTGATGAAGTTGAAGAGACCCAGAAATAATAATGCTGCAAGTGCAGCGACCTCCAACTCCAAGCAGGGTGCAGGTGCAGGTGCTCGTCATTCGTCTTTCCCCTCGGCCAGCGAGGACCAGGGCCGCGGGGAAGAAGCAGGAGAAGATGAAACGAACAAACCGAAGGGGTCCTCCTCGGCAGGAGGTGCTGGGGGTGGCCTGCGCTCACAGGTCTGCCAGATTGCGCTGATCCTTGTGGTAATGTTGTTCCTCGGTGTGTTGAAGGCGGGCGAGGAGAGCTTCAACGAGGGCGACGGTCCAAAGCGGACGTCCGACGAAGAGGACTTTTACAGCGTACTCGACGTCACCCGTGGTGTGATCGAGTCCGATTTGAAGAAGAGCTACAAGAAGCTCGCCCTGCGCTGGCACCCTGACAAGAACCCAAACTGTGACGAGTGCCTGAAGAAGTTCCAGAAGATCTCCCGGGCCTACGAAACCCTCGGCGACAGGCGCAAGCGCAAACTTTACGACCAAACGTCAGCTGTGGATCTCGATTCGTTGCCTTCCGCTGCTGAGGCGATCACGACGAAAAATTGGCGCGAGAAAGTCTTGAATTCGAACGACATATGGGTGCTGCAAACCTATTCTGAGGTCGACTCCGCCTGCCGGTCATTTCATCAGATGTGGTAAGACGTAGCTACAGCTGTGATCTGAGGCTATATATAGTTTTTGTTTTTCGATCTCCATCTCTTCATGCCGCTTATGAGCCTTGTTTCCGTCCACCAAATAAAATACACCCGCGGAGGACCGAAACTTTCGCCATATTGAGCAGACCAATGGGTGCATACGTTGATTGTGAAGGAGTTGACGTTGAGACCAAGACGACCAAAAATCATCCCTATAAATATCATGATGTACATGTAGGCTATGAATATATATATATAAAATCAGGGAAGAAGTGGTGACGGGTAGCACGCTGGGACAGAGCGTGAAATTTGGGCGAATCCACTACGGTCAAGACCGCGATCTGCTGAATCAACTTCCCATAGCCGCCCGCATTCACCCTACCGTGTTCCTCTACACCCCCTCCCTCCCAGGGGAAACCACGCCCACGCTACCCCACAGCCGCGCCACCCCGGACAAGATTCACAAATGGATTACTACCCACGTCCCCGGGTCAGCTGTGACCCGCATTCGCACGGAGGAGGATCTGCAACTGTTTCTGGCAGGCGCCAGCGGGGGGCATAACCAGAACAAGCGAAAGTTGCTGCTGGTCGCACCTGTGAGTAGCAAACAGCTGCCGCTCAGCCTCAAGCGCCACAGCGTGCACTGGTATTCGCTTTTTCAGATCGGCGTAGTCCGTACGGAGCTATTGCGGGACGCAGCGAATGCACCGTTGCGCGAGGCCATTGAAGCTCTCGCCGCAACAGCTCCCTCGGGTGGTTCTACAACTACAATCGGGCAGCAGGAGCAAGAAGCGAAAGCGACATCGGGTGAGCCCCAGAAAAAAAAATCCGCATCGGCTAAAAAAATGCAGAAGCCACTGCAATTTGAATTTCCGTCGCTTCTCGTTCTGGGAACGCGAAGATCGAAGGGTGTCCAGGACGAGGACGCAGTTTTTGTTGAGAAAATAGTGACTTTCCCGACGAAGTCGCTGACGGACGATGGGCTCACACGGGCACTGTACACGCTGCAGGCGGAATTTTTGATGCCCTACCTCACCACGTCAAACGTCGATATGCTGTGTCGGAGCAACTCGCAGTACCGGGTCTTCTGTCTGATCGAAATCGTGCAGCACCACTCCGGCGCCCAGGCGCTCGAGGCCGAGCAAACGTTGCAGCGGAAGCTGGCTGCAGCGCGGCGGGAGTACCTGCAAGATTTGTTGGGGGGCTCCGGGCACAAAATCGCCGATGTGGACGACGTGTTTGCAAGGGCAAAAGCAACGAAGGTAACGAGGGCGGAGGTGGACCAGGCGCCGAATGCGGTCCTGCACTCCGAGCTGGACGAGGTCTTCTTTTTGCAGCGCGCGCGGGTCAACCTGGCAACGGACGCGGTTCTCGCCGAGTGGTCGCTGGGGCGGCCACCGCGCGCAAAGTTAGCCCTAGCGAACCTGTTACGTGCAGAGGCCGCTGCATTGCATTTGCAGCACCAGCAAAGTACGACAACTTCTGGTGAAGCTTCTCCTGGTTCATCTTCGGAGCAACCAGAACCACCAGCAGGAGGACCACTACAACAGCCTGTGGTCCCTGGTGGAGGTCCTCCTGCTCTCCCCGAATCCCTTTTGGTGGATCTGGATGCGCGGCGGTGGAAGCTGGTGCAAGAGAAGGATGTGCCGCAGTTGTACGCCCAAATCGAGCAAGACTCCGTGATGTTCCAGGACTTTCCCGAACAGCTGCGACTCGACCACACGACCCTGTTCGCCCCGGGCGTGTCTTTGTTTCACGATGTGGTGGAAACCTTGCGGCAGAACTCGTACCTGGATCTGTTGCTCGTTTTCGGCGGGTTTTTCCTCTGCTACCTCGCGGCGCACGCCCTCGATCGCAGGCTCAGCCTTCCGAAGTTGAGCCTGCTCTTTCTGCTCGTCGCCACCACGGGCTTCCTGTTTCAGCTCTCGCCTGCAACCAGATACTCGTGGTCCCAGTTTTCCCACATCATGCTCGAAGACTCTCTGGCTGCCGTGCGACCCTACTACCGACAGATAATCACCGTTTTTCGTGCAGAAAGAACTGCCTCCAGCGATGAAGATCTGTAGTATAATATGAAACGGTGTTTGCAGCACCTCCTCCAGCAGCTGCATGATGGTACGGATCGAATTCGAAAGAAAAGAAGAGATGCCCCTTGTTGAGTTTTTTTACAAATCTTACGTAAGTAACCTCTGTGTAGCCAATAAACCTCCCGCAAAGACAGATGTGCTCTCGTGCCGCAGTGGGTCGCGCATCGAAGTGGTTCGCGAGAAACAGCAGGTTGGCTTTGGCTAGGTACGAGCTTTCCAAACTCGACCAGAGCAAATCAATGCCAAAAACAAAATGATAATGCTGTATAATTCACACAACCATTTGTTCTTGATGTGTTTAGTAAGACCCCTGTGTGGCCAGCAAGAAGTGCCGACGTAGACCTGAAGCTCCAGCGTCTAGTTCCAAAAAGATCAGTACTTGTACTTCTGTAGCAGTTTCAACGAAACTATTTCATGGTCGTGATGTTGTTACCGTGTGTGCCACAATTCCAGTTCTTTGCTGTGGTTGCAGCTTGTGCTTGAGGATCATGAAAAAATATCTAAAGTGCGACGACTCGGATTTTGCGTCAAGCGGAAGAAGTAGCGATGATCCTGAGGGCAGGTTTGTGCAGTGTTGGTAAGGATGTCATTGTGCAGACTTGCTGGATCCGTGTGATCGACGAGGACAAAGAGGATCTTCCGGATCCTTCGTGTGGTGAAACTTCTGCTGCCCTGCTGCTCGTACATACTAACTATTGCGTTCTCATCGCGGCGAGTGTCGGTAGCTAATAAATAAGTACTTTATGTTTACTAGCAAAGCCAGCTTCGCCTGGAAGTAGGCATTAGAAGAAACGCAAATGTCAGTTAGCATCATCGACATCTAGATAACAAATCAAAAAGAAAAAAGCGCCGGCCCCAAAACAAGGCCGCGGCGCGCCCAATGTGGTCGCCGCGGCTCCGGCGCGCCCAGATTGGTCGCTCCATTTCCGGCGCGCCCAGTCTGGTCGTCCCGGCTCCGGCGCGCCCAGAGTGGTCGCCCCAGCTCCGGCGCGCCCAGAGTGGTCGCCCCGGCTTCGGCGCGCCCAATCTCATCAACCCGGCGCCGGACGGCCGTTGGACAACTTCTGGCCGTCCGACGGCCGTCGGACGAGTTTCGGCTGTCCGACGGCCGCCGGACGACTTTCGGTTGTCCGACGGCCGTCGGACGACTTTTGGTTGTCCGACGGCCGTCGGACAATTTTTTCCGACGGCCGTCGGACAACTTTCGGCTGTCCGACGGCCGTCGGACGACTTTCGGCCGTCGGACAACTTCTGGCCGTCCGACGGCCGTCGGACAACTTTTGGCCGTCCGACGGCCGTCGGACGACTTTTGGCCGTCCGACGGCCGTCGGACGACTTTTGGCCGTCCGACGGCCGTCGGACGACTTTTGGTTGTCCGACGGCCGTCGGACGACTTTTGGTTGTCCGACGGCCGGCGGACAACTTCTGGCCGTCCGACGGCCGTCGGACGACACTTGAAGTCGAAACTGAAACTCAAACTCCAAGTTGATTCTAAATCTCAAACTCGAAGTCGAAACTGAAACTCAAACTTCAAGTTGATCCTGAAACTCGAAGTCGAGACTGAAACTCGAACTCAAAGTCCAAGTTGATTCTGAAACTCGAAGTCGAAACTGAAACTCAAACTCTAACTTAATTCTCAAACTCAAACTCAATGTTGAAACTCAAACTCAATGATGAGACTCAAACTCAATGTTGAAACTCAAACTCAAACTGACATTTGCATTCTTTTCGGCCAAGGTAGTTAATATCTATACCATGATAAGATTTATATGAAAATGAAATAAAATGTTATACAGACTACAGAAACAGCACAAGGACTAAGGACAGGATCTCCTTGCTAAACGACCCTGGTGGACAGACGTAACGAGCTACCCTACAGGCGCAAGTGGAGGGGGTGAGGATTTTGCTGTGCCAGACAGTAAGTGAAACTACTGAGTTTCGCTTTTGCCTTTTGAGTAATCGCAGTATCTAGTGTCACATTCACGTAAGATTAAGATAAGTAACGAAGTTTACCAACATCTCTTCCACGACTATGAGTATGAAGCATACGTCATGCAGCCTGGAAATAATGAGCGCCAGCACCGTGTAGCGATATTTTCCGTCCCACGTCCAGGCCTGTCGCGGTTCCTCGTCGCGAAGGCGCAGAAGACTTTGGCGTATGCCTTGGTGTTGTCTTTGGCTTGGAGCATTACGGCTACAATCAACCCGTGGTCGACTACTTTCCTGGAGACGCTCCGCACACGGGATTCCTTCTATCTCGGTACGAACACGAAGGGCAATCAGGGTCAGGTCTCGAGCGGTGCTTTGCTGGCCTCTACCTGTAGGGATCCTAACGCGCAAGTTGCGATTACTGAGCGTGATAAATTGGCGGACGGGGACTGTGGTGCTGTCTTTACTGAAGGTGGCGACGAAGAAAGAGAAAACTTGACTGATGCCGTTACAAATCTGAGGAAAAACATCAAGATGGATAGTGCTCTGCCTGCTCATCTTGATCTTGCACAGTCGATGGTGGAAGCGGTCAGCTGGAAGGTCGCCCTTTTTGGCTTTCTTCTACGCCTGTGCGGGCTCTTGACGACTCTGGGCTTGGTTGCATATTATTGCAGGTCGTGGAGGAAGAGCGTCCGGGGCTCTTCACCAAACAACGGCTATCAAGACGTTTTTCATCCTCGGAGTACAGAGACAGAGCTGCAGGAAAATGTGCAAGTGGAGCACATAGTTCGCGGAAAACAGTTGATCATGGCTGACGAATTTGAGACTGGCGCGAACGATTACTTTGCGCTCGATGTGTTCAAGCCGAAAACTCTCGCAAGGGGGCTCGGAAATCGACAGGACAAGAACATAGACGGGGCAAGGGCCAATCTTGTACTTTCACGGCCAGAAGAACCAGGCGGCGGCTCTCGTCGTACCACGACCAAGGGGCAACAAGTGGAAGAGGCATTACTAGAGCAAGAGGAGGACAAAACCCGCCCGGGCAAGGTGATTCTGTTCGTCGGTGGGGGGTGTTTCTTGAGCCGCCAAGGACTCCTAGGTCTTTTGCTGTACCGGCACAATTCGCAAATTGCGCGCAATCTCGCCGCAGGTCAAAACTGTCCCGTCGTTCAGATATTCGGCGGAGCCCCCCTGCGTAGCACCTGCATTTTTGATTTGGCATTCGTCATTCTTTGGTATCCAGTGAGCGCCTTTCTGTGGATCTGGTTCGGAGCAACTTCGGCTGGTTTTGTCACCACAAAACTTCTTCCAGCGCTAGCGGCGACCTTTTACATCCTTCTGAAGTCCGCCGGTGTGCGCGACCTCGTCAGCAGTGCCACATTTGCCATCGTCGTCTCCAATCTCTTCGCGTCTACCTGGCTACCGGCACCTTTCCTGTCGATTCTGTGGTTTCAACTCTGGAGCCCTCCGCGCATTCCTCCTAGTGATGCGACGCTCTGCATCACGACTGCCCTGCGATGGATTCACACCAACCGAGCGACGCTCCTCTCGCAACACGTGTCGAAAGGTAATATCCTTCCAAATCACAGTCCGCACGAGGAGAGGATACACATGCAGCCGCCGAGTGATGTTCGTCCCGAGAATCTTTCCAGAAGCCCCCGAGTTCACTTGTACGGATACTTACTCACGGAACGCCGGGCCACTTCAGCTCGTCTGAGATCCCAAAAAGATCCTATCAAGATCCTGGCCGCTGGGCTACTTCGGCGCCCCGAAATTACGAATCAGGCCCAATGTTTTGGCCTTCGCTTTGCCTCCTTTGTATAGCAAATTTGCGCGGTCTTTTCTGGGCGTGTCGCATAGCTGCCGAGCCTATCCCGAGGGCCGCCCTGTTTGGGAAGCGCGATTTTTTTTCCTGTTGCGGGGGTATGTCGGTATTTTACGGCCACGCAAAACTTGGCGCGGGCCAGCCGTCAGGGAACGCGCCGCCCGCCGCGGCCAGCGTGTCCTTTTGCCCCCCCTTCTGGTGTGCTTCTGTAGTTTTTTCGCGGTAGTCTTGGACATTGGAAAGGGGGTGGCGCGGAGGTGTTTCGACCGCAGGCATTCTACCTGCCCAGCATCCGGGAGCCCGCAGAGAGGCGATGGCCTTTGGCGCGATGTGGTGCCAAGTGTTTTGCTTCTTGGGGTCGCGGGGATCGGCAGGCCAATCCTGCAGAAAGCATGTCAAACAAGGGTGGGAGTTTTCTCCCCGCGGCACAATTTTTGTACTCAGGAGCATTCTCCAGTGGAATTCGGCCAGGCACGGGGCCATTTTCCAGAGTTCATGGCCGCCATCTCCATTTTCAAAAGTTCCGATCAAGATCCTGTCCAGAGGACACTTTTTTCGCCGCTTTACCTGGCCCCTCCCCCGCCTAGAATCTATGGATTTGGCGGCGCAAAAAAGTGGCCAAAAAAGTGTCCTCTGGACAGGATCTTGATCGGAACTTTATCGGATCTTGAACGGAACTTTTTAGGAACTTTTTTTTGGCCTCTGAAGCTTTCGCCATACCGCCGTGATTGGCGACTTTGAACATTGTTTGAACCTTGGTCGGATCCTTTGTTCGGGGTTCAAGAAGTGGCCTTTCTACCCTTGAAACGCGGGCTGTTTCTTTGATTCAACAAATTCAGCGGCTTCGTTTTTGAATCAAAAAAAAAACTCGCTTTGAGGCTAGTGCGCCGTCTTTTGCTGGACCATTTCCGACCTGGCCTTGTCCTCGGGCTCGGGTATATCTGGCCCATGGAAGCGAGATGGACCCTGCGGACGGGGGCAGTTCCGTCCATTGCCGGGCCCCAGATTGTTCCGCGTCGCGCCAGGGCTTTTACAACCGCGCGACCACTCGCTCGCCTTTGTTGGGCGTGGTTATTTGTCACTCCCAGCAAGCTAGCGCCTGTGGCAACGCCCGCGGGGCGTCTGGCCCTTTCTCACATCTACCATACCTTCGTGTAACGCGCGTTACACGAGCGGTCTATGCTTCCCTTTCGTCGCCAGGCTGTCCCTGGAAGCTACAGAGGGGCGGACGCTCCGAATCTTTCCGACCCCTCCCCCTGGGGTGTCGGGGGTGATCTTTTCAGGATCTTCGTGGGTTCTCAGGGCGTCGTCTGTGGCCCGTCGTGCCGCCAGTAAGATACGGTGCAGGTGGGACGCTGGTTGCAGGCTACGCACTGCGTGAGGCTGCTACCAATCTGCTTCTGCAGGACGTCGAGCGCATGTCGCCGGTCATACGTTTGCACCGACCACTACTGGACCTCGAGGTATGCAATTTCCCCTCGGATGAACAAGAGGACCACGACCAGGAAGATGTAGCTGAAATTGCTCACCAGTGCTGCAGCGCGCACACATTCCCGCGACTGTGCAGCGTTTTGCACTATTGCTTGGACCCAAGCAGTTCCCGCGTTGTGCCTGCTTTCGCAGCTCACTTGAATAAACGTCAGCGCCTGAAGCAGTTTCTGTTCGCAGCGAGCACGTACGCTTTTCCCATGTTGCGTCACAGATACAAAGAGGCGCTCCGCCAACTTCGTCGCCTCCTTTGGGAGTGGTACCTGACGGAAGTTCTCGGCCGGGATTTTTGTAAGGACAACCCGATGCGCATTGCTACCCTGCTTCTAGCGTCTTCCAGGCCTGGTGGCGGTGGCAGAATGTCCTCCTCCTCGACGGAGGACCGCCCGATCCAGCTGTTGGGAAACCTCGAAACACACAACCTCAAGGCCCAGTACCCTGACAAGCGCTACCGATGGTATTGGAAGAAATGGGAAGCTCGAGCGGCAGCAAAGGATGGGAAGGAAAGGACCAAGAACAAAACAGCGAACTGGAATTCTTACTTTGCTGATTGTGACAACGAAACGGAACTACGAACTGCTACTGCTCCTCTTCTTGGTGACGTGCCTGCTCCTGACAACTGTAGTGCGCCCTGCGATCAGTCATTTATTTGCTCTTTCGGCTGGTGCAGGCTCAGGCGGACGGGGCTCGTCCTGTTCGTACAATCACTACCTCAAGCGTAATTAAAACATGGTCCGCAACAGAATACCGGCGCAGCTGGGTTCTTTCTTGCTAGATTTACATTTACTGAATTTGCAGGAGCAGGCAGGAAACACTGAGGACTTTTTGGATCGATCACGCTGCGCTCCGACGACGCCAGAAGTGGGTTGCGACAGGGACGATATTCGTGGCTTGAAGTTTGTTATCCAGGAAGAGCGACCGTCCCGCGTCTGGTGGTTGCTTAGGCCGCTCGTTTGCGGGCAAGGTCGCGCGTTCAAGAATCGTCTGGAACACGTCAACACCACAGTTGCGCGCGACTGCCAAATTGTGTATTTGTGACGCGGCAGAGAAAGATCACAGGACGAGACGAGCTCCTATACCCAAAGAACAAGTAAGTCTACGAATAAAAACAAAGAAGTTGAAGTACTTGATGAGCAAAAGGGTTCTTCTCAAGCAGAAAAACGAAATTCGAAAAAAAAAATGATCGTAAATCGTAATCGTGATTTGAATTTGATCTCGTATCAACGATGAAAAGGATGACCTTGATCATGGTGCAAAATGAGCGCGACATGGTCCATTGTGGAGGATGTCGAATTGCGCATTTGCGATCCCCGTCGCCTCGCTTCCCAAATGCATCGATCTTTGGTTCAGATCTTCTAGCCATGCTTCGTGTGATGCTTGAAAAGCGCACAAACGTATGTATGAGATCAAAAGGCACAGTGGCATGTTGTGAAACGCGGATTTACATCATGGATAGACAAAGTGCAAGAAGTAGTTCGAATTCTTCTTCTTTATCGCTCTTCATGGTGCTCTTATAAGCCTATACTCACCAGGAGAAGTCATACGCGTTGTTGAAGTAAAAGATGGCGTCTTCAACAGGAGAAGCGACGCTCTCGGTTGAAGCGGAAAGACCTGAAGCATCAACATCATCCTCCGAAAGAATACAGGGTGAGCAACAAGTTGTAACACGACGACCAAGAAGGGCAACGCTTGCCTGCTCAAGCAGGTCCGCAACTATTCTCGAAGCGGTCAATCGACTGGGGTTGCTGCGCAGGAAGTGCAGACCTGGCATTCAGTCGCTCCGCATACTGATACTTGGTCCCGATGCCACGGGCGAAGGCACCTGTATTCCCGAGGTCGAAGCAATTTTCGTACCCGTGGGGCTCAATGTCCTGGCAGAATTAGTGAGGTGTACTACCGGGGGCCGCGGCAGCGGGAGCGGCACGACAAACCACGAACCTCGACGAACAAGTTCATGGGACCTCGTCCCTACCACTGAGCAGGACGGCACCGCGTTTCTTGAGTTGGAAATCGCTTTCGTTGGACCCAACGTACCCCTGGCCTTGGAGAAACGAAAGCGGCACGTAAAGCCTCTCGTCTTTCATCGCTACGACGAGACGGAGATTGACAACACTGATGTGGAACCCACGTCCAGAACATCGCGCAGTTCGCCGGCCAGGATTCCAGACGTCAAAGTCGCTATGTGCTTCACCTGGTGTCGGGCCTTGTACCACGAACTAGAAGATCCGCAGCGGGGCGGATTCGACGGCTTCGATGTGGCTTTTGCCTTCAACGCCGGCCTCTGGGGCTACAGTAGTTGGATGGAAACCGTGCGGGCACTTCCCCCTGGCCTGCCACTGGTGGTAACCAGTTACTCGCTGGACGAAGCCGAAAGCGACCGCGACGCACTTGATGAAGCCTTCCCTTGGCGCTGCTCTGATGCAGATGACACCAGCGCCGCTGCCTGGTGGAACAATTCTGGTAGTCGTGGCAGGTGGATTGAACGACCCTGGATGCACGAGCAGACCAGCAACCGGCAGCGAGGTTCTTCTACACGGGTGGCCGCGTATGGAGTCGCGCAAAGCACAAGCAGCAAAGCGGACGCAGAGATCAGCAAACTCACATGGCACTGGGACGTGGAAAGAAACGACAACCACGGATCAGACGAGCGCCCCGCCGACTACGGCGAGGGAGTAGTGGGTGTTCTCCGTGACAACGCTGCCTGGCAGTGCTTTTCCATTTCGCGGGCCTACGGAAAGTTAGATGGAGACGAAACTACCGCTGTGCAACCCGGTGCTCGTCCTCGTGCGTCAAATAAAACCGGAACAAGCACCACCTCTTCTCTGGGTGGCGCCTAGTTGTAAGAGGCTTGTTGTACCACGACCATTGCGGCGACACCAGCAAACAAAACGACTGTGCAAACCTATTCCCTTGAACCTGAGAAGCAAGAAGTTCACTGCTGACGAGTCCCACTCTCAACTGAAAATGGACCCCACGCCCGCACGACATGAGCGACCTGCTTTGCAACAATTCTCTTCCGCAATTATCGTAGCTTTTACGTATAGATACGCAGGATGAAAATCAAAAATGGTATTTTTGAAGATAGATGGCGGCTCATCGACTTGATGTTCCCAGAATGCAAATAATCTGGTAACCAAAGCACAGGATTATGTGTGCTATCTTCTGGCTGCAGGTCTGTATGGGCTTGGGCAGTGTTCCTGCAGCGCTATTCTGGTGCCACAGTTGGACTTAATGTTAATTATATGGTCGTCCGGCCGCCGCCTGCCCCAAGAAGAATTCCTTCGTTGTAGTGCTGGTTGAGCCGCCAGAGTCTTGATTTTTCTAAAACGCGAACACACACTTGTTGTTCGTATCTGTCGCTGCAATAGCAATATAGTGTAGAGTCTCGTCCAATCTATCTTTCTCAGGTCATTCGATGTGTCGTCCTACTTCGAGTTTCATTTTGCGCCATGGCCGTTGCTTCTTTCGGTCAAACTTCGGTTTGGATTTTTATTTCGAGTAACGTCAATGCTTAACTTTTGCTTTTGCGTTTCAACTTAGTTTATGAGCGACAGCATTGTTCTGAGTAACAAACAAATTTAAATCACATTTAACCAAAATCATGAGCCTTGGGTCATCTCTTGTTGAGCAATCCAACCTGACGCAGCAGGCCGCCCCCTGTGATTCCCCTTCCCAGAGCCAAAGCCATGTTTTGGTGTTGTGGAGAAATGGGGGTCTTTCGTGCGTGGAATTGAACCAAATGCAACGACTTCTGATGAAGCAAAATGCGAATAACAGACATCACACCATGACTTTTACCGAAGGTGCGGCATCAACGACCGCGACTGCTACAAGGAGTTCTGCTTCTCCAGCTCCAAATAATACAAACTCGAGTGGGCTGAAGTTGCGCCTTCCCGGTATGTTGAAGCACACTGCTGACGCGACGCTTCCATTGTGGACGACATTTGCGCTCGCAGATGACGATTGGGATTGGGCAGGCGTTCCTTCGTCTGCCCCCGATGAAGCCGAGAGGGCAGGAGATAGGAAGGTCGATGCTGCGCTCCCTTTGTGCTTTTTGCAGCGACGCTATCAGGACCAAATTGCAGAGCACCTCGAAGACCGCATGGACCACCACTTGTCCGAACCTCGCCCCCCCGAGATGAAAGCAGAACCCCTTTCATCATCTCAGCAACGACCACCAAAAAGACCGTCGCGGCTGTATCTCGTTCAAGATCTATCATCTCCATCACGGTACAAAAACACAACGTCAACAGCAGGCTCTGGCATCGAAGGCGAATCCTCGCAGCGCACAGACGCGGCTGCTGTCGGAGGACATCTTCAAGCAGAAGCGATATTCCCACCTGCTGAAATGTCGAACGTCGGCAAGAATCGCGATGGCGTCAGCAAGAGGGTCAAGATGAAGCCGCAATTGCAAGTGTCCGGCTTGCGAAAAACGCTCTTAGTGATTTCCAACCTGCAAAAGGCAGTGCGACGGGGCGAAGTCGCTGCTGCGGTTGCAAGCGCAGTCTTTTTGATTCACACTCACCAAGATGCCGAACTGCTTATCCTGTGCAAAAGTATCGTACTCGTATTGCAATCATGCATTGCAAATCTTTTTGTTAAGGTAATTCTGCATCATCATGCTGAGGAGATTTATAATGCATTTATACGAGTTCGAGATCGAGTACGATGCTTTTGCATTTCATACTGCTGCGGCGTCTCGTAATTATTTGCGTCGAGGATGTAGCTCCATCCGCAGACTTGCCTCAACTAGTGTGGCTCATGGTTGCCGTTTCCTCACTAAGGTATCGACTCACAGACCAGGATGTTTTCTTCGTGTTGCACTTTGTAGCATGGATAACGGCGTGGCCGCGTTGCGGCTCCACATCTTCAGCCGGACTGATTGGTGACGCTCGGCAACGTCAACAAGGGCTCTCACGACCGGAGGAGGTGCTCACAGGAGTAGAAGTGAACTCAGCTTGGAAAAAGCGCACTTTCGATGTTGACCACGCGCGACACACTACAGGCCTTAGTTCAACGCCTATAACTGCGGAACACATGGAAATGGCCCCAACTACCAGCTCCATCTCCAGCACTAGGCAACACGCAGCATTGTACGTCGCAGCTTCTGTGAACGAGCCAGCCGGAGAAAGAGTAGTAGAAGATGAAATAGATCTCTTGGAGACATCTTCACCGGCGCTGACGCCAGCGGAAAGTTTGTATCTGCAGCGCGTTATCGCAAGCGGCGACATGCAATCGCTGCGAAGAATGTGGTCACCGTTGCAGGTGGCACTCTTTGTTCGCGCTTGCTATGGAGGCATGAGCTGCGACATCTCGATGTTGCTTGCGACCATCAAACGCCTATCCTGTAGAGCGACGGAAATGAAACCACAAGAGCGCCCAGCCGTTTCAGAAACTTCACAACAAGGCCTCACACAAGTCGTTCCCAAGTGTGGAGGTAACACCTCCACCGCATTGCTTTCGCACTTCTGCGAAATATTAGCGTCCAAGCTGTGCAGCGTAACTGAGCAGAGCGATACACGCACACCGCAGATGCATAATTTTGAGAATGAAAAGCGATCATCTGGAGGGGGCTCCAGCACCTGCGCAACTACCGTGACAGAACCCCGACCAGTCGTAACCCCACAGCTGCCAGCGCAGATACAAATGCACGACCGTCCTCTCCTGGACCTTCCTCCGGAGTCCTGCTTGCCCGAAGCGGTAGACTTTCACTGCAGCAACATTTTACAAGAGGTAATGCGCCGGCATGGCTTTACCGACGATGTGGGCAAAACGGCAATTTGGCAATCCAGGTCTTCGCTAAATTTTCGCGGCGCGCTTCAAACTTTAACTCCAGGGGTCGGGCAAAACGTGCGCTTGGGCACCAGCACCGGGGAGCAGGTGAACGCTTCCAAGGCGGAAGAGCGAATGCGCGCGTTCATTGTTGCGTTTCTCGAGTTGGTGCAGTTGCCCCCGAGAGCGGCTCCTGAGATGAAAAGTAGGTCCATCGCTGGAAATCCAAATCATCATCAACCCGAACAAAGAGAAGCGCCATTCACTAGTAAGGTTGATCGGGCCTTGGACGCGTACGCGAACGCAGTATGGAGCAAGCGAGAACACACTGTTGCTGTCAAGCTCGATGATGTTCCCGAGGTGTGTGGTGAAAAAGAGAAGAACACCGCTGCAATAGCGACAAACCACAGCGCACTATCCTCGTCACACGCGGCAAGGAATAGAGGCAAGAACGGTAGAAGTGGCCCTGCGCCTGCTGGTAAAATGAGTCAACCGAGTGTCCTGTCCTTCTTCACTAAGAGGCCCGTAGCAAGGAAGGCAGAGGACGCAGTTGCCGATACTAGTTGTAGCGCGAAGCGGGCAAAGATGTGCGGAACTACGAACCAGGCCGCGCGCCAGGTCGACGCGAGTAGCGTCGAGTTGAAGAACTGTGATGCACTCATACTTGACTCGACCAGCAGCAGTAGCGGCCGCCAAAAGCAACAACACATCGCCACTCTGGCCGTTCCTCCTGTGGTCCCTGGTGGTGGTGGAGCAATCATTAGGAAAACCAAAAAAAGTGAAACTGTACCCGATAACACGAAAGAAGTGATTCTTCTTTCTGACAGCGATTGACTCGGGATCACCGTGGAGGCGGTGTACTAGCACTATGCTTTGTTGGAGTGCCTATGTATTGTATTCTTGTTCACGCTACTTCTAATCTAACTTCTTGACCCCGGCTTGCGCGGGCCTACCATAGTACGGTCGGTTTGATGGCCAGTAAGCTGCCCATTCAAGTAGGACAAGGACCCGGACCGACTTGATTAATATTGTATTGGTTTTTTTTTTCCTATTGTTCCATTGGTGCATTCCCATTCGTACTGCAAGTCATGTCATGGCCATGCATCCCCGAGTTGATAAAGTATGAAGAGTGTGGTGGTCATCGAAGGAAAGTCAGCTCTCGGGGTAGCTGAAATCTCCTGGTGAAGAAAGCAACTCTAGACCACGCCCACGCAAGTGATCGACGGAAGTTCTTCACTCTTCTTTTTTGTACGACCATGCTTCAAGTAAGCATCAAGGCCAGTAGCTCGTGCTCGAGAGGAGAACTCGTGAAGAGCAACGTGACCGCGAACACGCGGCCTCGTTTCTTTCATTTCAAAGTGACTTTTGCTACAAGCACACGCTTTTTGGCTCAAGTCTGTCCAGTTCCATCTATCTATCTATCTCTCACTGGGGGTCTTTTGAGTTTCTCTCCAAAAAAACTGTTGTACCGCCGCACCAACGAGTGCGAGCATACCAAACGGTAATTCTCGCGCACGCGCACGCGAGAAAGGAGCCACACACCGCAAGCGCCGCCAGGGAGGTGGCTTGCCGCGATAGAGCACGGGCTTGCTGCCCCCGGGATCTATAGTCGACCTCCACATGGCCGAACGCAACACACCTGCCAGAAGACGCTTCCTGGACCTGCATGCGACACCTGATGTGCAGCAAGTGGAACCCAATTGATACCAGGACACGCAACCCGTACAGCGAGAACATACGCGAGACGGCATACCAATCGAGAGACGAAGGGAGCGCGCGGCGAAACGGAAAAAGGATACTAATTCATATGATCTTGCCATGCGCAGTACCAGTAGTGTTTACTTATATTTATTTTGATTAGTATACTTTGATTTATCTTGATTAGTTTGCATTGATCGATGTGAAACACAGATATGCAAAATAGTAGTTGAAGGATGAGCTCGATCTTCCATTCAGGCGGCAGCACTGCGGTGCTGCTTTGCGGGAAAAAACTTCATCTCAGGTTATGCGCGCTAGTGGAGCTGGCCGGCGTGATCTAGGCGGAAGGTGCCCCGGGGGCATGCAGACGACCCCTAGGCAGCGACGCGGTGTGCTGCGTTTTCCAAGAAGAAAACGCGCTTGAGGTTGAGGAAGCTGTGAGCAGCAAGGGTTCGTGGCGGAAAACAAAAAAAAAGTGACATTTTGTGCGAGAAAGTGAAAGGAAACACGTAAAAGAATATGAGACAGAGGCGTGAACGTGAAGGGGTTTGGCGATAGCTCTAGTAAAAAAAAGGAAAACAATCGTACTAGTGTAGCGCCCGGCGGTGAAGAACTTGTTTTTTAGCTCCCCTGGTGCTCTAGGGACTTAACCGTACATAGCACGCCGACCGGTAGTACTACTACAAAAAGGGATGAATAACTTATGCCCGAAGAGGCTTAGCATAGTCCATCCCTCGCACTGCTGTTGCGTCAGCAGATGCGGCGACAGGCGTGGCGTTCGCGGGGACCTCATGGCGAGGCTAGTTAGTTTTGCATGGCGGTCTGCGTGACTGCATCGCCGTGGCCGCCACCATAGGCCTGCTCGTGTAGTACATTCCGCGTAGCGCCCACCTTCGACGACCTACAAATATTCGTAGCGCGGAAGCCCACTGTGCGGATCAGTGGCACTAGTAGCGCCTTAGACACCTCGGCCAAAAAAAACAAGAAGGTGGTAAAAATTCTTTTTTATACATAGCGTTACAGTGCTGCAGTTCAAGTAGATCAAAAAGTTTTCGTACGAAAAACAAAAAACAACTAGATCGTAAATTCCCATCGGCGAGTCCAGTGCGCAGCGGGCTGTCCCCACCAGTACACGAGTATATTCCCACTAGGGAAAAGAAGCGTCCGTGTGGGCCGGGCAATTTGCACGTACATGGGAAGTTTGATGGAGGGGTTCAGGGTACATAAAAAAAAAACGAAAAGAAAAAGATCAAAATGATCCAGGCCGAGGTGTAGATGCATGCAAATGGGAACTTGTATTAGACGAATAGTAAAAAGTAAGTGCTTGATAACTTAAACAGGGTTTAGGGTAATCAGCCGGTGCTCTGGTTGCGGCGCGTGAAGCTTTAGCATCGACCGGTATAAGACTTTCGGTGTGCTTGTCGGGTTTTGTTCAGTGGCCGAAATTCCCAGTCCCACCCAATAGGCATGCTATACGGCCCGGGGAATTTGTATCGCGGGCGGGGTACAAGCATCACTGTTAGCCGCCTCTACTAGAATAGTACGCGTGGTCGAGCTCTAGTTCATGAAAAAGTCGGCTGCACTCTTAAAGTTCCGACACGCCAAACCCCATGCTATGCTATGCTTTATTCCAATCCAATCCAATTAGTCGATAGTACTTCTTCACCGGACGAGCACAAGGAAGTGAAGCAGTAAGAACGTATAAATATAGTAGTTTTAGCCTCAAGCTAGTTGTAGTTCTGTCATCGAACGCCTCAAGAAACACGCACTTCCATGCCTAAGTAGTATGCGCTTTACCTCCTTGTCTTGCTGGGTAGATCGCCAACTAAAAAAGCAGGAGGAGCAAATTCAGTGATGGTTATGTCGTCCTTCATGCGCCGAAGTTTTTTTTTTCAGTGAGCAGAGTTGGGCTTGCGGTGATATTAATTTCCGCAAGAAGATGGCTACGGCAAGCGGGAGGTTGCGGCTTGCGTTCCGCAGTGTAGGGGTAACGCGATCGCCTCTAACGGACTCTCCCGTCACCTTGTCCCCGTCTTCACGCAAGCACGCCCGGGCATCAGGTTCCGTACTAACCGGATGGCAACGGCCAGCCTCGTCGTCGTCGTCTTCTTCAAAGTGGGAGCAGGGAGCAGGACCAGGAGGTTCTTCGAGCGACATATTTACCAACGGCAGCACGCACAAAGGGACGCGTGACTATGAGACACAGCGAGGCGCTGGCGACCAGCAGTCGCAGTTCTTTTACTCCCAGCAGCAAACGAGTGCGCAACAGGGGTCTTGTTTTGCGGAAGCCGGTGCAAATCCGTCCTCAAGTGCAGCTAGCAGCTCTTCTACTTGCATGGTCGGGCGAAACGGACGCGGCGGCACAGGCGGTGATGCAGCAGGTCGCTCCTGTTCCTCGTCATCTTCATCGGCGTCTGGTAGTAGCAGCACCCCTAGCGTGTTTCTGTCGCGAGCGGGGAACGGGCTGATGCACTACAACCTGCGGTACTCGCCATTTCCGAGTCATCGGCGGCGACAGCGCTTGGCTTTCTGCGAGTCCTCCCAGCGCGCGCTGCAGCACCGCCAGAAATCCAGCCTGGACCGCGCCCGGCCACGCCGCGAGCGCAACTGGAACGCCGCCTTCGGGCGGCCACCGCCGCGAATCCAGGCCACCGGGGCCTTCAACTCCGTGCGCCTCGGGCTGGCACAGCTGGAGGGAAACACCTTCTGTGAAGACCGGTACGCGTTCGACGAGCTGTACGTGGGTGGATCGTCCGTCTTCCTCGTCTCCGTGTACGACGGGCACGGCGGCTGGCAGGTCGCGCACTTCCTGGAGCGCAACTTGCTAAACAACGTGCGGGAAAAGCTTTTCGAGAGCATGTCGGCGTCCAACGGATTCGGCGCCACCAAAGATCAGGCGGAACCCTCGATGAAGAGGATGGCGCCGACGCGCGGCCCAGGTCCTCCAGGTGCAGCTCCTGCTGCTGCCGTGCCCACGGTTGTAGGCGACAAGGGCATCAAGTTCACCGGGACCGTGGTTCCCACGGCCGTGGACGCCAGCGCAATCGAGGGTGCGCTCCGCTCGGCCTATTACGAGACCGACGAGCTGCTGAAGCGGCGTATTCAGGAATCGGTCTCCCTGGGCTTCGACCGCTTCGTGCGGCTCGGCTCCTGCGCGATCACGGTGGCGGTCAGCGACTCGCACTACGTTATTGCCAACGCCGGAGACTGCCGGGCGATTCTGTGTCGGTCAAGAACGTCTGCGAAGGACCCTACAGCAAAGCCGGAGATTGTCACCTTGTCAACCATCCACAACGCGAACGAGCTGGCCGAGCGGGAGCGCTTTCGGTACGGCATTCTCAAACGTTACATTCTCAACTGTTACAATAATGGATTTGTGACGCAAGAACAGACACAGTGAAAGCAAAGGGGCAACAAGCGTGGTGCACCTTTCGCATTACAAACTCGGCACAGAATCAGATGCTCTGTAATAGCCCTTCAAGAAGTTATCATGCGACGCAGCTTGATCGTGGTGCGGCTCCTGATCCTGATGGCAATTTTGCACGACACTGAGTGGAGGGTAACGTTTGAGAACCCCATATCCGGTCGGAGCGCCCGGAAGAAACCGACCTCGTGCAGTGCATGCACGCCTACCAGGACCCGAAGACCGGCCGGCTGTTCCAGAACCCGGGCCCGGGCCTGGAGGAGGTAGAAACCGCCTGCTACATCAAGGGTGTCCTGCAGCCGACTAGAGCCTTCGGAGACTTTGCGCTAAAGTGCTCGGATCTGAATGTCACCTTGGGCTCGTTCCCTGCCACTTCACTAGGTGCGCCGACGGGCAACAAATCGAGCACGTACTCCCGGGTAGAAATTTTTCTGGATGGCTTATTTACTTATTTTCTCAACAGAAGATTTTGATTTTCATCTGTTTGCTCTCTTTTTTTATTGTATATGAATCAATGCTAATGCTTCCCGATGATCGACTGAGTCTCTTTCTGCGTTTTCTTCTCTCAGTTTCCTGCACGCAAGGTCCGTCATTTATATTTATAGATATATGATGGATCCTAGATATTGATATATGTGTTTCCAACTCATTGCTAACAGCCGGTTGTGCAGGACGCAGACTTTTCGAAAGGCCCCTATATTACCGCCGAGCCAGAGATTAAGTTGCTCCCGCGCCAACCGGAGGACGAGTTTGTGATCGTGGCAAGCGATGGTCTGTATATCAAATGCAAATATGTCTCAGTCTGGAAGGATGCCGCTTGTGATGCTGCATTCGGATTCCAAAAAAATCTGTATTGCATGAGCAGCAAATGCAAAAGGAATCAATCACAATCTAATTTTTGCTACGCGGGGACGAGGGCATTTGTCATGCGGAATAGGCATCAAGAAGCCCTCGAAAAATCTGTGATGCTAGGGCATGCATCCCAGACATAATGCATGGCCCATGCTGCAAAACGTGCATGACGAGTCTCAGAATCTTCCAGACCCGGACAACATATTTGCAATTGATACTGCACGACCTTCTACAAGACGAGGAGATCATCAGTATAGCGCGCGCCGCCGGAAGCCCCGAGCTGGCTGCTGGCGCCCTAACTGAAGCGGTGAAATCTCGAGCTATCGAGGAGGCGGGACTGTCTCCCAAGGACTATGAGCTGCTTACGCCCTCACAGCGCCGTGATATTCACGACGATGTCACGGTGGGGGTGTTCTACCTGCAATTTCCAGAGCACTGGCGCAACCAAATCACGCAAGTTTCGCAGCAGCTCCAGAAAGTCTGTGACGACGTGCTGCGGCAGGTCGGTAACACTCTCAACGGCGCCCTTGGTAATATCACTTTTTTCAAGTACTAGGTTTCATCTGGGTAGATCCAGATCTAAGTACATCTATCTATTTTTCGCAGTGCTACGGGTCCAAAATTCTGGGATTGAGATTCTGTCCCGAAGAGTCGCGTGCTCATTTGCACTATCGAAAACTACAACTGCTTACGTAGTACGAGAAAGCCGCAAAAAGATGAATGACGATGTTGCGTCGAATTATAAGAAGTACTTGCACATAGGCTTAGGCACATAAGTATATCAAGAAAATCGGAAAGAGCGCAAAACTTGTAGGTGTGGACGGATCCGGTTTTTCCGTCTGCATCGCTGACCCGTCGCTGGAGGATTGTCCCTTGATTGCCGTCTCTATCCTGTGCAAAAGTATCCCACTCGTACTAATCGCAGTCATGCAAGACAAATTTCTTTGCCAAGCTAAATCAGCATCAGAAATTCCATTTGTCATGCTTTGGTAATTTGTATTGCAATACTACGAGTACGGTACTTTTGCAGTTCATAGTCTCCCAGGGTTTCGAGGAGTTAACTGGCTACCCGGCAGAGGATTGCATCGGCCGCAACTGCCGGTTTCTGAACTACGGCGTCCCCAGCGAGAGGTTCGACGAGGAGACCCGGCAGCGTCTCCGAGCCTTCACCGATGTGGCGGTGTCCGGGGATCCGCTCGCGATCGCGGGCGCCAACATCGATCCGCCCACCTGGGCCCGGGACATCACCGGGGGCGGGGCCTACTTTCTGCGGTGGAACCGCAAGAAAACCGGGGAGCTGTTCCAGAACTTGTTTGTGCTTCGACAGATCTGGGTGGACGACAAAACCTACCTGATCGCGTTGCAAACCAAGCTCAGCGGCGGCACGCCGGGGGATATCGCAAGGAAAAATCCCCCCTCCCCATTTTGAAGAGGTAGGTTTTCGAAAATTTGTGTTGCTGATTTGAGGTCACAAATCTCGTTTGTGTTGCAAGAAGACAAGGGCAGCAGCTTCCGTCCCATTATGGAGGCGGTTTGTCATGCTGTTGAGCCAACATCACGGACGCTTCTCATGCTAAGCGCCTAAGTAAGTCAAAGCATCTCTGCTCAGGCTTGATATGGGTCTGCAGTCCTCTCTAGCAAGACAGATGTGATTTGTGTACTCAAATACAGCAACACAAATTCCGCTTTCGATATGGGGAGGGGGGATTTTTCCTCACAATAGGGGAGTTGCTCTCTGCCCAGCAGCTCGCCGACCTCAATCGCTGTTGCGACGTGGTCTCCCGTATCACATGCAAAAATGTCTAGGTCTGGAACCTTGTGATGCGAGTCTGTGAATAATGTTGAGCGCACTGCAATAGAAGGTGACCAAGCGTGACAAGTTTTTGAGCTGCGGTGTGTTGCGTATTCCGCATGGCAGGCAGCTCCATTTTTGCACGACAGGCAATAGGATCTACTTTTCGCGCCTGAGCAGAACAGAGTTAACAGGCATGTCAGACAAGCATGTTGACACCTCTTGCACTCTTCCAGACCAAGGCATATTTGCATTTGATATCCCGCAACATCTCGAAAAAAATCACGGGACTTGAGCAGGCACTGCGGCCGCAAAACGTCGGGGAACCGCAGGCTTTGCGTGACATCATGCGACCTTTCCGGAAGAAACAGTCCTCGGGAACGGGGAAAGCGGCCAAGCAGTGAGAATTTGTATTTTAATTTTACAGTATTTCAAATACAGTGCAGTCAAGTACTGACGATCCTGTGTATATGTGATGTTTAACCAAGTGGTAGTTATTTTAAGTTCTTTGTGCAGGGAGCAGTGGTGGATTATGCAACCGAGCAAGTTGTATGTACCAAAACAACAAGGCCCGCTATCCGTATCCAGATCCACCTCCAATGGAGCTGCATTCAAGAGAGACGGATGTTTTCTCAGGCTCAGTATAGTTGTAGTAAATATCCGAAAGAGTCGTTCGCTGTACCGCGTTGGCTCTCTCAGCCTCTAGGTACTACCAACAGTGACAAAATTGTTACTCCTACTCAGTTCTTTACTATCTACGAGTGAACAAGAACAGTAGCAGATGCACTAACTTAAGTACATTCTTTTATTAGCCAAGCATCACAGGCAAAGCACGACGGACAACAGTTGCATGCTAGTATCTACAGCTTTGTAGTCCGCCCGTGTCTATTTGAGATGAAATCAGAATACGCCAATTCATTGACGTCACAAACGACGAGTGTATCGTCGATATTGTGCAAAGTTCGATGCAACCATTTGATGCGCGAAGAAGGAAGTCGTAGTCGATTTAGCATGAAGGTATCAATAACGGAATTGGAAGAGAGCAGGAGTATATTCTCGTCTCCGCTTTCATGGTCTTTTGGATGAGGTCTCTGCTCGTCACCATGTAACCAGCCTCCAAGCGTCTCCATGCATTTCGCGTGGCTCGCTGTGTCCATGTCCAGAAATAAAGAACAACACTAAGTCGATCGGATCTCTGCGTCGCGCGCCGTGGTGGAGCTCCTTGACCTTGCAGAAACGAACAGACTCGATCCTTTGCTTTGGCTGATCTGGTGGGTATGAGAAGCCCTTCCTTCTATTTGTTTCATTTTTTGTTCTTCTTCTTTTCTTATCCTTCCCCTTCGATTCATTTTCATTCGACACGATGAATTGACGACGCGCCATACCGCATGTGATGGGTAGATATTCATATTCATACAAAACCAGGTTATTTCTATTTCAGTCGGAGCATGCCGATGCCCAATCTTAAATAATCTTGATATACAATTTTTCGTATTCGATAATCGTACCAAGCTTATCACAGTCCCTCCGTGGTTTCTTCGTATTTATTTTGTCATTATTGACGGTACAAGAAGGTGTCCAAGCCCGAGAAGAAAAAGTGTAAAGCAAAATGATGAGAGTGAGATCGGCTAGAAGGGTTGGAGGTGCCTTTTGCAGCAGGTGTGCACCACCACGACGAGGCGGATTCATGCAAAAACTGTTCAACCTCACCGCTTTGATCCTCGGCGTACATCATTCGACGGCGGTGTGTCTGGGGTCGTCTTCCAGTGTGCAGGCCAACACGGATCTTCAGGCACGTGCACAAGAACGACAACCACGGTCGCCTGTGGATGTCGCGGTTTATCATCAGCCTGGAAAGATGGGAACCGGCGACCTAGTCCGTGTAGTACAAGGACGCTTTCGAGGACCACCAGAAAATGGCGCAAGGAATGCTGCAGACTGGGAGGCCAGCATCCCCTCAGGTCGTGTGTCGATTACAGGGAAACTGGACGATGCCACTTATCTCCTCCACCTCGGCAGCCCACAAGACCGAGAGCGAGACACAGACACGTCAGATTACGGCACAGCGGTATTTGCGGCTGCCCATTACGTGTGGTTGCTCGAGCGACAGGACGCGCATGCGAGCTTGCGTTGCTGCAATGCTTCAGCAGTCTTGAGCCCCAGTAGAGGCCAGCTACAAGGAGATCATTTTGATGTTGTTAAGCAACCTCAGCAGCAGCTACGCTTCGTTATCGAGACGAAGGATGTTGAGGCTAGCTTTGCAGCGTCTAGAAATAAAAGCAATTATACTACGAGTGCTGTGCCGCCAGCTGACGTTGGAAGAACTTCCGGGGGACGAGCGGCGGGATCACGTGGCTTTTTGCAAACGCCTCAAGGTGATCGTCCCGCAGTCGCAGAGGCGGCGCTGCTCGCAAGCGGCGATCGCGGCTTCTTGAAGAACAAAAATTCGTGGCCGACCGTTGTAGAGGTTTGGCAGGCATCTGTGGACGATCGCACCGGGTCGCTTTCCACCTTGGCACGCAAAAATAACGGCCACGACGATGTTTTCATCAGAGCTACTGGCAGAGTGAACACTTCACAAAATGGAGAAGAACGTGTAGGAAAAAAGCAGCCGGACGATGGACAACTCTTCCGGAGAAAAGAGGAGGAAGATCCGGATGAACCCGAAAAAATACTAGTGAACAGCGGCCAGCCGGCGCGACTTTCCGAACGGATCTTGGTGAGGGAGGTCCCGGCCAATGCTCTTCGTCAGGGCCATGACTTCACTGCTGCCCCCGGGTTCAGCCCGCTCACACTCATTGTCCCGTCCGACAAGAGGTTTCTCGCTAGTACAAGGGACACACTGGAAGCAATGTACAGTGAGGTGGAAGTAGAAAATGGTGCAGCCCGCATGAAGGTGGATCAGCTCCCCGATTGGTGGCGTAGAATCTTCCCCAGCGGTGTTGAAACCACAACTGGCTCCACTTCGGAGCTGCATCGTGAAGATATTGACTTCTCGATTCACACGTTGCCACCCGGGACGCTGCGACGTCGCAGCTTTTGGAAAACCAACGAAAGCCAACCTGCTTATTTCCCGCGGTATCCAAAGGCTACTGCGACACCGCTTGTAACGACCCTCCCGTCGACAGCTGCCCGCGTGTCCGGTTCTGGACCGGTCAGTTTTCCATCGCCGCCCAGAGGTCCCGGAGTAACATCTTCTTCCCCTCTTTCGCCGAGCATCAAGCGTATCTTTGATAAGCAGGTCAAAAAAAATCGCGGAGCAGATCACGCGAGAAACGCATCTTCCGCTCGGATCTCCGCAACCTCCTCAGGGGCCGTGCCCAGGAGAAGTGCGAGGGGCTCGTCTCTCTCCCTCGGGCCGTTTTCCGGCTCCGGTCCCATCGATCTGTCGCGTGTAGGATCGGCCGGTACTAGAAGTGATGCTTTTACAAATATTCGTGCAGCATCTCCGAAGCATTCTGAGAAGAAGTTGTCAGCGCCGAAGATTCCTGTGTCATTTCGGACCCGAAGAACCTCACACAAGTCATCTGCTTCAGAATTATCTGTTTGCGAAGCAGTTGCAACGCCTCCAAAGTTGTTCAACGAGGACCACAGAGGAGCAGCAGAAGGTGCTCCCGCGTTGTCTTCCGCAGCTTCTGGTGCGGCGCGCGAGTCCACGGAATGCAGTTTCGAGGAACATCAAACCTCAAACGTCCCTGCCGGCTCGGGTCCAGGTGCGCTAGCGTCTGCAGTCGCAGTAGAGGTCGACCCGAGCAAGAAAAGGGATCATCCGCAAGAGCAGCCTCCGCAGTTGGACTCGAAAGTCCTAGCCAAGAGAAAACAACTACAGCTGATGCGTGCCAAGGAACTGAAAGATGGTCTGGACTTTAAATTTTTGATCGAGCTTCTGGGACTCCAGTATGCCGATCTTCTTTACGCGGCGTTGCTTCCGAATATGAAACCGGGGCTCCTGCTGCTTATCGAAGAAGCCAACGCAGACAAAGCGCACAAGTTCTTGCAGGAGCTCGACTTTGAACTGCTTCGTCGAGCCGTGTTCTTCCTTTCTGCCGATGATAAGGATAATATCAAGCCCTCGAGCAGCTCCTTGTTTCCGGAATTCCAGTTCGACGTCCACGTTGTCGCGCTCCGAAACCCCGGCCTGCGCGACCTGTTCCTGGTGTTGTCCCAACCGGATATTCATGAAGTGGACATGCCCGCACAGATGGGAATCATCAGTCACGGGCAGTGCCACGAGCCACAAAGAAAAAACGCGGCCGCAGGTGCTGCAGCTGATCCGCACGAGCAGAATAGAAAAGTTCTCCCGGCGTCAGAAGATGAGGGCTCTTTCCTTCTCGAACACGACTTTCTTTTCCGTAGTGTCACTCTGTTGCCTGATGACTACAACCGACACAGCAATGGAAGGTTGGAGGTAGAAGAAGGCGACAAGATTGTGGAACGTCCGGGGAGCGACGACGTGCCTGCCCTTCTGTCGAGGTTTCTCTGGTGTGAGCAGGTCTACTCTGGTTTGCACGTTGGAGCAAGCCGCGACTCTGAGATTTTCCTGCAAAAGCATTTCGGCGTCGGCAATAAAGCGGTCGGTGACTCCTCGGACCCGATTCTTTACCTTGGCGGAAGGACGCAGGCCGTTGTCCGAGTGGATAATCCTGGCTTGCCGCAGGCTGCTTCTAGCTCCAATGGAAATGGTTCAGAAGCGACTCTTGTTTTGCGGAGCAGTCTGTAGCTAATTATATGCAAACCATGGAGTTATTTACACCGACGCCGACCGGGTCCTCGTGTCGTGTCTGTCGTGGTGTAATACTACGCTCCTGTTCCATCGCCGCGCCAGAGACATCAGGCGACGAATGACTACAAGCAGTACAAACAAGAACTGCTTGATCAGCGGAATGCCGCCCTATATCAGGAGGTAATAAAAAGATACTGATACTTATGATGTCTGGTATAATCAGTTTTGAAAAGCTCCTCCAAAGAATAAAGTCCAAGTCGAAGTGCGATAACTTTCGTTGTCACACGATCTTCCCAATCGGATTGGGAAGGTCGTGTTGGCCATGAAACTAATAGGAACTCAACGTCGTTATACCGGTACTGCAGTTTTGCTACATTGAATACATTCTGGGTGCTGGTGGTTACTGCTCGGCACAGACGCTCATTTTCACAGAAGAATTCTGTCCCCGACCACTCTCCTCTGGTATCGCCAAAGCCAAACGTGTGATATGGTCGAATACAATTAGTAATTAGGATATGGCTTTGTTTGGAACTATCTAAACTGACAACGGAACTTTTCCGCGACTCCTGGATCCTTTCCCGCCTGCTCTCGTGTTTTTTTTTAAAAAAGAGGCGAGACTGAGAACGGAACCCGAAGCCGTAAATAGATGCGGAAATGGAAACACAGAATACCCTGAGAACCTCCGGCCAGCACCTAGACAGGTTGTTTTTGTGCGCAATACAGACGCGCGACCTGCGTACGCCCGGCAGGTGAGGCATAGCATGCGAAAGGATGCGAGACGATTGACACAGAGCCAAGGCGTCTGCTTTTGTTCCGTTGTAGTTCAGGTTTTGCTTTTGTCTTTGGCTCCTTACGACGGAGATCGCTATCTGGGTCTGGAAGATTGCAAAACTTGTCATGCTCATTTTCCAGGGCCCATGGTCATGAGGAATCAACGCAGGACCTAACACGCTAGCAAATTCTATGAGATCCCTACCATGCCTATCCTGCATGAGAAGCTCCCTCTTTGCTTGGACTTGGTCAAAAGTGAGCAACCTTTGGCAGTCATGCAATACAGATCTTTACATGATGGATCCACACTTAACGCGACAAGTTCCAATGATGCCGACCCAGACATCTTTGCACTGCGTAATCGCTGCGCTGAAGCCAGTATGCGTAGCAAATGTGTCTGGGTCTGGAAGGGAGCGAACTTGTGGCGCTCGCGTGTGGCGGGCACGCAAAAATCTGTGGTCCCGCATGACTTGCACAAGATGCCTTTTTCTGGCAATGTTGAGAGCGGATTGCTCACGCAGAAGAGGCCTCCCCGAGGGGCTGCAGAACTTGCGACGCTGAGCCCTGGGCAGCGGACTTTGATGCGGAGGCGGCGCCTCTGTCGGAGGCGGTGCTTGGAAAAATTGCATATACAGGCTCTGCACTCGTCTCCAGCCCCAGACATGTTTGCAGTGCATAGCCACCAGCGAAACGCAATGTCGCTGACCGGCAGAGCACACAGGCAGAGAGACAGACACACAAGAACGAGCGGTCGGCGGGCGGAGGCCGTGGAACTACGGGCGCAAATCCCGCAACTTTTGTCCCCCCTAGAAAGAGAAAGAAGGAGAAATAGAAATTTAAGAGGAAGAAAACAAAACTGAAGAAAACGAGAACAGAAAAACCAGCACGAAAGAACAAAAAAAGACAAACAAAGGAAGAAGACTTATAGGCGAATCGCCATGGTGGAGTGGCTGTCGGTTCCGTTCTCAGTTTAGATAGTTCCGAAAAAATCCGATCCCTAGTAATTACATGACTATCGCAGTTTTCATGCAGATGAAATACGTCGAGACTAGAAGAACCTAGATCGGTCATCATCATACTTAGGTATCCCATCTCGGTATGAAGACTCGGAGACCATAGCTTTAGCTAGCTCGGTCTTGCAAATTTCTCATATTTGTTTTCCAGCGAAACGCTTCGGTTTTCTCGTGCAACAAACAAATTCCAATTCGGTTACGGATTCGGTCTTACTTCTAGAGAGTTTATCGCACACACATGATGTGCTTCATCCAAGATCCGTGTCGGTCAACCTCCCTCTTCTTTATACTTTTGATGCAAATTCGGCATCGTCATCTACGTCTGGTCTTTCATTCTACTATCATCTTCGAAATCCCAGTCCCCTCATGATTAGTTTCTTCTTCCTTCTTTGATTGTAACATTTTGCACCATTTTCATTTGTTCCCGTGAGGACCACGACTACCGTCTTTCAGGATAAACAGTACACGTAGAAGTTCTAAAGTAGTACCTCCAACCCGGCGCTCTCGTCGTTGTCACATATTATTTGTATTCATCCCAAGAAACATGGCACCGTTTACAGTTCCCGACGTGGACGACCGGCGAGATATTCGTCGGCAGCCGCGTATGGAACTGTCAGGATCGAAATTGACAAAGTCGAAAAATTTGCGATGCATAAAATGCATGACGCGCAACACGTGTGTTGCAGAGCAGGCAAGTGAGGCCGATTGTAAGCCTGCTTGGGGTTATAGGTCGAGCTGCTAAGGCAGCATGAGAGAATCAGTCTTCTTTGCCTAAACAGCATTACAAACTGAATTTAGGCAAGAGCCATAATTTGTCATGCGCCACTTAGAAACTGGGTTCGAACTGGAATCCATTTTATGCATGACAAATTATTTCGATTTTGTCAATTTCGATTCTGACGCTTCCATACCGCGTCCGCAGACCGCGGCGGACGAGTTATCGCACTACGAGAGGGTTTTGCGAAAGAGCGACCTGCGCGGAAACTCCATGTGGATGCAGGGCCTGCAGAAAAAGTACCGAAAGAACAATAGATTAATTGCGTATAAATAGAATTTGAACCTCTTTTGCTTTTCGATGCCGTGCGCAAAGAAAAAGAATCAATGCATGGTAGTTGTTAGTTGTTGGTAGTACTAGTACTAATATTCGTGGTATCACAAGAGTAGGAAGGTGGGGGTAGAAGGAACGAATCACGGTTTTTATCAGTTTCATCCTGCTTCGGTTCTTTTTCCATGTAGAACACCAAACACCGTTGCATGCGTAAATTTGATGGGCTTCAAACAAAAAAATTGACAGTTTCAAGTTCACTCCAGAAGACCATGCCAAGCAGGAAGTTTTTCGCGATGCACGGAAGTGGCGAGAGAGTCACCCTGGGCTTCGTGAGGCGCTGGTGGATACAATGAGCAACCCGGGCGTCCGCGTCTCCGTACCGGTCGCGATGAACCGTGCGGCCCACGAGTTTCTCACCCGCCCGCAAACCGGACCAGCAAGACCCGACATCGAGAGATATAAAGAAGGTATCTATAAAGATATTAAACTGCGGAAGATAAACCGTAACCGACATGACGATAATGTTCCGAACGAATAAAACCATCACCACTAAAAGTAAAATTTCTTCAACCTTGTCGAAGCTTGAAAAAGTTGCAGAGAGACTCGTCGACCAGAATACTTCAGGAGCTTAAATGGCTAGAAAAGTTTTGCGTTCTTTAGCAGTGGACATGAACAAGAAGAACGTGAGCCATCAGCTTTATTATCGTTAATTATCGACCTGGTCGTGATCCAATTCCGAACAGGTGAGCGAGTGTTGCGGGAGGGGGAGCGACCGAAAATGATGAAGGAGTATCGCAACATGTTTCATTCGACCCTTTGGCACCCCGTGACCGTGATCGACACACGCAAGGGTCCCTTCAAAGCCGCCGAGATGGTATCACACAGAAAAAAGCTGGCAGCGCATATTTGTAATGCAAAAATAAACACAAAGAAAAATGAAAATCTGCATCGCATAACCGAGTAAGTCGGTCACTTGTAATTGTATGCTAGGCGTTGGGTTACCCGGTCGGCAGAGCCGATCCACAACGAACGAATAGCCGAAACAGCATGCTAGGGGGCCACCCATGGCAAATCTTTCTGTGTATTTATTTTTGCATTACAGCCAGCTTTTTTCTCTGGGATAGATGGCGAGGCGGGACTACGAAAAGGTTTGTCTGGAAATTCAACGGGAAACTCGGGCGGTAACCGCCCACAACCGGCGCGCCCGGTATCCTCTGTGGCCTCCGCGTGAACCGAAAAAGCACGTGGACACGCCCCACGGACTCAATCGAAAGCGCGACTACATCGGCGGCGCCTGTCCTTTGTGATTGTGAACATCATCACAATCGCAAGAAGAAGTAGCGCGCAATCTTCGCTTACTTGATTTATCGAAGCTTCTCACTCTCGGTTCGGGTTCTCCTTCTCCAGTTCTCTTCCACCACGCTCCGTCACTCACGCGTGGAACCATAAATATGCCAAGCAAAAGTGGTGTCCTGTTTCGACTATACGACCCGCAAAATTCAATGCCGAGGTTTTCCACACTGCTACTGCAATCCCAATCCATCGTCATCCAAATTGAGTCCAAGCATCTAAGAAGAACTTGATGTTGCACCCCCTCACCGATCATCTCGATCTCCAGGCTATTTCTATTTCGTTTTTTTTCTGTCTGTGTACATGCAATGTTTTAATTTTTCATGCTCTTTCTTTGCTATTGCTGTTAGTGTCAGCACCGTGCTTGTTGGCGTAAATGTATTTGTTGTTTTATTTCGAAGCGCACTCAGATGTACAAGTACAAATCAATATATCACGTAAGTAGAGGGTGAAGCCAGCTTTTTTCATTCTACAGTATTTGAACCCGCTTGAGTTTTACTTTGACCGAATTCATCAAAACGAACCCGACCGTAGCCTTAAACCCACGGAGATTTTTACATTCATTCTACTGGATAAAATGCATGTAAAAGTAGAATTGTACTTGAGTGGCTTCTACAGCTACACAAGATGAACTATATAGCACTTGTTGTGCGCATGCTCTGTGGTCGTCAATAAAGGAATGTCGACAACAACGACTACGCTTTGTTAAGTGAAGGGATCATGTTGTTAGGTCGTTCTATCTTATCCAGCGCAGTACGTCTCCTGCACCGAACAACTACCAAGAAGTCCCGCGTCCCAGCATAGCAAGCGTGTTCTACAGCCGACATGTCAACAGATGGGAATTATTGTCACTACAACGTGCGAGCGATTTATTAGATCCCGCACAAGCTTGAACCTTCGTCGTCGGTGTGTCATCTCTCTTGTTTGCCGCCTGGTGATGAGACCTAGTGCAAGGGTATTTGGTCTTGCGAGAGATCACGCCTGAAGACTGAATTGTACTCTTGCGTGAAAGTCGATACTTTTATTTCCTGTCAATTTCTTCTTCGTTCAGCGAGAGATATTATTTCGGTGGTCCTCTCTTCATCACGCGGATTAATATCACAAAGCTCTGTGTTGCGTCCTAGCTTGCAAACGACTTCAACTAAACATGATGTGCGGGTGGCATGAGTTGTAGTGCTTGTGAAATTTATATTCAGTGGGGTGAAGCAAGTACGAACAGGGTGAGGGGCGTAGGTCTGATCGCCGTTCTTTGGACCCCTTTGTTTGACGAACTGTATTGACTGCTCGCACTGAATCTCGGAGCAACTGCAACATGATGGTGCATACGCTTTTCATGAAAGAAAGCAGATAGTACCAACGAGCAAACGCAGACGAAATAACACCAATGAACACAGCCACACTCACCGCCTGATAAATTTAGATTATATCCATCATGCGACTATCTGCAAAAATGCCAGAGCCGTTAGGTGCGCGTGAAACCGTGATTAGAAACAAGAAAAAGGATAGATGTAGTTGTATGTGAAGACCTTTTCCGCCGGGGCTCTGCTTTAGCATTTCGAGTCAATCTTCGCGCTTATCTTTTGTTCGTCCGCGAAATGTCGGCACGGCGAATTTCCGCCCGCATTGCAGTACCGCTTGGGGCGGCAGTTAATGCGGAGGTGCTCTATGTGGACCAAATAGCAGTGAATAAAACGGAAGGTATAAAGAACTTCTGAATGTTCTCACTATGTCTATGTGTACAAAAAGGAAAACAGATACGAGAACAAGACTCCGTGACTTCATGACTGTAAGGACGGTTGTATAGGTCGTGGTCGTTATGTTGCTCGCATTAAAACAATCAAGAGATAATTCATGGCCATTGGCATTGAGAAAAAGGTCATTCAAGATGTCATGCGTCATCTACATACACATACTTTCTCTTTCTTCGGATACGGATTCTCATCACGGCGACACAGACACTGACAAAATTCAAATTGTTCCCACTAAAAAATTTGATACATACAGCCTGCGGTCGTCGTCTGGACCACTTGCAAGCCCCCGACTTGTTGTTTGTCTGCGACCTGGGCACAAAACCACGAGATGGCGACTTCGGAGTATCCCAAACTAAAGAGGACAACTGGGGTAATTACTTAAGTATGACTATGAGCATCTTTGTATGAATCGTATATCATACAGACCGAAGGAGCCCGCCAATCACAGGAAGGTTGACCGCGCCTCGATTTCAGTTCCTGCTCTCGGTGGAGGTAGTGGTTCATCACCAGGCTCTTATCATACCTAGGATGCTCTGGTTCAAAAAATCAATCAGGATATCTCCACTACAAGCCCGGAGTGCCATTTGTGCCTGCGATGGCTGGTGTCAGCGGAACACACCGGTACACTGCCTGTTACGGAAAACAGACAGAAGAGTTGAAAGATCTGCTCCGGCCCTGTGACGAAAAATACCGTGCCTGTAACAGTTGTGCGCGGGCAGCACAAGTCTGCTACGAGCAAAGTCCGCACTATATGCATTGCAAGGATTCATTTCATCTGGGCCTGGAAGATTGCATGATAGATTTGTCAGACTTGTCTGACATGGCTCCCTCTGAGCTCTGTGATACATAGGCACGCAATAGAGATCATATTCTGCCTGTCATGCAAATGCGCAGTTTGCCATCGCATTCCGCGTGCAGTAGACTAGACCACGAATAGCAGCTCTGAAACTGTTCGAGGTCGCGCTTGGCTGCCGCATACTGCATTGCGCGCATCATTCACATATTTGAGTTTGACTTTCATCAATCCAGAAAAAAAGAATTACATCGCAAGTTTTGACTTTGAGACCCAGACAATGACAACATATTTGCGATGCATACGATATGAGGTTCAACAATTCTACTCCACCAGCTGCGATCCGCAGACGAACAAAATGAGGACTTCCAGTACTGAATCTTTGAGCGCTTTCGCGCTTCCAAAAATGATTCCACATCACAGAAGTAGTAAATACTTTCACGGGGTCCGTGTCTTCCAGCCTTTTTTCCACCTGTCAACGTTGCTGCTTTAGTTTTGACTCGTCTTGTTGTTCTGCTACGAACGTAATCGATCCAAAAAAGATACGCACAGGAAAACAAGCTTCGATACGCCAGGCGCAGATTCAGATTATTTCACTTCAGGTCTTTTCTCCGGTCGGCCAAAGAAGCAGGAAAGCGCTGCATTGGTTACGTTCGTTCTGGACGAGCTGAACGCGCCCGGTTCACGCACCAAGAACAAGAAGAAGAGCGGGAACTACAACAAGTCCGGTAAAGATGAAGCCGCACCAAAACCAAAAGTGAAACCCCCAACAAGCACGGAAAGCAAGAATAGCGGTTCATCGCCGCAACAGACGCACAAGAGCGAGGATGAGTCCTGGTGGGACAGTATGTTCGACGAAGTCGGAGGTTTAAACACGCTGGCGAAAAAAGAAACCAAGTCGGAAGTGCAGCGGGAGGTGCAGGTGGAGAAGGCGAATACTGGCGACGCGAAAGAACCGGCAAGTAAGATGACTAGTAAGCACCCGGACCAGGACGCCGGTAAATCGTGGTGGTCGTCGTATCTCGCAGAGCAGCGCGGCGAGAAGACCCTGATCCCGGTGCCGGTTCCGAAAGGAAAAGCGAAGCCAAAAAAGACCGCCAAGAACCTCAATGCCGCGGCCATGAAAGCGCATGGCGCTGGGAAAGAGCAGAAAGAAGGCTGGTTTTCCAGCATCTTCGACGAAGAGGCAGATAAAAGCAAAAAGCGGCCGGAGATGTTGAAGAAGCCACCGGTGAACCACGCCGCAGCTGCACCACCGCCAAAGAAAGACGCAAAGAAGATCGCGGCTCCGCATGGGAAGCTGGAAGATGACAAAAGCTGGTGGTCTGGCCTAATGGCCGAAACGGAGCCTCAGCCCCTGAAGATGAAAGCCGCGAAAGATGATGCGAAGCTCGGCCGCGTATCCACAACTGCGGCGAAACCAGGGCCTGCGGAAACGAAAAAAGCTGCTGCTGAGAAAGAAAATAGACCCTGGTGGTCCGGTATCATGGATGAGGAAAAGTCGAAGCCGAAATCAGCAAGCAAAGCCACCCCGGTGCCGCTTAAGAAAAAAGACTTGCTCTTGTCGGAGAACAAACCCTCGGGTCGTGGAAAGCAAGAGGCGGAGGCATTGAAAGCTGCGAAGAATGTCGCGAAGCAAGCGAAGAGCTGGTGGTCAGGCATCATGGATGAACTCCCGGCAAAGCCGCACGCAGACGAGGACAAGAAAACTCCAGCAGGACCGGCCATGAAAATAAAGCCAATCAAGAAGAAGCCCGAGGCTGGAAGAAAAGGTGCAGACAAGACCGGCGGATCTATCAAGAAGAAAAATCCCCCCTCCCGATATCAAAACGGAAATTTGTGATGCAGATTTGTGGTGACAAATCACCTTTGTCATGCTAGAAGGGAAAAGATGCGGACTGTAGTTCTGGGTTGCGCGGGAACGCCTTGCATCCTCAGCATGACAGGCAGCTGGAGGTGGCAAACAGCATCACAAATTGCCTCCAAGCAAGGCCACAACTGCGCCTCTTTGCCTTCTAGCAATACAAGTCGATTTGTGTACTCAAATACAGCGACGTCACCAATTTCGTTTTTGATATGGGGAGGGGGGGGGATTTTTCCTTTTCATAGGATCTTGGTGGTCTAGCCTGATGGACGCGGAGAAGGCGCCCGCGGTACCGAAGCAGGACATGCTTTATCCAAGAAAAAAAGATTGTAGGTAGAACGTCAACGTTCTTGGAGGATTAGCATGACAAATAATATGACAGCATAAACTAACTGTCATGTGCAGATAGTACCGTACGTGAAAACGCCCTTGAATTATGGGCCCCACAATGCAGGCACAGGCACAGCATGACAGAATTTGCATGTTGCGCGTAATACAAATATGCACTAACAACGTTGTTCTCTTGGATATGCTTCTGACGAAAACCACTGCCGATGCAGAGACGAAGGACCACAAGCCTGGTGTCGCGGCGAGCACTATTAAGAAAGCGACCAGTGCTCCTGCTGGCGCCAAAGCGGAAGAGCAGAAGCCCTGGTGGTCGGGAATTTTGGCGGAAGAGCCGGCCAAGCTGAAGAAAACCAAGCAAGCCGCACAAAAGCTAGCTGCAGGTCGTGTCGCAGAGAAGAAGGAGCCAGGCGTGTCGGAAGACCCGGAGGCCCCGGCGGTCGAGAAAAAGACTGAAAAAAGTTGGTGGTCGAGTGTTCTGGAGGAGGAGAAGAAATCGAAGTCCAGTGTGCTGAAGAAACAACCGAAAGCGCCAGCGCCACTGCAGGAAAAAGCAAAAACCGCGGCAGCTGCCAGAAAATCCGCAACTCCTACTGCTAGTACTAGCGCCGCTGGAAAAAAGGGAGGTGACGCACCATGGTATTCCGGTATCTTCGCCGAAACCAGGGCTGCAGAAGCCACAAAGCCAGTTTTATCACAACCAGTAGAAGAAGGGAAAAAACCGAAAGTGCACCCGCCAACAGCGGTTGCGAATGGTAAATCGACTAAGCCGGCTGGTTATCAAATGCAAAAATGTCTGGGTCTGGAAACTTGTAATGCTAAAAATGAATGATATACGCACTGCAGTACGCAGCTGCGCATGACAAATTTTTTGGCTGCCATGTCTTACGTATTCCGCATGGCAAACTGCGTTTTTGCATGACAGGTAAGAGACTTTTTCGTGTCTATGCAACACAGATTTCCGAGTCATGCCAAACAAGCATGACAAACCTGGCAATCTTCCAGACCCAGACATTTTTACATTTGATACTGGTGGTGCTGCAGCTGCCGAGAAAAAGCATGAGACGACCGGCGCGTGGTATTCCGGTATCTTTGCCCAAGAACCAGAAAAAGCAGCAAACCCAACCGCGAATAAACCAAAGCTGGTGAAAACGGAGGAAAAGAAAGCAGCCAGTACGAAGAAAAACAAAAAGGATGACAAGGTGGAAGAAGTGCCGAAAAAGAAGGACATAAGCAGCCCCTGGTCATGGTCCGGAATCTTTGCAGCCGCCGACCAAGCCGGCGCGGGTGCGGCTCCGACCAGCAAGACCAAGCATGTCAAACCGGTGACTGCCTGGTGGTGGCCTGGCTTCTTGTCCTGAGTTTTATTCTATTCTGCAAATGCAAATGGTCGATCTTCGAATGTGGTGAAAAAATTGCTCGGTATAGATACAACTCTTTCTTCCAAGACCAAGATAATTGAAGTACCTGTCTCTCGTACGTAGACACACACACAGACAAGAGTTGTATACCGACTACGACCATCATGTCCAGATAGATACTTGCGCAGGGCTCACGTCTTCAGCAGTCTGAGAACTTAAATAGAGCAAGAACATCATTTTCAGGATCGTCATGATAACAATTGCAATTCCGGACAGCACGGTGTATCTACTTGACCGTGCCGCAAATCAACTAGTACAACAAGTAGTGCTCCTAGTACCAAAAAATAGCGGAAGGAAATTGAAGAGCTTCATGAGTCAGGAACAGGATATTGATGAAGTACTTTCCAATAGCAATACACGAGAAAAAAAAGATCTCCCGTGACCTGTTGAATGGCGGAATGGGCTACTTCTTCACAGTTTTAGTTTTTGCATAGTACGTACCAAAGACTAAAAAGAACGTGCAGCTGTACCTTTTTTATTCGACATGCTAAATGCTTCTTTGGCAGAACAAGAATCCAATCATCCCAATTGAGTTATGTATTCTGCACCTCCTCAAGCTTGCAACTGTTCGCCACCTTTTGTAGAAATTGGTCCTGCATCTGCACGCGAACGCGGCAGTCGCCGACTCTGGGTAAAGCATGACGGAGGTATTTCAGACGCCACAACAAGCGTTGTCTAGGAGTGAATGGGTATCCTCCTGTGAAAGCACAGGCGTCGATGATGAAGTGCAGCACGCAGCTCTTTGAGAAGATTCCGACAGTTGCATAGAGGTCAAGGAGGAGGGAGACGACCAGCATCAGCAACATCATCGAGCGGAAAAAAACCAAAATTTCGCAGACGAGTGGAGAGTATTCAAACTCAAAAAAAACTCTTGAGTCAGTCTCCTGTTGCGTATGAAGATTAAGCTTAAAGAGATGAAAGTCGCTGCAGCTGTTGCAGCAAGCAGAAGCGTCTATCTCGTTCATGTATTACTCATGTTTTTACCATCAAAAAGCCGGCAGATAGTACTACCGCTACGGCTACCGTCGCATACTAGTCTAGGCTCCAACTACTTGTAACCAGAATTTCTGTACAAAAATTGGTACCTCCTAGCAACCACGAGGATGTCTACCAGCTCCGTTGGGTCTTTGTTGCGGTTGGAATCTCTTCGCTCTCGTCGTCGCAAAGTGTCGGGGAATGGAGGCTCGTCCTCTGCCAAAAGCACGGCTTTGCACAGTACCGACTACGTCGTGGAGCCGCTCGCGGTGCCGGGTCCTCCGACGAGGGCCACACGAACGCTTAAGCAGGATCTTCACTCTAGCAGAACAAAATCAAGCACGACACGCACGAAAATAAACCATCACGTGCAGCCTCACCTACAAAGAAAAATCATCGCGCATGTGGGCGACGAAGTCGAAGGTCACGGTCACGAACGACCGCAACAAGCACATAGTGAATTGCGAAACGCTTCTCCCGCAGACTCACCGGCAGAGCTGGACGAGGATGAAAGTGGATCAGTTCCAGCAGTGCGACTCGTCCCCGATGAAGACGGGGCGGGCAAGCAGTTGCCCGGCACGACCAGGGCTGCAGCAAACCACGAAAACAATCACCCACGCAGGAGAGGTATTATCGATCAGATTTCCACCCCCGACTCCTCTTGTTCTACGACTGCTCTGCCGGAAACCGACGACGTCACGACTGACATACCGAGCGGCGAGACCTTCTGCACAGGCTCGACCACTTCAACTTCTCAGAGCTCAACCCCAATTCCAACGAGACAAGAAGCGAGCGAACTAGAAGATAAAGGCATGAATCGTGTGGTTGTGTCCACCTCCGAGCAGATGAACGAGAAGAAAAGCGAAGATGATGTTCTTGACCCAGCGATGGCCATCGAGTCGGAGTTGCTGCGGTGGATCGCGTCCTGCGAGGAACACTATCAAATGCAAAGATGTCTGGGTCTGGAAGGTTCTGCAACTTGTGACGCTGTCCGTGGATTCCAAAGAGATCTGTATTGCATGACCAGCAAGAGCAGCCCAGTTTGCGCTCCGCGGCGGAGAGGGCACTCCATTTCTCGTGCGGAGTAGGGGTCACGAAGCACTCTAAAAATCTGCGATGCTAGGCCATGCATTACAGGCAGCATGGGTCATGCAATTATCGGGGTTCGCTGTGGTCTCAGGGCGGCGTCGCGGGTGTCCCCTATACAAACATAGAATCCGCAGAAAACGCGTCCCGGGTACATTTTGCATTCCATGCACATGGAGGGCGCAAGCCTCATGCCATACCATGCAAAACATGCACCATGAGACCAAGACGTATTTGCAATGGATAAACTACAGACGTCCCCTTCCGCAACTGTGGTCGACAAGAAAAAGAGGCACCGAGAGGCGGACGAGATAAAAACACAGAGTGTAGAAAAAGAACCCACGTCCTCTACAGCAGGGTCGTTGTCGTCTGCGGCCCTCACCGCTGCGGTCGACACTTCTGCCAAAGAGGAACACACCGAGACGTCTTTGGAGACCAAGGCGCCTTTAGAGGCCGATGGTCGAGACGAACTACAAGCAGAACTCATTCAAAATGAGCGGCCGTCCTCTGCCACGGAAGACCATGACGGAGATAAAGATCTACGAGTGGCTGTGGCAGAAAATAAGTCCGGAAAAAACAGCGGCGCTACGTCTGGTGTACTAGAAAATAAGATGGACCGGCAGGTAAGAATCGGTAAGGTCGCACGCACCAAAGATGCGTCTGCGATGTCATCGGATGAAACGTCGAGACCGCAGCCAGTCTCTAAGCATCCGCTAGCGGGCCGCGAAGCGAAGAATAGAGCATCATCCGGAGGTGGAGCCGCTGCTGCAACACCAACTACAGAAGTCTCGTCGACACCACCCTCGCGGCAACTACTAGAACATCAAAGGTTTTCTATGGGATGGATTCAGCGATTCAAAAGTAGCGGATTCAAAAATTTCTTATCCTTCATCTTGCATTTTCAAAACCTGAAACAAAATATGATCACTTTTGTCATGAATTTTCGCTGGTTTCTTTGTCTTTCCGAATCGTCGCCAGAAAAGGTATGAAATTAAATAGCTAGGTCAGTCTCAACTTGAACTAGATTATCATTTGCATTTGTCATGCCAAAAGTGAAAAGATAATTGGAGTTTGCACATGATCATCAAAAATCAAACTATAAAAAGTATAGGCGACTCAAAAATTTTTCTTCAACCATTTGACATCTTAAAGCTGTAAAACAAATCGAGACTTATTGTTGTCATGCGTTTTTGATGTTTTGTTCCCGGTTCCGAGACGTCGCCGAAAAGAGTACGAAGCCAAACATCTAGCTCGCTCTCAACTTGAATTAGATAGATGGGCGACATCTGTCACGCAGAAGAAACGAGTGGAATTAAGCAGCCCCACATAGTCGAAAACGAAAGCAGTCAAAAATATAAGTGGCAGCAGCGCTGCTAGGTTGTCCTGGGGAAGACATGCGCGCCACCTGTTTGAAAGGGGCCCTGCGGCCTATCTTCAAACCGAAGCGGCTACACCGCCGGACGTAGTTGCTTCTGCTAGGTGGCGGCGGGCAGGGTTTTGGGCCTGCGCTCATGAAAGACAAGGACCAACCCAAAAAAGACAAAAAAAAATAAAAAAAAAAAGGCCGCTTTGACAGCAAACAAAACAACAAGCGCAGCCTGCGCTTGCTTTGTTGTCTCCACGAAGCCGCAAACCCCGGGCCGAAATGCCTTGGGATAGGAGCGCAAGCTCTAAACCCCACGGCCGCTACGGCGTCGGAGGGTATGTGCCCATGGAAAGCTTCCAAAGAGGGGCAATCTCGTGCGCCATTGCACCGGCCGACGCCGTCGGGGCTCGAGCGCCAACCACGCGAAGGGGGGCCGCTTGAAGGTAAATCACGAGTATGGTTTGGGCGTTTCTGTGTGCCCCATGTGGCTCGAGAAGGTGCATGTGCGAGGCAAGCTAGGCGCGCAAAGGGTCGCGAGGGATCGTGGCGGCCCCGGAGCTAACGGTCGAGCAGTTCGGGTTGTAGAGCGCCGCTCCACAGGGGCGCGAAGGGCATGGTGGTGAAGGTGGGGGCGCAGAAATGTTGAAAAAAGGCGCCACAGCGCCGCGATTCGGTGAAAATGGATTCGTTTTCGGTTCCCCGACCTGTATCGGTGGTTTTCGTTCACGGAGGGCCTCCATCCGGACCTCTATCTTGGGAACCATCGAGAGCCGGTATCACGACCTGACGCTCGATCCAGATAGAGGTCATCTTGGGCCGCTTTTTTCCCCAAAAAAGACCTCATTTGAATCGCTCCCTGCAAAAATCCAGCTTTTGAGTACTGCCCGCTTGATAGTTGCTCCAAAAAAGCATCTTTCCAGCAATTGCGCTGCACTTTTTGGCGCTTTTGCAATGGCGCAGCGCCTGATGGGCAGCTGCAATGCTTAAAGGCGGCGCCCCATTTTGCTGCCAAATAAAGCCGAACGTCCTGCCGAAGAGAAATAACAAGAACCACAGGCCACCATCGCGAAAGCTAGCGGAGCTTTTTCATTGATGGCGAGGTTGGAATACACCTCCCGGCCTCTCGCAGATACCTTCGGAAAAGGTACCGAAGGGCGCCGGGGGTTGCGCTAAAGCAGCTGCCCACGACAGCCCGGGCTCTTGCCGCGTGTTCATTGGCGTATTTGAAAAATGCCAAGGCTCTGCACTGACAACGCCGGGCGCCTGGATAGCTCGGGGCCCCGGTGCTCTTCGGTTTTGTTTTCAATCTTGTGGCGCCACGCATTCAAGCGTTGCTGCTGTGCTTAAGGCTATAGCCTTCGCAGGCCACAGGGCTCTTAGCTCAGGCTGCGACCATCCTGCCGCCCCCCTCCCAGAGGCATTTTGGGCGCCATTTCGCGGACCGCAACAAAGAGAAGAGACAGAGCAGGGGTCTAAGGTAGTGCTGAAATATTGCGGGACTGGGAGCGAAAGTAGCCGCATTTTCTTCGCCGGTAGGCTCGTGGCCCCTTTTATAATATTTGCCACCACACGACGAACACTGCGCGGAAGGCAGCTGCGCCTCTTTGTTCTGTGGCAAGAAGGCAACCAGCTCAAGAGCATCCACGTAGCTAGTTCAAGTTGGGACTGACCTAAATGCTTCAATTGCATAGCTCGCCGCTATCATTACTGCCGCTACCTGACTTCGCGCCGTTTGCTGCCGAATCCGGAACCGTTTTTGGAGTGAAAAACAAAATGCATTTTAGTTGAAAAGGCGACGCACTTTGCGAGCGGAGCAGCACAATCTGTGGCGGAGCAGCTGCGCAATCCTTATTTTTTGCTACCAAAAAATGAAATAAGAATGACACCAATTTAGCTAGTTCAAGTTGAGACTGGCCTACATATTTCAATTGCATAAATCGCCGATCTCGGTTTCGCCGCGACCTGAATCCGCGTCGTTGCTGCCGAAATGGAAACCGTTTTTGGAAAAAGAAATGACATGCATCTTCAAGGAAAAGAAATTTTTGAGTCCGCTACTTTTGAATCGCTGAATCCTTCTCATATTTTCCTTTGCTAGCGAATTGGAAAGCCTTGCAGAAGCGGACCGTGCCCGCGTCGCAAATGTCCAGTTTCTCGGGGGAAGTGAGTTTCTGGTCAGCTTTGATCTCATTACAAAGTCGCCCGGTTCTCGTCGCACCATCGAGCAACCTGCAATAAAGAACAACCCCCCTGCAGCACCCGGCGACGCTGTAGTGGTGAAAGGAGCTCCTGCCGCCCAAGACGTCGCCGCATCTCCTCCTGCTGTAACTGGCACCACGACTGCTGCAACCAGCATCATGCTAAAAGTGTATCCTGAAAAGTATCCGCGCACGCGGGACTGCTTCGCTCTACGGTGCATCGAGGACGGCGCCGAGTTCTCCTATTCTGCACAATCGAAAATGGCCTCGTCGCGACTGAATCCCAACGTGCTGCAAGATCGCGTCATGCGCCACCACGGGGGTGTAAACGCACATCTAGTCGCGAGGTGCATCGAGAGCCTCCTCGCCGAACTCGACCGAATCACTTCTGACGACCGAAAGAACCCCGTTGATGCGCGCGGGGCGTCAGGCGCGCGCGGAGGCACGAAAACTTCTGCCGCTTCAGTGTCGTGTACAACTCGTCCAGGACAATCGCGTAGTGGTACCCAAGAAGACGAAAGAAACAAAGAAAAAGAAGAAGACAGTGACGGCAACGGAGAAGACGAGGTGCAAGCGCAGGACGCTGAGCTTCGACTCGAGCAGTGGCTGCAAGGCGGGGACCTGGAGTTGGAAGCCGTGGGCCTACAGACGCTGGACATAACGCAGATCCAGGCCATTCTTGCGGCTCGGAGTACTGCGCTATGAAAGTGGTGCAAAACTCCCCTCCCCCTCATTTGTGATGCAAAAAATTCCCAAACGCAGCTGCTGCTGCTGCTGCCTTGAGCTTGTGCTTGAGGCACTTAGAATTGAAATTTCACACGCCCAAACTGCCCTACACTCGGCGCATGAATTTGTCATGCACAAGTTCCAGGGTCGCTGCCTGGTCTTTGTATTGTTCGTTGCGCATGCTATACAAATGAAGACGAGGGCGAGTTGTGCGCTCTCATATGCGCCGGAGGTTGAGCACTATCAACGCTACGTGCCGAGGAAGCGACGATTGTTTGACGAAAACGACAAGGATGAAGGAGATGATATGTGACTTGGTTGTTCAGGTTCTGTAGAAGGACTACATTTTGTGTCTGTCCGAAAGTAGACTTTCGTTTCTCAATAGCAGAAACAAGAATCAATGTTGCAGCTCCTGCAGTTTTAAGGATTTTTCGAACCGATGCGGCAGAGGAGCCAGAGGCAGTTGAGAGAAGTGTTCCTTCAATAATTGACACATCCTTCGTCTCGTCCTTTTGATGCGCTATTTTTGTCGTGGACGACAGTTTTGGTATTTTTTTTCCATGAGCGCGCAGACGCTGTAGCTGAAGAAGCGATGACTTCATCAAATTATCTGTATCTATTCATCTGCCTTGCCGCAGCACGACTTAGCAGAAACATAGCAGGTACGTATGTGCTAGCGGAGCCCTTGCGCGTGTTGCGCTAACGCCGAGCAATATTGCTCCATCCATTTTGATTTTCTTTTTTATTTTTGCGGCAAAGCCGACGAAAGCTAGCCCCCAGCAAGGGCAGGTGCTCGGAACATGAAAATGCGCCGAGGCAAGTCTCGTTGTGCAGAAGTCAAATGGTTCAAGAATAATCTGCAAGAACGGAACTGCAGTGACTCATCCTGTTGTCGCGTGTCCTGCTCGTTTCTTCCACCACCAGAAAGGCCTCCTCATGTACGCAAGAACGTACCCGCGCATCTACTGGTGCTGTGTGCAGCCGTAGCGACAAGCGTGAATCTGAGCTGCGGAGATGTCTCATTCGTGGCAGCGAAAATTCTGCTTGGGTCCTCGGCGCCTAGTCGTCCACGCCTACACCAGGGAGAAGACAGGACCAATGATCAGCTGCTGCCCGACCTTGGAGGTAGCCTGTCGACAGCTTGTTCAACAGCACGACACTGCGCCACTGGGGCACTCGGTGTGGGCGGGGAGGACCGGCATCAACATGTTGGGCCCCCACCTCATGGTCGTGTATCTCTTGGTCTCGATCCTCATTCGGAGAATCTTCTGCACCAGCTTATCCAACGAACGCAGCAACCTCGACCGCACGCCAACGAGGCAGCTTGGGCTGCTGCGCCCGGTGGAGGGATACACACGACACAACATGACAACGGCAAAAATGTAGTGTGCAGCCGTCCTGCAGGACCGCCTGCCTTCGACGTGAACAACGGCGGGTATGATACCCCGACGACGCAGTCCTGCTTCCTGCCGTGTCAGCACCAGCAGCCTCGTCTTCGTACTTCTAGTACAGGTACACAACTTTTCTTTTTTTTTTGCTTCAAGTTCAATCGGCAACACGAGCCTGACTACAGATGAAAGGCATCGGCTTTGCGTTTCATCTTGCCGAGAACTTTTACTTTTACGTACAAGTAGTTTCTGTCTCATTATTACACTGGCTGCGCGTGTTAGCGTTAATAGCCATCTTCTTGTAGGGTCAACAAGAAAACACATCGAGTAGCGTTTCGATTTCCCCTTGGTCTCGATCTCGACTCATCATTTTTATGAAGAAGTAGTGCTTCTAGAGGAACAACTATCCAGCAGGATCCGCGCCCCCAGGGAAGGCCCCTTGGATAGATTCTTGCCCCTCAGGTACACGAGGATCCGGTAGTTCCGGGCAGCATCTGGCTGTAATTCCGCCGACCAGGAGCCTTTGGGAGGACGATGATGATGATGATGCGGAGGACCTTGTTGCACATCACGGCTCGTCCACGTCCGCTCTCTATCATGGCGGCTTCGGCTCCGATATGGTGAAGTTTCGTGCACCCCCGAGTACGGAATCCGACATGGCTCGCTTCATGACCCCATTCAGCGAGGCGGTCTCTTCGTGCATGTCCGACCGTCCAGGTGGAGGAGGACAACTCCGAACCCCCTGTGGATCAAGCGACGGCTTCAACATCCGGAGATATCGGACAAAAAAAATGTAGCTTCACTGAAACGATTATAGAAATATTTCCAAATAAAACATCACATTTGTTCTACATGACAATAAAGAATGCTTTTCATGCGTGCTCTCCAAGCGAAAACGCATCTAAAGGTGCACTATCTTGCATGTGTAGCAAGACAGACTCTTCAGTCTAGTAGATGAAGAGTGATAACACAAAGTTGTCAATAGTATTGACTTGATGGTGTCCTCTGCATCATCACAATTTTACAGTGAAACAGTTTTTTTTTTGCGATAGGAGGCCCCCGCTCTCCACCGACAGCATGTCCTCCACCCGTGCAGTTGTTGGAGTCGACACAAATGCGCTGCGGGCACAGTTTCCCCATTTTGTGGGTGCAGGAGGTGGTCCACGCGACACTCTTCCTAGCGGATATGTTCTTGATACAGACGCTGCAACTAATAGCGCACAGCACCAGGTCGGGTCTAGTAGTACTAGCTTGTTCAACACGATGAAAGATTTTACACCGGCAGGGCCAGGAGGTCTTCATGGAGACCACATGATCTTCGACCAGCATGGCCGAACTGGCGCGGCCCGTGACGGCCAGATGAACTTCCAGGTGGACCTGCAGCGCGTGCACCACGAGGACCCTGGTTCTTTCAATTTAGTTCCAACATCTCCTGGTGCACGACCACAGCCACAGCAGATGAACCACCACCGTTCTTTTCACCACGGCAGGCGGGGCGGCGGTGGTCAATTTTCGCAGGACCATCCGCATCATCCTACGTTGTTCACACAGCATATGGACACTGTGATGGAGCAGCGTAGTACCGAAAGAGGATCCGGCAGCGACGTGGGCAGCAGCAACGTCGGCTCCTCGAATCAAGGCTCCGCCGTGATTCACCGTGCTGGGATCATAACTCCAGATGACGAACAACAAGCAGACACATCACTACTAGCAAGGCGGGGGGCCGGGGACGACAACGTGAATGATCATGATGTGTAAAAAATCAAAATCGAAAATGTCAAAAATCAAAATGTCAAGAATGTAAGTAAACGATTAAAAACGGCTCTGGTAGTTGTATCAATGAATGTCATTGCTCACTTAACGTTTTTGTGAAGATCATATTATGGTCTTTGTATAAATTCATCGTCTGCAGTGGTTTGCTATACATACATGATGTGACATGATGTGGATCGCAACTTTATTCTGCGAAATGCCATGATAAGTTGGAGTTTGAAGTTTGACTTTTTGTTTCTCAGGAGCTACAAGTTGTGCATCAACTACAACTTCTACTTCTTCTATGAAAATCAAAACTGCATAGGGGCCATCATGGACTATTGCAGCAACTTAAAACTAATAGACAAAAAAGAACTCAGACGACGCAATCTTTGTGAGGAACGAAACTTCTTTGATAAAAATAGAAGATCTACTCTCCTGATTCGGATTCCAATTTAGATTTTCCCAATGGGATTCAATCAAGAGATAAATCTATTCTGGCCCCGATTCCCAATCGGATTCGATAAAAAATAAACAAACCCGATTCTGATTTCGATTCGAGCTCCCGATGGGATTCGATTCAAAAGAAATAGAAATAATCTATCCCGATCAGTATGGTATAATTATGATGATTATGTTTCAATCATAAAAAGTATAAGTCTGGTGTCCATGAGAGATTTCATGTCCGAATTTAATTTGTTGATAAAATTCATAGTTCTTTCGTGTTATCTCGGGTGGTTCTTGTTTCAGGTTTCATCTCTTATGAATCCATCTGTAATCGAATTCAATAATTGCAAAGATGGAATTCTAATTCAGGAAGATCGAGATCGGATTGATTTTCGATGAAGATTTAGATTGAATATTTTTTAAAGTTTTTGCATAGTATGATTCTGGATGATAATCGAAATGAAAATTTTTCTAATATTTTTGTAAATTTGAGTCATTGATTTCGAAATTTTCATGTTCAATCGGAAAGATTTTTTTTGCAAAAAAATATTAAATTTATCTCAAGGATTATCTATCAATCGATTCATCCGAGATTCTTTCTTCAAAGAAATGAAGACTCTCATCCGGAGCCGCGCCCGGCGGGGCTTTTGCTAAAAAACGCCTAAAAATTTTACGAATCGCGCCAAAAGCCGGGACCCAAGAAAATGGGCCATCACATGGCGAGGGCGCCCACAAAGTTGGCCGTGTGACGCGTCTACCCGCGCGGCAGTCGGCATCGAACCAGAACGGCAGCCGCTATCCGGCAAGGGCCAAACGGGCAGACACGCCCGGCCCGGACGCAGAGACCGGCGCGGCGCCGTAGAAAATTAGCAAAACCCGCGGCCGCTTCGGAGGCGAAAAAAGCAACACACCCAGTGAGCCCGGGCTCAGGTCGGCGAGCCTGACCTCGCGAAAGCGCCATCCTTTGCCCGGGCTTCACGAAATTAAGAGTCGGGGGAAAATAAGACGACGCCAAAGAGCCGGGCCACGGGTCCCTGAGGCCGCCCATTTCGCCCACTATCAAGGGCCGGGATTTTCTTACTTTCGCGGCCTCAAAAATGGCGGGGCCCTTTTTTGTGATTTCGTGTGCGATTTCACTGTGCAAAAAAATAGGAAAAAAATAAGAATTCCCCGGCCAACGGATGGACACTAAGTAGGCGGGGAAATTGATACACCAAAAGCCGATCCCATCAAGGATCGGAAATTTCTGCTGAAGAATCGATCAAGAAATCGACCTTGGAGATGACAAATTTTCACTCCTTTCTAGATGAAATCTAACAACCAGAATTCGATCAAAACACCACAAGAATCTAACAAATAAAAAATGACACACTTTCAAATCACGATGAGAATGAGAATGAGAATGAACGATGGAAAGACGACGGGAATCGGATTTGATTTCTCATGCAAAAATGATGATGAGAAACAAATTTCTCATGCGAAATCCATGGATCAATCTCGATGAAGATGGACACTGACTTTCTCA